ACGTTATGTCAGGAACTGCGTCATTGTGATGGATCTGTGTTGACTGAGAGTCTCGCATTGAACATCAGTGCTCAGTCCGTGAATCTTGGTGCCAAAGAACCCACTCAGTTCAACACCTACCGGCAACCTCCAATGCCTGATATCTCCCTCTCTACAAGGCCGTCGACCAATCTGGCTGATCCTGAGATCAAGACGAGATCAGCCTCATCTCGAGACCACACTTTACGAAGCTACAACAAGGATGCTGCACAGAGTTAGAGATTTAATTCTCTGAATCTATTACGGATATAAAGTTATGAACCGCGCAGTGCTCGAGTTATCGACAGCTACAGATTGAGCACGTTGACAAACTCGAATGTCAAACGAAACATCAGTACTCTGTAGCAAGCAGCTTGTTGTGTACCTCAGTGGTAGGTCCTCTATCTAATCCTCAGGAATGGGACTGCGGCCTGGCATACGAACAGATACAGACAAGCCATATCGACTCAGAATTCGTACCGGACCAGCCGCCCAGAGTTTCTCAGGTATGGTATTCGTGCCACAATCAATGCCGGTATTCGGGAGGCCAGGGGAAGCTCCTCGACACCGGACATATTGGCTGTCAGCTGGTCCTCAACCAACTTCTGTCCGGCGAGATGCATCACGGTGACCGGCTGGTTCCGGATCCGGTGCAGGGCCAGGAAGTCAGCCCTCCACCGATCGAAGTCGCGCGCTCTCTCGGCCGCGCCTATGCCGGTCTTGTTGGCGAAGTCATAATCAATCCGGTCGACTGTCTCGGCCGGCCCACTTGTCGCCGAGGGGGGTTCTGGGCTAGAGCCGGGCCGAGGAGCGTCTCTAGGAGCGTCTCCTGCATGCCGGTGAGCGTCACGCGTACATTCTGTCGTCAAGGCTGCTATTGGCCATGCCATTTTGACTCGATCCACCAGCCTGCTGCATATAGCGTTAGCTAATACCTAATTCAGGTAGTAAATTTTGGAGATGCAGATGGACCGGAAGGCCGAGATCGCCGCCATATGAGCGCTAAATTCACACATCATCGCCTCGATACGCTCGTAGCCGGGCTTGGCAGCGCGCTAACGCTAGCCTAGCCCGCCATCGGCCCCTCACTTTCGCAGTCCCTGCCCCGCGATCAAACGTTCGACAGCAATGCGGGGCCCTGAATTTTCTCTCTCTCTCTCTCTCTCTCTCTCCGATCCCTTCATGACAGCCGGCTCAGTCCTCCCGTCCTGATCACCCCTCTATCTCTCAAGCCTACAACCTCGCCAATTCGAGTCTCCCCGGTCACCCACCGTCAAACTCTACTACAATGGCCGCCAGCACCTCCCAGGGCGCGACGTATGCGCTCCCCGAGTCTCACAAGCAGGTTCGTTGCCCCTCCGCCTTACCGCCACCACAATTGTCCGTTCGTCTGACTCACCGCTTGTAGATGCTCGAGAAGTCACTCCTCGAGTCCGATCCCGAGGTTGCGGATATCATGGTGAGCTTCACTCTCTCGGCTTGGCCCGTGTCCTGGTTCGCGTGCTGACACCCTGATCAGAAAGATGAGATCCAGCGCCAACGCGAATCCATTATTCTCATTGCCTCCGAAAATGTCACGTCCCGCGCTGTCTTTGATGCTCTCGGCTCGCCTATGTCCAACAAGTACTCCGAGGGCTACCCGGGCGCCCGGTACTATGGCGGCAACCAGCATATTGACCGGATCGAGCTTCTCTGCCAGAAGCGTGCCCTCGAAGCCTTTAATCTTGACGGCGCCAAGTGGGGTGTCAACGTCCAGTGCCTGAGCGGCAGTCCTGCCAACCTCCAGGTGTACCAGGCCATCATGCCTCCCCACGGCAGGCTGATGGGTCTGGATCTGCCCCACGGTGGCCATCTCAGCCACGGCTACCAGACTCCCCAGCGGAAGTAAGTGTTTTCTCTATACATGTCTAGTTCTGAAGAAGATCTCTGGCCAATTTCTGACCGAGCCAAAAAGGATCTCGGCCGTCTCAACCTACTTTGAAACCATGCCGTACCGTGTCGACCTCAATACCGGCGTCATCGACTACGACCAACTCGAGACAAACGCCGGGCTCTACCGGCCCAAGATCCTCGTTGCCGGCACCTCGGCCTACTGCCGTCTCATCGACTACGCGCGCATGCGCAAGATTGCCGACTCGGTTGGCGCCTACCTGGTCGTCGACATTGCTCACATCTCTGGTCTCGTGTCTGCCGGTGTCATTCCCTCGCCCTTCGAGTACGCCGATGTCGTCACCACCACTACTCACAAGTCGCTCCGTGGCCCCCGTGGCGCCATGATTTTCTTCCGCAAGGGCGTCCGGTCCGTTGATGCTAAGACGGGCAAGGAGACCCTCTACGACCTGGAGGACAAGATCAACTTCTCCGTCTTCCCCGGCCACCAGGGCGGTCCCCACAACCACACCATCACCGCGCTGGCCGTCGCGCTCAAGCAGGCCGCGACTCCCGAGTTCAAGGCGTACCAGCAAAAGGTCGTTGACAACGCCAAGGCGCTGGAGAAGAAATTCAAGGAGCTCGGCCACAAGCTTGTGTCGGACGGCACCGATTCGCACATGGTGCTGCTCGATCTTCGCCCGTTCTCTCTGGACGGTGCGCGTGTCGAGGCCGTGCTCGAGCAGATCAACATTGCCTGCAACAAGAACGCGGTTCCCGGCGACAAGAGCGCCCTCACCCCCGGCGGTCTGCGTATCGGCACGCCAGCCATGACCAGCCGCGGCTTTGGCGAGGCCGACTTCGAGCGCGTCGCCGCCTACATTGACGAGAGCATCAAGATTTGCAAGGAGGTACAGGCTGCCTTGCCCAAGGAGGCCAACAAGCTCAAGGACTTCAAGTTCAAGGTGGCTAGCGGCGAGGTTGCTCGCATCAACGAGCTCAAGAAGGAGATTTCGGACTGGTGCCACACCTTCCCCCTCCCCGTCGAGGGCTGGAGAATGGACGCTGGTATCTAAAGGGTGAGCAACGAGGCCGGAGGGAGCTCGATCATACGGCACAGAGGGTGCTGCATGCCCAATGTTTCAACCACACAAATATTGGCGGGCTTCGGCTCCGCCGTGCATTTGTTTCTGTTTTTATGCTCTCTTACGGTATGGCATCTAGAAAAGGGGTGCAAATGGGCGATCTCAACGAATCGGGAATGCATGGGAAAAAAGCAAGACACGGGACTCCGGAAAATCACTCATCAAGGTGCAAATCATTTCATCAGGCGTTTGCATCATGGGTGTACTTGGTCATCAACCTTACCAGCTTTTTCTCGGTCCCGGGCAGGGGAGGGGAGTCTGGGTCTTTAACGTACCTTGGTTTTGTTTTGTTTGTGGGCCTGTCGGTCTCAAAGTTAGATGGCTGCTTCAACGCGGTTGAATATACCCGATGTCGTCTGGATCAAACTGATTTCATTCACGGGAGGAAGGGGTGTTGATTTGGTGCGATGGTGAGATGGTGAGATGGCGAGTGTAGCTGCAACCCTCGAAAGGTTGGTTCATCCAGTCGAACTATGTTCGAGAAGGTGGACTAAAGATATGACTTGGGTTCCTCCAGATATCGGCCTGACCCATCATCTGTCCTCAGCTCACCAAGGGCTGCATTGAATGCAGGGTTTCACTGGCCTTCTGTTTATTGCATAGGAAGCCACCTTGCACGCTGGGGGTGCTTTCCTGTCTTGCTAGAGATGGGAGTGTAAGTCGAAAGGCCGCTTAGCACTTTCATCTTGACCAAACCTCCCCCCTTCCACGTTCTCTGCCCTATGAAGGCCGCCAACATACTTAAGGTCAACTACTACAGCTACATTGCAGGCGGACTACAGGCGAGGAAAACAAAAAGAGCATCCGGGCGAATACGACTCCACGAAATGGATGTTGCCGCTCGGGACGGAGTACTGTGACAACTCCTTTGTCGGATATCTATGGCCCCCAACACCACTCGTGCGTGGACTGTACGTTTAATGGCCCAGCTTCACTCACACACCCAAGCAACCGATACAAGCCGATAGGGGTTGCTGGAATGACTGGCGAGTCCACTGCAGTCACTGCCTACGCGTGGTCGGACGGTAACATTTAACATGTTAAACGCATAAAGACCAGCTCGGAACAGGCCCGGCACCGCAAGAGTAGGCCCTTATTCGAGGACGTCCATCCCGAAAGAGCTACGCTGCCGCGAAAGTCCGGTAGTCTGCATCGACCGAACGAGTACGGGTTCAAATGTTAAGATGGCGGAGCAGGGTCACAGTATCCCAATCCTTTGGTCAATATCACAACAGGGGCCGGCATTGGGAGAACAGCTCAATGATAGAATCATGTCGGGATACCACCTTGGTGCGACCATTCGTGTTCCAAGGTTCCAATCCACTGAAGAAGAGAAGCAAGACATTCAGCCCCCAAGGTTGACGGCGGCAGGAAGCGAATACCTAGGTAGCTTCTCCAAACAACAACCACATGTTCCCAGCCGTCCATTACACTTGGGAATGCCTGCGCGATGACACTGTGACCGGGCCAACTGTCACGCTGCTCAGGAGACGATAACAGTTGGGAACATCAGGCGGGAGATTGTTCAGTCTCGACCCTTTTTCTGGCCGGAACATAAGACTGCCAGCCTGATTTCAAATCAAGTCAGCCGTGCTCTCCCAGTTTGTCTTGATCCAACCTCTTCTGGCGCAGCTTACCTTGACCGGAACCATGAGACTCCGTCGCCTCGTTCCATTCTTCTTGTCCATCCGGCTCGCCAGGGCCATCGCCGTGGCTCCTTGAGAGACACCTGCTTCAGGGGCAAGCGCATCCGCGAGAGCAGCCGAGACGCCGACTCCCGCCGCCCCTGCCATACCAAATACTTCAACAAATTCTACCTCGCCACGGGACCCAACCGCAAATGCCCAGACAAGGAGACCGTGTTTGGCATTCAGCTGTGGCAGTTCACGCTGTGGAATCCGGACCTGGGTATGATTGCTTTGCGTTGCGGAAAGATGTATGGTATTGTGTGGGTTATCTACTAAAAAATGGCCTTGTCCTGGCGAGATGGGACCATGACTCGGCCTGTCGGAGATAGTAAGTGCCTATCCCTCACGGGCAGGGCAATCATGTTGTCAGGGGTTCGTTAACATGTCGTATTCATAATGAACGTCCATAGTGTGCTAGGCCATCGCAGAAACCCGTTCACCGCTCGTTCCAATCCCAGCCCAAATAAAACATGCCCAAGAACCCATGCTCCTAATCATGCCGAAGAATGATACTGAAAAAAATCCATGAACAATGAGAAAATAAGCCATCGCTCCCTTATATACGCTTCTCCCAACAACCGATCCCCATCCACCCCTCTTCACATAACGACGCAATTACTCCACGTCCCCTGATTGCACTGCTCATAATACCCGGCCTCCTCGTTAACCCCCTCACCAAAGTTATGCTTCTTCACCACACCCGAGACCCTCAGGGTCTGCTGGCCCGCGCCATGCCACCACCGTAGCCGCTGCACGAGCACCGTCTCCTCCTCGTCGCTGCTAATTTCCCACTTGCCCGAGCTGACCTGCACCGTGCAGGCGTCCTTGGGGAAGTGGTATTCGGGCAAGAACACCACCGTCGGCGCGTCCGGATCCACTGCCCCCTTGTTGGGAGACGGAGGAACCTCTATGGTCAGGCTGAACAGACACTGCCGGAGATCGAAGCCGTAGTTCTTGATGACGCCCGCGGCGGCGATGGGTGCGGGCCGGACGTATGCCTCGGCTGCGCGGTAGCCGGGGGAGACGGTGAGCTCGGGCTGGCGGGTGGTGGCTTGGGAAGAGATGGAGGGGTTCGTGATGGAGCGGTGGAGGTTGGCCGGCGTGACACTATCGTCGTCGTCGAGGTCTTTTTTGGCCACAGATGGAGGACGACTCGATGCTGCGTCGCCGTCACGATCGGGGGTTCTCGGACGCGCCGAGAGAGGCAGCAGCTTATCGTCGAGGGAGAAGATAGAGAGGTCCTCGCCGTTCCACTGGTCACCCCTCTCGTGGTCGTTCTTGGCCATGTACAGCCACAGCGTGTAGCCCTCCAAGCCAGACGCTTCCACTCCAAAGTGATTGGCGTCCATAGCAGCCGACTGACTGGAGTAGTCGCCTGTCTTGTATGCATACCTGCCGTCCATGTCGTATGGGATGCCGAACTCGGTCAACATGCACGGATGGTTCCCAATCCGATCGAGGCCCTCCTGCCTCAAGGCCGCGTGCTGATCCCGGAAGCAATTGCGGATGGCCGTCTCGCCCAGCTTGACGGCAAGGGCCGGGTGCCAGTACCGCCCGCGGAGCACGCCGATCACGTCAACGTTCCAGTTCCGGTTCCATTTCTTGGTCATTAGCGTGATCCCATCGTACCAATGCGGAGCATACACCATCAGAGGGTCGTCTCCGTCGGGCGTGCCCTTGATGAGCGGCGGCAGCTCCATTGTGGGACCCTGTAATAGCATGATGGCGTCTTTGTGATGGGTCCGGATCATATCGCGGTACTGTCGGAAGAAGGCCATGAAGTAGTTGTTGGTGAAATAGGGGTAGTCGATGGTATCCCCGGTGTCAGGGTGCCTTCCAAAGTAATCTTTCTTGAGGAGCGTGTCTGTGGCTGGATCCCAAACGCCATGCTGCGCCCAGATGCACTCCCCCAGCTTCCACCCTGGATCTCGCTTGTAGCCATATCGTGAATCGTCGTACCCCTCCGGCAGCCACGCCATCTCCCCATGGGGGTCAATCAAGGCTCGCCCGACTTTGTACGGCCCGAGCCCGCCCATGTCCCACGTTTCGACTTCAACGGCTCGCCCGGACCCCGTAAGTATGGTCTGCCATATCGTCGGACAGGTTCCTTTCTTCAAAGCCTGCTCTTTCGGTATGACACTGATATCCTCGTACCCAATCATGCCCTTGTTCGGCTCGTTCAGACTTTCCCAACCAAATATCACATCGTTCTCGATGGCCCCAGCCTCGTGGATGCGCTTGGCGAGGTGGGCGCAGGCGCGGAGAAAATGCCCCTGCAGATAGTCCTGGATGTTCATTCCGTCTATGATGCATTTTGGCGCAAAATCCCTGCCGGCGAAGAAGAGCGTGAACATGGTCGCAGCAGCCAGACGATAGTAGTTTGTTGACCAAATCATCTTGGGGAACGCGTCCGGGTCTGGGTACGTGTTATGAACGATGGCGGCCTCGGTTGCTGCGAAGCTTTGGGGGTTGAGACCAGCAGCGTAAAGTGTCCACATGGGAGCGCCCGAGCCTCCCGTAAAGCGAGACCACTGCAATACCAGCGTTAGCTCAGTCCAGCCTCCAGAAGCGGTCGTCCCTCCTGGGGGACAACGACAGGGTGATCCGGAGGCACGCACCACATCCTGATGGGGATCCATAAAAATGTAAAAGCCGTAGCTTTTCGCCGCCCGCAGCACCTCAATTGTCTCGTCTATCCAAACCTCATCGTAGATACCCGGGCCGGCTGCCTCGATGGCCTCCCATGTGAAGACATAGCGGATGGTGTTGTAGCCGCAGCGCTTCAACCGAGAGAAATGGAGATGCGCTTCTTCCTTGGGAAACGGTCTGCCGACGAAACTGACATTGTCGCCATCGAAGAAATCGTCGGCCACGTGTGACGGCTGGTCAGGTTTGCTGGGGAACTTGGCTTCGCCGGCGACGTTGATGCCTCGGAGGATCACCTGCCTTCCCTCCCGGTCGCAGAACCTGCCATCCTGGATGGTAAGACGAAGGTTGCCCATTGTCCACAGCTATCACGCAGGTGTGTGTGCAACCGAGGGTGTACAGTCTAGGACGATGGATGAGCGACGCCAATTGTAAGAGCTTTCGGCTATGAATGAGAGGATGGGAGGAGGCGAGGAACACTCCCAAGTTCGGGTGGCCGCCAAGGTCCACGGTGAGTGGAGCACGGCTTCGGGCTGCACACTGAGCTTTTCCCAATGACGTGAAGAAAGGGCGGCGAGAAGTTCAGCCCAAGTTGTAGCTGATGGATGGGTTAAGGGTTAGGGCTGTTATCCGTTCCACTTAACGCGAAAACACGCGGGAACATGCTCTCAATAGTCTTGGCGCGTCTGTCGACTCGAAATCCAACATCAAAACATTCGCCAGATTTCAGACTCAAGGTCGGGCGAACGTAAGATTTCGCGGGCTGCTATACCTCCCGGATCATCAGTAGTACCAGACTCGGGACTCCCAAACTCAACATGCCGCATTCCGTGGACCTCGCCGCTGAACCAGGCAGCACAACCCCCTCCGACACCGCCATGGATGCAGAGACGGCAATGGAGGTAGAACCTCCGGTCGCGGCGCCAAGTAGCCCATTGGTCGACGAGGATTTTGTGATGGTTGAGGCTGGCGAGGCGCAAGGTGCGGCGAAAGATGCCAATCCGGCAGCGGGACCCCCTCCTGCGCAAGTAGCGGCGGATGAAGACATGGTGGTAGAGATCCAGCAGGAGAAGAGGCCAGAGATCAAGCTGGAAGATCTGTTTGACGGCATGGACTCGGACGACGACGATTTTCAGAGCTCCAGCAACCCTCTGAATGTGAAAGAACCTGTGTAAGCTCTGCTCCGGACTGCAACCGCTGGTTTGCGAATATCTAACTTGTATCAATCAGGGAGGAAGAAGCCTACGATCCTTCATTTGAGCTTTTGAGAATCTACTACCAGAGATTCTTCCCCTGGCGCTATATGTTCCAATGGCTGAATCACAGCCCAGTCCCTACAAACGATTTCAAGCACCGCGAGTTCAGTTTGTGGTTGCACAATGACGCCGTCATGCGGTATCAGTCATATACCACATCCGACCTGTAAGCAACTCTGTGTCGGGCCCGAGATACCCCTTAACTGACCCGCGGTTTAGATTTCGAAAGGACGTACTGCGCCTGATGCCGAGGCGTATAGAAATCGGCCCCGTGTACACGGCAGACCCGAGAGACCGCAAGACGTTCCGCAACTCGACGGCATTCGTCCCCATGGCGAAGGAGCTGTGTTTCGATATCGACTTGACTGACTATGACGATATCCGGACATGCTGCGACAAGGCCAACATCTGCAACAAATGCTGGAGGTTCACCACCATGGCCATTAAGGTCCTGGACACGGCGCTGCGGGAGGACTTTGGCTATCACCACATCCTCTGGGTCTATTCGGGTCGTCGAGGTGTCCATGCCTGGGTCTGCGACAAGCAGGCGAGGACTCTACAAGACCACCAGAGGAAAGCCATCGCAAGCTATTTTGAGGTTGTGAGTGGCAAAGCAGGCGGCAAGAGGGTTAACATCCGTCGGCCACTGCACCCCCACCTCTCGTAAGCGGCACCAGCCACGCACTCCCCATTCAGACAGCTGACAGCTCTAACCTAACCCTCTCTTCAACCGCAGACGAAGCATCGACCTCCTCAAAGAGCACTTCCAGCACGACGTCCTCGAAACCCAAGACCCCTGGGCCTCCCCCGAAAAAGCCGATGCCCTCCTCCTCCAACACATCCCAGACCCGGACCTGCGCGAGGCGCTCCGCAAGAAGTGGGACGCCTCGCCCGGCCGCCCGTCCTCCTCCAAATGGGCCGACATCGACGCGCTAGCGCAAACGGGCGCCGTCGGCGCGGCCTTCGACCCCAAGGATCTCCTCGACGCCAAGCAAGACATACTCCTCGAACACGCGTACCCGCGCCTCGATATCGCCGTCTCCCAGAAGCTGAACCACCTGCTCAAGTCGCCCTTCGTCATTCACCCGGGCACGGGTCGCGTCTGTGTGCCGATTGACAGAGATAACCTCGACGGGTTCGACCCGCTCAACGTGCCGACGCTGCAGGGGTTGGTGAGGGAGGTGGATGCGTGGGGAGGGGGTGAGACGACCGATGGGGGCGTGGCGGGCGCTGCGGATGGCGGCGCTGGTGGTGGTGATGGTGGTGGTGGTGGCGCCAGCAGCCAGGAGGTGAAGCACGTGCAGGACTGGGAGAAGACGAGTCTGAAACCATATATTGAGTATTTCAGGTCGTTTGTGACGGCGCTGATGAAGGAGGAGAGGGAGGCGGCGGTGAAGAGAGAGCGTGTGGAGGATGGGGACGTCGAGGTTAAAGTTGAGTCGCTGGATTTCTGAACGATTAGGAATACCTTGTGTCCCGGATGGTACGTATATGGGGCGACCGTGGGTACCGCAGGGCAATGGACATTGGGTATTGGATATCTGGCCGGAGAACATTACCTCGGGAGGTTGTGTGATTCAGGTGGCTAATTTACAGGATTTTACAGTGTCGGAGGATCACTCTCTCAGTCCGCGTTTTTGGTACGATATCCAGTGCTGTGTCATTCAAGTGTCTCCTGCGGCTGAATAGCGGGTTCCCAAGACTCCGAGGATGCCTTGTTCTCGGCCGGTGTTTCGACCTCCGGAGTATGATCTTCCTCTGGTCCGTCGTCCTCTTGCTCCTCGACTTCCCCGTTCTTCGCCGCCGGGCCCTCCGCATCCGTTCCCTTCAAGGTGCCGCCCTTCCGTTTGGGGATTACGTCTAAGAAGGCCTGCGCCCAGTCACCGCACTCCAGCCACCTGGTCATAATCTCCACCACCTGGTTTGTGGTCAGGACATAGCGGCTGTGCATCGCCATGTATTCGCCAATTGGCAACTTGGCGGTCCGGACCTTATATTCCCTGGCTCGCTTGTAGCAGAGCCCCTTTTCTCGGTTCCTGTCCACTATCCCGCCAATGACGTAGCTCGTGTTGGCCTCCAGTCTGCCGAGCGTGTATGGCGACTCGGAGGTAAGGTAGACGATCGACTGGTCGACGTCTTCGTCCTCGAGCTCGGCCTCCACTGCAGGGGTTGTCCATGCTGGCTCACCAACACCGGCTGGCTGCGCTTCCTTTTGTGGCCCCGGTCTAATCAGGTCGATTATCTCGCCCCCCTGCGGGCCTGACATCTGCTCCTGGGCTTGCTTCGCAGCCTCACGAAAGTCGCCCTCGTGGAACCCGACGTTCTTCCAGTTCAGGTGCGCATTCTTGAGCACCGTCTCGAACCGCTCCTTCAACTTCCCCTTCCACGAGCTGAGATGCAGGCTGGCGTGATACTTGGCCTTGCGGTTCATGGCGTAGGAGCGCACAATCTGGCTCGATAACGAGACCAGCTCCTGCTCGCGCATGTATTGCTCGAAGTCGCAGTCGATGATCAAGGCGACGGGTACGGGTCGGTATTTCCAGGGCTCTTTTTGCTGCTGCAGCACTGTCGCGGGATTGAGGCCTGCGGCTGCGGCTTCGGCAATCTTGGCCTCCTTCTCGGCGCGCTTCCTTGCCTGGCGCTCATGGCGCTTGTCCTTGCGCTTTGCCCGCCGGTCTTCCTTAAACTCCTCCCATTGCTGCTTCCGCCTCAATTTCTTGAGCTGGTTTTTGGATAATGGTTTGTTCGCGCTATCCTTTGCCTCTCCGTCGGGTGTTGCGCCGGCATCGTTGGCGGTCGCTGCTGGACTTTCGCTCGGTGCTTTTTTCGCTGCTCGGTCTAGCTCAGTCTCGGCTTTGCGCTTGCCATTGGGAGCTGACGTAGCGCCAGTCTCGGTGGGCTCTGACCGATCCGGAAGGTCGACGCCCGGCGTGATCTGTTGTGTTTCTTCAGTCGCCATGTTGGTCGCTAGTAGTCGGCTGAGGCTTTTGGGAGAGAGCTACCCAGAGCCTTGGGTCGGTTCAGAATTTAAGTGGGGTTTGCATGCTGCGGGATCTCGGCGGGCAAAATACGCCACTTAGGTAGTATAGTGTGGAGCTGAGAGGCTAACACGTTAGAACGCGTCCCAGAGCCTACCAATTAATCGAAGCGCGTCTCAGCAGACATGGTATCCTACCTACCTGGTTGAAGCACAAGTTTCCACAACGGCAGGAAACCAAAACGCCTTTCGATGTCGCATTAAGCTTCACAATTCCAAACGTACTGGAAATCAACGGCCGCCAACATGTCCTCTCGACCAGAGCTGAAGGTTTGCAATTCCCAAACTTTCTGAACAGCGTTCGCTCCTTCGGCCAAATAGTCGATCTCCAAGGCTGACCATGATTTTTCGGTACCGCAAAACAGGTCGACGATGAACATGGATTTATCCGCTTCTTCAAGTCCCTGCCCGCCGTGGGCGAAGATGTAATCCGCATCTTCGATCGAGGCGACTGGTACACAGCACACGGCGAGAATGCCAACTTCATTGCGCGAATCGTTCGTTCCTTGTTGCCCGCTTCCGCACTCCTTCGGTCCATCCCTTCTGACTGATTGACTTTGGCGGCAGGTCTACAAGACAACTTCGGTTGTGAGGCAGCTCGGCCGCGATGATCACACCGGCTTACAATCCGTCACCATGACGGTGACCGTCTTCCGCCAGTTCCTTCGCGAGGCCCTCTACAAGCTTGGCAAACGGGTCGAGATCTGGGCGAGCCCCAATGGCCGCATGAATTGGAAGATGGTTAAACAAGCTTCGCCCGGAAACCTACAAGACATTGAGGACGATCTGGGCAGTTTGGGCGATGCAGCACCCGTTATCCTGGCAGTCAAGATTTCGGCCAAGGCATCCGAGGCTCGGGCCGTCGGTGTGTGCTTCGCGGATGCCAGCGTCAGGGAGCTCGGCGTCAGCGAGTTTCTCGACAATGACCTCTATTCCAACTTTGAGGCCCTACTGATTCAGCTTGGTGTCAAGGAGTGTCTAATCCAGATGGAGAAGGCAGATAAGGAAAAGGATTCGGAGCTGGCGAAGTTGAGGCAGATCATCGACAACTGCGGCGTTGCCATATCGGAGCGGCCAGTCGGAGACTTTGGCACCAAGGACATCGAGCAAGATCTGGCGAGACTGTTGAAGGACGAGAGGTCTGCCACCCTGCTGCCGCAGACCGATCTGAAACTTGCTATGGGCTCAGCAGCCGCCCTCATCAAATACCTCGGTGTCCTTCACGATCCCTCCAACTTCGGCCAGTATCAGCTCTACCAGCATGACCTTGCCCAGTTCATGAAGCTCGATGCAGCCGCACTTAAGGCCCTCAACCTCATGCCCGGCGCAAGAGACGGTGCCAAGAACATGAGCCTGTTTGGCCTGCTCAACCACTGCAAGACACCAGTCGGCAGCAGGTTGCTGGCCCAGTGGCTGAAGCAGCCCCTGATGGACAAGACTGAGATTGAGAAGCGCCAGCAGCTTGTCGAAGCATTTGCCAACGACACAGAGCTCCGCCAGACCATGCAGGAGGAACATCTACGGTCTATCCCCGATTTGTACCGCTTGGCAAAGCGTTTTCAGCGCAACAAGGCGAACCTGGAAGATGTTGTCAGGGCATACCAGGTTGTCATCCGGCTGCCGGGCTTTCTCGGTACGTTGGAAGGAGTCATGGATGAAGCCTACCGCGACCCTCTGGATGAGGCATACACCAACAAACTCCGCGAATTGTCCGACAGCCTAGCCAAGCTGCAAGAGATGGTCGAGACAACCGTCGACCTTGACGCTTTGGATAACCACGAGTTCATCATCAAGCCCGATTTTGACGACAGCCTGCGCATCATCCGCAGGAAGCTGGACAGGTTACGAACCGATATGGACAGGGAATTTGCCGATGCAGCAGGCGACCTGGGCCAGGAGAAGGACAAAAAGATCTTCCTCGAAAACCACAAGGTCCACGGGTGGTGCATGCGGTTAACCCGGACAGAAGCCGGCTGTATTCGGAACAAGTCCCGGTACATGGAGTGCTCGACACAGAAGAACGGCGTCTACTTCACGACGAAGACCCTACAGGGGTATCGCCGCGAGTTTGACCAGCTGTCTCAGAATTACAATAGGACCCAGAGCGGCCTGGTTAACGAGGTCGTCGGCGTGGCTGCCTCCTACAGCCCCGTCCTCGAGCGGCTTGCCGGCGTCCTAGCCCATCTGGACGTGATCGTGTCCTTCGCACACTGCGCCGTCCACGCCCCTATCTCCTACGTCCGGCCCACGATCCACCCTCGTGGAGAAGGCCAAACTATCCTGACTGAGGCGCGCCACCCCTGCCTGGAAATGCAGGACGACGTCCAGTTCATTACCAACGACGTCGAGCTGACACGCGACAAGTCTTCCTTCCTCATCATCACGGGGCCCAACATGGGCGGCAAGTCGACCTACATCCGCCAGATCGGCGTTATCGCCCTGATGGCGCAGATCGGCTGCTTCGTGCCCTGCAGCTCGGCCGAGCTGACCATCTTCGACAGCATCCTGGCGCGCGTCGGTGCCAGCGACAGCCAGCTCAAAGGGGTGTCCACCTTCATGGCCGAGATGCTCGAGACGGCAAACATTCTCAAGTCAGCGACGGCCGAAAGCCTCATCATCATCGACGAGCTGGGCCGCGGCACGTCGACCTACGACGGCTTCGGCCTCGCCTGGGCCATCTCGGAGCACATAGTCAAGGAGATTGGCTGCTTCGCCCTCTTCGCCACCCACTTCCACGAGCTGACCGCCCTGGCCGACAGCTACCCGCAGGTGCGCAACCTGCACGTCACGGCCCACATCAGCGGGACAACAACCAACAGTAAGAAAGACGACGACGAGAAGCGCGAGGTCACGCTCCTATACAAGGTCGAGCCGGGCGTCTGCGACCAGAGCTTCGGCATCCACGTTGCCGAGCTGGTGCGCTTCCCGGACAAGGTGGTCCGCATGGCCAAGCGCAAGGCCGACGAGCTCGAGGACTTTACGACGTCCCACCACCATCACAACAAGCACGAGACCGACGACCCCATCGTGGCCCCTACTTCCGCCACCAAGTACAGCAAGCGCGACGTCGAGGAGGGCAGCGCCCTGCTTAAGGACGTGCTGGTCCGCTGGAAGGATGAGGTCCGCGGCGGCGCCATGTCCAAGGCGGACATGGTTGCGAGGCTGAGGGAGATGGTTGGGAAAGAGGAGAAGTTGTTGGCGAATCCGTTCTTTCAGAGTGTAAAGACGTTGTGAACTGCTGGATGGGGTGTGCAGAGATTAGCTCTACGTGTCTGGCTGGTGATGTGATGCTTTTCGATCCTGAAGGAAGTTTGCTGTCGGGAAAGCGGATTTTCTACGGACTTTGGCAATGGCGGAAACATGGCTTGGAGGGTTGCTAGGCGTTGAGGGTTGGAGCGCATAAGTATGTAATAGCTGTCTAGTGCAATACGACTGCTGTACCGTACCTTGTGGTGTGTTCTTCGGATTATTCACCTTTCTAGGCGCAGTTCATCTTTACGACATTCATTTTGGGAAAATAAACCGTTTGTTTGCCGGGTCAAGGTTAAAGCCACAAACCAGGAGGTGGACGAGGAATAAGCCAGAAAATGAAGAATGCTTACTTGATTCCAAGCTTCCGGGTCACTGACAGCAGCCGCCATCGACCGGATGAGGATCCCCAAGCATCCATGCAGACCAGTCCAACGGATTTTCACCGGGATAAATCACCCGACCCTACGCGTGTCCTCACAGCTCTTTGTCCACCAGCATTCGCCCTTCCTTCGAATTCATCCCTGCACCATACACGGGCCTTTGCGTAAAGAGGAGGTATGCCCCCTTCCAGATCTTCTACTCCAACCACAGGCTCTCTTCTCCATGAATCCGCTCTCTTATTGTCTACCCATCGCCCTCCTACAAACAGGATCAACCACGGTCTACAGGATGTTATACGGAGGCGGCTCCATCTCGACATCTTCAAGATGCTCCACACTCGCTACCATGTCCTCCCTCGGGCCAGCATCGGCCATGACCGTATCCTGCGACGTACGCTCGGGACGCGGCGGTACGGGGGGCAGCACCTGCTGCGGCCGCGGCTGGCGGCGCGGGATACTGACAAGCTCGTTTACCTCATCCGCCTTGACATAAGCAAGGTAGTAAGGCTCGCCCTTTGAATTGAGCTCTCCGAGGACCTGCTCTCCCGAAGGGTGGACCGTCACGGTGGCGTCGTTGTATTTCCGCCAGACGCCGCGCTCAAAGTCGTGGATCCACACCCAATAGTGGCCCGCTGAGGCGGTCGACCCCGCGTGACACACCACGGCGTGGAGGCGGTATGCCACCGAGTGGGCGTCGCCGAACAGGCTGTCCCGCTCGGCCGTCAGGCGCTCCCGCTCTTCGTTTTCCTCCGCGACGAACCTCTCCCAGAACCCACCGAGGTCCGCAGGCGGTGCCGGGGCGGGTTCAAGGGCTGTTGCTGGCGGTTCTGCGGCACCCCTCTGGGGTATATCGGGTCCCTCAATATTGTATTTGCTCAACAGCTGCTTTAACTCTTCACTAAAACCAGTACCGTCTGATTTCGACTGGCCAGTGGCTACGTCCGCCATGGATGATGGGACCTGGGCTTGGAAACCTAGGCCTCCTATGACAAGAAATCCATCGACCTCCTCTTCAGTAAGGTCATCGTTTCGTGTGCCAGGGTTCGACGAACGGCCAGCGACTTGCGATTCGGCTTTGGCGGTCTCTAAGGCCTCCTTCGCCGCTGGGTTTGCCAACTCGTTCAGTCTCGCCTTGATGTCCCACTTGCGCTTCCTTGCTTTGAAAAGAACAGACTGAGTGTCCGCAATATGCATGAAGCGGTCGAGATATAGCGTCTCGGGGATAGTGATAGGGTTAGAGTTCTTCCTGACGCCGTCAGATCGCTGGATGCAGATGTGGAAATGAGGCGCGGGTCGTTCGATGGTGGTAAACGACAAGAGATCGCCCGGCAGCGGCTCGAGGTCAAATGAGTTGGCCAGGGCATCATACAAGTCCCGCGTCCCTGACTGGGCCGGGTACGCTGTCACCCAGCGGTCAGATCGTCTGGTCCGATTCCAGTCTGGTTCCCCAATCTTCTTCCGGTTGTCAATGAAGGTTGAGAAGAAAGCTTGTTCGATGGGATCTGGTGCGGCATCGTATTTCCCAATGCTTGAAACCTTGAATGCTGCCCGCAAGTGATCAATTGCGTTTCCCATAACTTCGTCGACGTCCATTTGATCGGAGCCAACATTCGGCTTATCGAGTTCCGCGGCCAGCTCCTCGACAGTGAGCTTTGACATTTTCACTCCTCCGTGGGTGGCGCCACCGACAGTTGGGTTAGAGGGCGTTGGTTCAGTAGGGAAGGCCTCAGCCGCGGCGGTGGCCTTGTCGCCGCACCGATCCTCAGAGGCGGTAACCGGGCCGCCTCCCCCCTCTGGCTGGTTGACCAAGGTCTGTTGCGAACTAGCAGAACTTGCGGTTTCCGTTCGCTCGACATCCACCATAGGTACGTCCGTAGATGCGCCTGGCGCCTCCGAGATGGAACCCTCGGCAGCGCGGGGCGGCAGTGGCGGCGCATCATTACTACTGGCACCTTGAGTGGCCTCAGAGTCCGCTGACCTATGGCGGAGCTTCTCCGGCCTGAGCAAAGCGGCATTGGCAAGGCGTTGCCGAGGCCGAATTGAACTATCGCCCGTGGCATCCAACTCTCGAAAAAGGGTGCTCAACTCGCGAGTAACTGAGAGACAACGAGTCAGCGCCGGCTCACCAAACCCTCGATGACGGATAGAGCGAGAAACCTACATTCATGACCAACAAAGGCTCTGCCGGTTTCCAAGTCGGGTGGGCTCTGGCTTAAGCCGTCACTGTTGTTACTGGTAGTTGTGCGCAGGATGTTGCCGAGGTTCGCTTCCGTCGGCTCCAGGGAAGGCAGGTTGGTGTTGATCGCCAGGTTTCTGACAGCGTTGACAGAGTAGAAATACTGGAGTATGCTGTTGAGGTAGCAGGTATTTCGAAGATTACCAAGCCCGACGGGCAAATCAAAGTCCACGGCCTCATGAGAGCGCATAGGGTCGGAGACCGTATCGCCAGCATGGTCATCACCCGATGAGGTAAACTGAGATAAGCGGCCAAATCGTAGCTCAGCCACGACGCCTTCGAAAGCGGAACGGTTGGGGTCATCTGCCGGCAGGTGGTTTGAAATAGTGTTGAGCGCTAAAAGGATAAGGTCCACGTAGTCCAGATCCTTCCCCTGCGTCCAGTGTGTTAGTACTGTATCTTGAGTCGTAAAACGCACAGGTTGGGTGCTGCACGACATACCGACGACAGGCTCTGTGCAGTGACCGCAATGGAGTCCATCGGCCATTCTGGTTCAACCCCTAGGAATTGGCAGGCTTCTGATATCTTCATCGGTTTTCCGAAGACCTCGTCCCGAATTTCTTGGCTGTCCTGGTCTTTCCCAATCTCGAGCAAGGCGACTCGGTGGTCTGCTTTCTGTGCCGGAGACTGCTCTCTGTAGGTCCGATACACGCGAATGATGTATTCCGGGTCCTGGGGGTAGTGCTTTGTAAGACCGAAATGGGCGTAGGCTCTGTCAACCGGATTGGCATCCGCGGCTCCTGGCGCAGCCTCCCGCTTCTGACTTGGAGACATCACCTCTTGCTGATTGAAGACGAACAGTTGGAGATCTTCGGACCGGCGACCTGCGAGGGTGCCGAGTGCTTCCAGGTAGGCTTGTGCCCTCTCTGAATCCGTTTCCACCTGCCTGATGTAGGCAAACTTGAGCAGGGGATCGTCTGCATCGATCGGCGCACCCAAGGTGGTAAAATGCGGAAGCTCGCTCGAGCTAATGGATAGCGTGCTCAAGGAACGGTGACTCCTGTCGCAGCCGAGAGCCTTCTCCAGTTGATCGCGGGCTGACGAGATCGGCTTGACAACAGGCTGGCCGTTCAAGGGTGGTTTGTCGTCCAGCAGGCTCTGCACCTCGCTTCTTACATCTTCGAAAAATGCCCTCAATGACACAACGGGAGTTTTGCCTTCTTGAGGTTGCAGGCGCGGGGGAAGCATGTAAGACTCTCCGGTGACCTCGTCGGTCCACTCCTCAAATCCCAGGTATCGAAAGATGTGGTCGCAGTCCCGGCCAAACTGCACCTGAAAGGTCTTGTTCCGCCGGGAGATCTTCTTACGGGGTCCCTTGCCATCGTCGTCGGTTATATTCTTGAGATACTGGTGCAAGGTGCCAAGGGCAGATGTTCGGAACAGGGTCTCCTTCTCGGGCGTGATGTCCGCGTAGCGGGTCGGGTCTCGCTCTTTAGCCAGCCTCAGGGACTCCTTAATCCTATTATCGTCCGTGATCATCTTGATCCACATGGGTTTCAGACGAGGTGAAGATATGTCGAGGTGCACAGCAATCCCGCACACCGTGCAGGCATATTGGATCTGGCCATGAGGAGGGTTCTGTTTGCAAGGCTCGGGCACTTCGGAGTCCTCGAAGTGGTGCCAGCTCGTGTCCTGCACACGGAAGTGGTGTTGCAAGTGTGCCGTGGCATCCTCGCGGACCGAAGGGATGACGTGGAAAACAAAGTGGTAGCGGCAGTACCTGCACATACAGGAGAGCAGAGATCTGCCCTGGCCCTCCGGATCGTGTGCATCATCATAGCTCTGCGAGGGGATGATCACGAGGTCGTGATCATGGCCTGCGTCGGGACGAGGGGGAAAGACGCGCAGCGGAGGGCATTCGGTAGGAGGCTCGCTCTGAAAGAGCGCTGGGTCCATCTGGCCCCGCCATTCCTTATCAGCCACGGGGCGACCAGAGAGCCAGTCGTGGACAAGCCTGGAGGCCAGTCGTCCGCCTGAAGTTTGATGAGCGTCCAATGGTTGGGGGTTGGCCTGGGGCAGGGGAAGGTTTGCTCACCTTTTTCGGGTTGTCCCAATTCCGTCGCTTTCGCCACTAGAGAGGGCGAGTTAGCAAGTGACAATGGATTGGTAATGGTCAGCCCAGTAACTTGGGCTGCAACTTGGTCGACAGACATGGTGACGGCGCAGGTAGAAGGGGGATCAAAGAAAGGTCGGGTGTTACAAGGAAGACGAGGGTCTGGCACACAAAAGTGGGGGTTATGTACTTTTGAACACTCGCAAAGATAAGATTGTCTGCGGTTTTCAGACCAAAAATGGACACTCTGATGATGGGAGCAGATTGCTCGTTGTTGCTCGCGTCCTTTAGACCGGGGGATTGTCTTGATGAGACAAGCCAGAGCAAAGGGAAGCGGACGGGTTCGAGTGTTGACTGGCGGCTATTCTGCAAGGCACAACAAAAGTCTGAGCGGACTGATGATACAAACCATGGGGCTGATTCAGAGCACGAACCTCGGTGCGAGACGGTATGAGATGGACTCGGATGCGAGATCAGCATGTGGTTGGGAGATGGACATAAGGAGGAATGCGATGCTTTGGTGTGGCGGCGAGGAATCAAACAGATGCCCCGCTACCGTACCTTGTTCCTGATGATACGGAAAGAAATGAATGAAGAGAGCACAGCAGCCTTTGGAAGTCGTCCAGCATGCAAGCGATGGTAGAAGACAGCATCAACCGAAGACCAGGCTGACGAATCCCAAGTCGCCTCCCGACGACAACAGCCTGGGAAGGAGCTGTTGTCAGCTTCAGGCCTCTTGAAGTGAATGAGCTTGGACGGCCCGGTGAGCGTTGAAGCTTGGCTTCGCCAAGCCTTCCCTTGTGTATGTGTGTTTAAGTGCCCCACTGAGTCTTCTCCAACCAATCCCGGCCTTTGAATTGGCTGCTCTCTGGCTCCATTTCCAATCACCCACCGGCCGATTAACCGTCAACTGACATCGACTGGAGTTTTGACCCTCCTGCCTGCAACCAGCTCGCAAACAGCTCTACCCAACAACAGCCGGCAACATGGCGCCGGCCGAGGACGACCACTACCATCCCAAGGATGCCATCCATTCCGGTTTATACAACAGCATGGTTTTTGGCGGCGCCGGTCTTCTCTTCGCCGCCGTGAAGAACTCGCTCGCAAGGAAGAACGTCGGGCCCTGGACCACCTTCACCAAGAACGGCGGCGTCATCGCCACCTTTAGTACGCTCTTCGCGTCTCGGAACTCTCTACGTGCTTTGCTGACCTTGTCCTCTCAGCGCTTGTCGGCGGCGCCTACGAGTTCACCCGCGTTGCCTCTGCGAACCTACGCGAGAAGGAGGATTACTGGAACCACGGCATTGGTGGCTTCGTTGCCGGTGCCGTTATTGGTCTCAGGAGTAAGGTCCTTCCTACAACAATTTCCGGGGTCTGACGAAGCTGACGATCGAAACTCCCTGCAGCCGGACGCATGCCACGCATCCTTGGCTATGGCGCCCTCACCGCCGTGTCCTGCGCAGCATTCGAGTTCACAGGCGGTACTTTGAGGGGATACTGGAACGCTCCCCAAGTGGACGAGTACGAGCGGAAAGAGATGTTGCGCAAGAACAGGAGGAGGCCGATTGAAGAGACGATAGCCGAGATTGGCGAGGGCAGAGGTGCGTACCCTTGTCCCGCAACCCCAATGCTTTCTCTTCTGTCCATAACTCACCTTCTGGCTCCAAGGTATCCGACCGCCGGGATATGAGGAGCGGAGGCGAGAGCGAATCAAGGAGAGGTACGGCATTGACATCAACCCCGTCTGCGCCGACCCCGATGCCGCATGAAGGAACGGCCAAACGTGGCCTGCTGTGGGCTGTGTATATATAGCAGGAGACATACGGGCTGCCTCTCCTTAGAGAATGGCAAGGCTGTACCATCAAGGAAGATGGCTGGGAGAGTTTCTGTTGCATCGTGCGGAATCTTCGTTCGCTTGTGCAAGGTATGTGGCACCTTATTCCGTTCTTCCCTCCTGCAAGTGATGATTTCTCCTTAGAGGCTGTTTATGAACAGCTGTCATGATTATACCAATTCACCTACATTGTTCTATTTCTGATGCTACCAAAACAAATTGCATCTGTTTCTCATTACTGAGGGGTTTCAGGTCCGCTAACATGCGGCAGTGCTTACCCGCGAGTGATTTGTTGTGGAACACGGCTTGTCGACAGTGTTGCGGACATTTCTATCTTTGCTCTCTTTAGCTGCTTCAAACCGGTACGTCTGCAACCCTTTCTAACAACGTTCCCTTCTACCATGATGTATCATCCCAAGAGGCTGTTTATGAACAGCTGTAATGATTCTTACACATCACCTACATTGTTCTACTTCTGAGAGTTACTCTAGCCAGCTGCTTTCCTCGCTCCTTTATCGGCCACCTTCAGATCGCTAACGTTACCTAGCCTTAAGACTCTTCAAGCTATGCATCCCCCATCGTTTTATTTCTACCTTATTTTTTCCGTCGCAACGTCCAGGATCACGAATCAGGAATTCTATAGAGGTGGCTCCGATGACATCCCTATTGACAGCACTCTTGAGATGTTTCGTTACCGGTCGGTACCTTAGCATGATAGGGAAGACCCGTTCATGATCTGAGAGGTTGCCAGTAAGTCGACAACAGGAACCTACTAGAAAGTTACAGAGACAACCCAGCCCAATATCCACCAACGCACGTCAGAAGCGGCAGTGGCCTTTTTCCTGCAGTTCATGAACGTCGGGTTACATGCAACGGGCAACAGACCCGATAAATAAAGTAATTTCAGATTTCCGGTACGCCGCCCAGTCTATTGGCGGTGCTCTTCCTGTCATATCGCTCATAGGAAAAAGGCAAAACGTATCCAACATGACCATCCCGACCAAAACAGAGAAGGAGAATGCAGGTCAAACAGATATATATATAAGTACATTTATTCGGCTCCAACGACCACAGTTACCACCCAAGCCCTTCTACTCCTTTTGCTCCCACTTATCCATTTACAGCTTCATCCCCAGCATCTTATGGACCCTCATGCTCTGGCGTATGCTCAGGTCCAGCATGATCTCCTCGCTGCCGCCGGGGATGGCATAGGCGCGGACGTCGCGGTACAGGCGCTCGACCTTGCCACCCTGGCCACCGCGCGAGTACGACAGGCCGCCAAAAATTTGCGAGGCTTCACGGGCGCAAAACTCAAAGGTCACGGTAGCCTGGGCCTTGAGCGAGGCGATGGGGCCGCCCAGGCGCAGCATGGCCTCGGTCTCGCCCATTTTCTCGCACTGGTAGATGAGGTTCTCGAGCCAGTTGTAGCTGGCCTCGATCTGGCGGGCCATGTGGGCCAGCTTGAGGCGGATGACGGGGTGGTCAATGAGCTTCTTGCCAAATGTCCTGCGCTTGTTGGCGTACTTGACCGACTCCTCGAAGCACACGCGCGAAAAGCGCAGGCACTGGATGATGATGCCGATGCGCTCGTGGTTAAAGTTTGTCATGATGACGCGGAACCCCTGGTTCTCCTTGCCGATCAGGTTCTCGACGGGCACCTTGACATCCTCGAACGTGATGTAGGTCGTGCCGCTCGACCACACGCCCTGGCAGTCCATGCGGCGCGTCGACACGCCGCCAAAGTCGCGCTCGATCAGCAGCAGCGATACGCCGTTCATGCCCGGCCCCCCGGTGCGCACCGCCGTGGTGAAATAGTCGCACCAAATGCCGTTGGTGATCCACTTTTTCTCGCCGTTGACAATGTAGTGCTTGCCGTCCTCACTGAGCTTGGCCTCGCACGTCAGGTTGGCCACGTCGCTGCCGGCGTCCGGCTCCGTGATGGCCAGGCAGATGCGCTTGTCTCCGTTGAGGATGCCGGGCAGGATGCGGTCGACCAGCGACTTCTTGCCGAACTTGACCAGGGGCGGGCATCCAATCCCGAAGCCTCCGATGACGTTCCAGACAAAACCGCCCGAGCCGACGCGGCTGAGCTCGTCCGTGAGCAGCAGTTCGTGGAAGAGATCCCATTTGTCGGCCGGCACCGACTTAATGGGGTTCTGGACGTAGTCCTTCTGGTAGTGTGTGCCAAGCAGGCCGGCCAGATAACCGCGGCGGCCCATCTCCTTGTAGACCTCGGGAGGCACCATCTTCTTCTCGTCCCACTCGGTGACGTGGGGCTCGATCTCCGTCTCGATCCACTCGCGGACCTCGGCTCGGAGAGCGGCATGTGTCTCGTTGAAGTAGGGCGAGTGGTACTGCGAGCGCAGGGAACGTCAGTAACTTGAACAACGCAATACCTTAGGGTACGGTTTTTCCTAGAACGGGAACTACTCACACCTTGATACCAACTCGGGTCCGAGAAAGGAATTTGTTGGCCAAAGGGCTCAAGAGCCTCGGCCTGCTCGGCGGGAGCAGCCGCAGAAGCAGCAGCAGGCTTCGGCTTAGGCGCCTCCTTTTTGGGGGCTGGCGCGGGAGCCGGAGGGGCAGCCGGCTTTGGCTTGGTGTCTAGCGAGCCAATCTGAAGTTGCTTCTGGTACTTCTTGAGGATGCCCTCGTTGTGATATTTCCAGAACTGCTTAGACGCATCCTTGCCGGCGACTCTCTGGAGGATCTTCTTGCCGCCTGCATCACCATACCATTGTTAGGATCTAAGCGAAGTATCGGGGTTGCGCATTGAGCGGGTACGTACCCGGATGGTCCTCTTGAAATTTGGTGAGATCATAGACGTCGCCGTCGACCACGATCCACAATGAGTCTGGCTTGTTGTGCGACGCGACGTCGCTCTGACTGAAGGTCTTGGACATGGCGATCGAACTGGGTGGCTAAGGTAGTACTGCTGCTGCGTGTATACTCGCGGTCACCCAGACTGGACGTTGAAATTAATGATTGTGGGAGGTGGGAAAGAATAAAGAGATGAGATCGGGAGGAGGTTGGTGGCGAGCGGGTGGAAGAGGACGGCGCAATAAAAGACCGGCATTCAAGGGCCTGGATGGGGATCTTCGCGATCACATGTGAACCTGAGACGGCGGAAGTGGGACACTCTGGGGTCCCGGGGAATGGTTCAAATCTGGGGCACATGGCCCCTCCGTTTTAGGCCTCACTGCCCGTTGCGGGTGGTTAAGGTACTCGCTGCACATGTCCGGTGGTAATTGTATTCGTTCGCTGGCTCTCGCTAATGAAGCAGTAGTGTAATCCGTATGTACTCGTACATACGACTTTCCAACCCCGGCGACATCGATTCAGCAATCCACGCCACACAGTCCTGAATCCTGACCCGGCCCCGCGTCCCAGTTTTGGTTCTCTCTGGGAGACATGAGCCGAGCCGAGAAATTGACTGGCATCCCTCGCTGCGCATACTTCTCTCTAAAGCTTTGCTCTTTTTCACTGCCTGGACATCCATATTTCGGTTACTTTAACCAACTCCACACTCTGACTGCCGAGCGCACTGCTGGACGGGAACTTGCATGTGACAGACAGTCGCAACCGCTTGCAAACCCTCTCTGAGCAGCCCAGTCCTCGGCTGATGTCATGGCATTCCCAAACCAATGACAGTGCGTCGGATTACCAGGCCTGACGAGCCGAGGCAAAAGTGGACCTGCCGCCAACAGACGACGGAATTGGCCGTACGGAGGTACAATGACTCGAATAGGGTGTCGATGATCGGTACGTGTAAGAGTTGACACGCTGCCAATGTAGTAAATGCGACAACCATCAAAAACGCAATGGAACTCATGGAGCATTGTGTTGTGTGCAATTATTGTACTGTGAAGCCCGGGGCAGCGATGCCTCACCGGTGACACCTAAGCAACCGGGCTCGAAGCCTCCATCAGCTTGTCGTCCCGACCTGTGAACGCCAGCAACGCCGAGCCAACCCTTTTGCCCGTTTATGAGAAAGCGAAACCTAAGCAAGATGCATCTTGCAAATGCCATCGTAAAAAGGAGGAAGCCCTCTTCCCTCAAAAATATTGACCTTTGAACCACCAGCGTTGTTCCCATTACGCAGTCCCGCGAGGCTTGGCCTTCAGCTTGGCCTTCTCCTTCTTCTCCTCCTTGATCCTCTTCTTCTTGGCTTCGTTCTGCTCCTCTAGCTTGCGCTTATGCGCCGCTTTTTCCTTTTCCGTTTTGGGCAGCACCTTGAAAAACCCCTCGATGCGCGACTGCTGCGAGCTCTTGAGGTTCTTCTCGAGGCGCGCCCCGCCCGCGCGCACCCGGTCCTCCGAGAAGGCCTTCTCGTGCACCAGGAACTGCACGAGCCCCTCGATGTCGGGCTTGTCCCACTTGAAATCGCACAGCGGGTCGTCGGCCGGCCGCACGTCGGGCGAGAAGAAGAGGTCCCGCGCGTCCTCGAACGGCCAGTCCTCGGGCACCGCGTACCGATTCTTGGGGTCGTTCTTCATGAACTCGACCACCTTTTCGAGCGTCCCGTGTTCCCGGATCAGTTTGAGGGCCGTCGAGGGGCCGACCTTGGGGATCGGGTCGAGGTAGTCGCAACCGAGCAGGATGCAGAGGTCGACAAACTGTGAGACGGTAAGGCATAAACGTTGGCAACGCTCCCGTAGCGGTTTATCGGACCAGGGTAAAAAGCGCGACATACCTGTTTCCGCTCCATGTTCAGGCCTTCCAATACCTTGTCGAGATGGATTTCCTGGATCGGTTCCTTGCGCTGCTCGCTAAAGGTAAGATGGCGCAGAAGAATCGGGGTGTTGAAGCAGAGGGTGTCCATGTCCTCGCTGGCGGCAGCGTAGACCTTGCCAGCGCGCGCCAGCACCGCGCACTGCGCCTCGGCCTCGGTGGGCGCGACAATGTAGGGGATGCCCATCAGCTTGAGCAGTCGCTGACACTCGGCATTGTGCTCCTTTGTTACGCGCACCGTCCGGCGAGAGAACTTCTCCACGTCCTCGGCCGTGCCCGTCTCCTTCGCCTCCTCGAGCCCCTCGTTCGCCTCTTGTTTTCGCTGGAACCGCCTTGCCAGCTCGCCCGACTTGAGCTTGGGCGGCGCGCCGTCGAACACGTAGAGCGGTTTGATTCCGTTGTCAACCATGCGAAGGGTGCGGTAGAACATGCCCATCAAATGCGATGTTGTCTCGCCGCTATCGTTCATCAGCTGCTGGCCGTCAGATCGCACGGCGATCAGGAAGCTGTAGATGCTCATCGAACTATCAATCGGTCAGATACAGCAAGGGGTTTGGCACAGCTGATTGAGTCCGTACGCATCCTAGGAACTTGTTAACCAGACTTGAAAAAAAAGATTGCAGGCACTTCTACTTACAATGGCGACCTTACGGCCGAACTGATTTTTGATTTCGCCCTCTTTGACGGCCTCTGGGGCTTCCTCCTTGATGATAGAAAAGAGGTTTTTGATACCCATTGTGACTTCTCTCTCTGCGAGACTTGCGAAGGTTAGGGCCAGACTCTTCGTAGAATTTACTGTGAAATGCGTGCCGGTCGGTCCACGCAGGTTGAGCGGAAATGGGTCGAGAGAACGGTTGGAATCAGCCGCTCCGTGATGTCACGGAATCGGTTATCGCGTCGTACGCCCAGAGTGTGACGCGCCCTGCCGCGAAATAAAAGTGGGACAAATTAAACCCTGGTCTGCTTCGTAGTTCCATTGCATGGGTCACAGCGTAGTTACTATTAGATGGCTCTCGGGCGATGGGGACACACAACACAATTGGTGCTGGAAAGATGGAATGTTTCTACTCCGTATCACAAGTTGAAGCTATAATCATCGAGGATGCGCAGTCTTGAAGCCTTCAGAGAGTACGAATACTTCAGCAGCCGAATTCCTCCGTACAGGCGCCCTTCGTGAAATTAACCTGACGTTGCGCCGATTAGGGATTGGACGGCATTATTTTCTGAGCCGTTCGGCACCTTACGATGAATCATGGTGTTTGGCTCTTGGGGGAGTATGGTCGCAAGGCTGAAACTTATAAGAGATCGACGGAAGTGCACCACCATGGCAGAGTCAGGGCGATTTATTACGGGCGATCTATTCTTATCTATTACCTTAGCCCTGGTGGTGCCCTTCCGTCAATTTCAGAGCTTCAGCCTGCGACCATACTCCCCCAGAGCTTGCGCATGCGATGTGTACGAATTGCCCGGCACTAGACAGAGTAGAACTGACGGCAGACACCGGCAACAACAGCATGGATCTCGAAACGGTCATCATCGTGATGCAACACTCCGCCATGAATGGCAAATGAGCTAAATACGATGTAGCTATTCGAAACAGTTATGTACCATAAACTCTAACTCGGGCAGCTCTCGTTCCAAGATGCCGACCAGTATCTATTAAGCCGTGATGTAATCCAAACATACGACAATACAAGCGCCGACGACTAGAGAACAGTATATGTTTTCAGTGCGAACCGCGTAGCAAGCTGGTTGGTGGTGCCGGTCCAGTGAAGGGATGTCAACCTCCCCTCCTCCCCCGTAAGAGTGCCACGTCTTTAAAGTCCCTCCCTGAAGGCTCGCTAGCCGCGGGTATCATACCTAATTCCAACACTCGGCGCACGAGGTTGGCAGCAGCCTTATCCAACGTAGTCAGCGAGATGCCGAGGATTTGGTCGTCTTCCACCCAGGAATAGGTACTGTTATCTAAAAAGACAGGCAAACGTGCAAGCTTTGTGTTGGCGTCCCGCGCCCCCCCGTTGGTGTAGAGAGCAACCATCGCCTGCACTGCCCGCGCCAGCTGACGAGAAATCGGCGCAATGGAGCGACGGGGAAGCAGAAAAGAGCACTCCACATGGATCAGAAGTTCTCCTTGCCCCAAACAAAGTTGAACCTAAAACTCCCTGTTAGTGCCAGGCAGAAGAAATGCAGCTGCGCTTGAGAAGTTCACTTACCCGGGCTCGCTGTACTTATTGCAGTAAATATGCAATGTGCTGCCCAACCCCTTGGGACCGCAGAAGAACACGCCGGCCTCGGCGGGTGTGTGCAGTTTCCTGATTCCTCTAAAGATCATATCCCAGTTGGGTCGGCCAAAGTTGGTCGGCGACCGGAGGCCCGTAATCGTATCCTTGTCGGCGTTGGCATCGTTGATCATGATATTCGTCGCGTCGTCGACCTTGATCTTGGCCGTCAAATACGTGTGGATTTCGATCCGGTTGTCCACGTCCTGCGCCTCAATAGCCAGGAGCAGAGACCGGAACCACTCAAAGGAGCCAAAGTCTCTGCAGATCCAAAAGAAATACACCTTACTCAGCCGCGTCTTCTTTTGCGGGTAGTTCATGCGGTACCAGATCGACTTGAGGATTGAGGCGAAGGGCGTCACGCCGATGCCGGCGCCGCACAGGATCGCAATCTCGTACTTGAACACGTCCTCGGATGCCGACCCAAACGGCCCGTCAATGTAGACGCGCGGGAGCACCCGCCGCAGCGCCGGATCCACCCCGTCGTTGTCCTGGTTGACGCCCACGACTTTGGACGACTCGCTCTTCTTTTTGTCGAACTCACAACCAAGCGTCTCGGCAACCGCGCGGGTGAAGTCGCCCACCACACGCATGTGAATCGAAATGTAATCCTCTTCGGGCGCGCTGGTCAAGGTAAACGGGTGGTATTGCCACAGCGAGACCGCGGGGCAGCAGAAGAAGATGTACTGCCCGGCTCTCGTCTTGATGTGCTCTTTCTTGATCTGAATCTCGCACACGTTGCTAGGGTGCTGAATGACCTTCGAGATGTACGTCCTGTGCCTCCCGCGGATCTCGCGAGCGATGCGCTCGGCGAGGTAGGCAAAGCCGCCGTACATCCAATACTGCCAGAAGACGCCGATGGCCGAGGCGCCGACCGAGGTGCAAAATGGCGCAAAGTCGGGCTGGATCATGCAGAACGCGCCGTGGATGGACCAGAAGAAGAAGAAGACGATGAACATGTGATGTGTGTACCAGAATCGTTCGTAGTTTGCGCGCCGCGTCTTTTCGACCGAGGTGATGACCATGCCCGTCAGGGCGATGAGCATCACGTACCCGGTCCAGCCCGGCCCCGACGCCAAGTTAGCCAGCAAGAACCCATAAAAGCCAAGGTTGTTTTTCGCCGCGATCTGTGCAAAGTTGTTCCAGTGGGCAATCGTGTGCACCCAGGAGAAGAAGAAAATGGACCATGCGGTGGTGATGTGGAATGTGATGTTTTTGTCGAACTGGATGATGCCGTTGAGTGGTGTCTGCCTAGCCAGCGAGATGAGCGTGCGGCAGACCGGGAAGAGGATCAGGGCGACATCAACGTGGAGGACGAGCGCCGCTGACCGTGCAATCATAAATGTCGGCCCAAATGTCTCACGAGCAGTCTGTAAACTGTCCTTGAGTGTGAAGTGGACGAAGCTGAGCGCGAACACGGCGGCGTGGAGGAACATGAACACAAAGACGAAACTGTGTTGACCGGTCAGCTTCAAACTCAGGGTAGTAACCACGGCAGGCTGAAATCAGCTGAGACCTACATTCGCCGGTAGCCTTCGTTCACCATCCATCGGTCAAACTTCTCCCGTGGAGTCAGCTCTTTTTGCTTCTCCTGCGTCATCTCGCCCGACAGCAACATGCGCGTCAGGGGCGTCCATCTTGATCGCTCCGACTGCTTCATTGACCCTGGGCTACCCCGATAGCCATCGTATCCTCCGTAGCTCGCCATGCCGGGCCTCGGTGTCCTTTTCGCCGCCTCCCAGCGCGCGTATCCCGTTAAGTCCCCTCCAAAACCTCTCTCGAGAGTTTGGTCTCTTATTCCCAATGGCTTCGTCTCAAGCCCCTCTCCAGTGGGCAGGCGATGCCCAGTACCTTCGAAAAGTCCAGCGATTAAACGTCGATGAAGAATCAATCCGTAAAGATCTCGGTATCAGAGCCTGCTGAACCGGCGACGAAGGTCCATGTCACGACAGTCGAGAAGGATATTGGTCGAAGAGGAATATCAAGGAATGGATATGGAGCCTGCATTTGCCACGCGGCAGCGAGGCGGTGATGGTCAGTCAACCAAGCACCTGATGGAATGCCCAGCACCAAAAAGGAAGAGAGTATGGTAAGGGGAGCGTGGGGAGAGCCGGAAGTTTACGAGGGGGCGGACGGGTTCTGTTAAGAGAGACGCCAAGATCAAAGACGCCGAAACAAGTGATAATTCGTGCAGATCATACCTGTCCACAAATGCCCTGTCTTCTTGCAATCGGTTGTTGTTCCGTAGACTCTGCAGACGATGAGAGGGGCGGCGAGGTATCAAGGTCGCCACTGCGCCGGGACCAAGACAGTACAGCAACAGAGAGAAACGAACATATGTGCTAGGGGCGGGAAACGATTGGCAAATGATTCAGAAGGGCACAACGAACTGGCGCTGAGGCCGAAGTGCCACGGGTAAGAGACATGGAAAAAGCTTTCCAGGGGCCATGTGTCACGTCTTGTGTATGAATAAGGAATGGCTAAGGTAGCACAGAAATCCAGAACGTTGAGGAGGGGCAGGGCCCTTGTCTGCAGAAGAAATCCACAACCCATTGAACGACATCCTACTCGTTGAAACGGACTGTCTGCCGAAAATGCGGTCCCCAGTCGCCTTTGGGGTGCAGCGGGAGACTAGGGGTGGTGGATGGGGCCTCTGCGGCAAGGAGCCGTTCTCCGCCACTGCAGCTGACTCAATACAACCTTTTGGACAGGCCAAGCCATTGATGATGAATGATCAGACCAAAGCTCCCGACAAACAGTGCATGGAAGGTGGGTAATGGCGCCATCTTGCAAAAGGAATATCCCAGGTCTGCTTCGTCTCTTCCATGCGTTGTTAGGTGTTGTTCGAAGCGCTGGTGTTTGGATGTGGACGAGCGACACTCAGGGATCAAGGCAGTCTCACCAATAAGGTTGCCAGACCCGACTCCAGATATACTGGGGGACAAGCGATGATTGGCTGATTGGTCATGAAGGAGGTCGACGTTGCGGCTGCTGTTTCGTCCAGGATCTTGAGACACAGGCGGCGATTCAGCTTCAGCGCCAACCCAACGTCACACCTTCTGCGGCGCTATTTCCATGTCAGATTGTCATCCATTCCATTTTCGTGATTCAGCGAAAATGTGTAGAGGAATCCGATTCGACTGCCGAAATGCGCTGCCGAAAGCCTTGCATATTTTCAAGTTGTGGTCGTCGTGTTCTACCAACTCAGGCGCTCTCGGCACTACATCGAGAGAGCATCCGTCAGCAGGCCTCGGACAGTCAATCCAACAGGCTGCTCTAGACAGACTTCGACGTCTTTTTGTGGGCACAGATACCTTACGCTCGAATGGCCAGCCATGACCTGTTCAATCTCGACGAGTGTTGTATGTGACAATAATTTTCAAGTGGCATAACGACATAAACGCTCGCAAACCTTTCACTCGACGAAATCAAGGAAAACTGCACTGCTTATGGTATTCAGTTGCTCGTACATAGCAACATGCCCGCGCGCACTCCCGCGCTTTCCGTCCCCTCCACCTCGTCTCCAAATCGCCAACACCCTCCGCCGACTCCCGTCATCCCTGAGCAGATCGCAGATCTCGTCCACGGCTCTAGGCACAGACCCATAGGGACCTGCTCGGCCATGTCGACCCAGCTGCCTCTCTTTACCTCATCAGAACACGCCGCCAGCCCGGGCATAGTCTACCTTAGCCCATTGCATGGTTCCTTATTATCGGTACGAAGCACCATCTACCCATCGTGGCTTACTCTTCTCCCCTTCCAAAGAGGCGTTGAATGTATTCAGGGCTCGTCGTCCCCTCCTCCATCCAGATAAGGAAGCATCGTCTCCCTTCGTGGTTCAGTTGTCTTTCCTTCCAGCAACGCCCCCCTGCAAGGAATCTCCATTCCTATCCCACATCACCACATCACCAGCAGTCACAACAATCACGAAGAAGGCAAAATCAAGCTACGAAAACCACAAGAATTTGAAGTGTACGCCAGTGCACTAAGCCGCATGCTGTAAGAGAAAACGTGGAGCCTGAAGGACACAGCCACCTGGTCGCTCGTTTTGCTGGTTCCGGCTCCAGCATTGTGTAGTCCACGGCATACAGCGCCTCTGTATCTGCACGGCTCAGGCCACTCCGCGTCAAACGTTTCAAATGGTACCCGCGAAGAACGGGCAAATTGGCTTGGCAAACTGTTTAGGTGCAGTCTGGGAGAGCATGATTTGCTATGGTCCAAATGATGGGGCTAGTCAAAGAAGCATGCAATGACCAAACCCTTCCGATTCCCAGGCTAGGTGGTGCAGTATAGATGATTAAGGCGCCGGCCAGTCATAATGCTCCGCCAACCCTCCAACGGCTCCCAAAATCAGCTCTCCATGGAACCTGGTTCTTGAACGTCCCCCGCCACTTCTCGCAAACATTGAGATTTGCCACCTCTCGCAAGAGGCAGATAGCGGGGCCTCGCGGGAGCTACACCCCAACTGGGCTATGGAAGCCAGATATCGCATCCGGAAACCAATACGATGAACCACTTTCCGTGAAGCCAAGCGCACCCCAAGCTGCCACGCTAGACAGCATACTTCCGAGTCCACTCGCGCGCCGTCTGCTCGTACTTCGCCCGGTCCGTCTTGTACACGTGGGCGATTTCGGGCACCAGCGGGTCGTCGGGGTTCGGGTCCGTCAACATAGAGCAGATGGAGAGCAGAACTGGGGAAAAGATTAGCCGTCGGGATCAAGAATGACACCTAGTGGGGGGGGGGGGATTGCATACCCTTGGATATGGTCAAAGCCGGACTCCATTGGTCACGCAGAATGTCTAAGCAAATGCTGCCATTTGCGTTGATATTGGGGTGGTAGATCCTGGTGTTGAAGTGGACCTTTGGCGGCTTGAACGGGTAGTCCGTAGGGAACTGGATCTGAAGAAAGAAGACACCGCCAGAATACGGGGAATCACTCTGCTCAGTGTTAATTAGCATGGTGCGCTCAGATGATCGAGATCGGAAGGAAGGTGCGGTCGCCTCATCGTGATGCAGAGGCGAGAAGTGCACGAATACTCACAGGACCCATGATCGTCGCCTGCCATTGGAACTGCAAAGAAATCTTCGTTAGCCATGTGAATCACCCAACATTGAGCTGTCAAATGCCGTATGCCGCGATGGCATGGCGACAAGGCGAGCCGCGCTGCAGGGCAACGGAGGAGCTTACGAGATCATCGCCGGACGGCCCCGCAGAGCACGAAGAGGGCGGGTCCCTGCGAAAAAAATGTTAGCTACCGAAACCGCCTGAAAGAAACATCCATATGAAGCCTCTCTCGATCTCGTCCAAAATGGTTGCGAGGCTTTGGGTCGCGGTCGGAAACCCCGCCCAAAGCTCAGCCCCACCGAAGCCGGGCCATGACGGCGATCCGGAAATCGGGAGAGGAGATGGATGAGGAAGCAAGTTGGCTTGGAAGAGGACATACCGGCCGAGGTCGGTGAGCTCCTTGTTAATGCGCTTCAGGGCCATGTCTGTGTGTGTAAAATGTGTGTTTTGACGTCGAGGTGCGGCGTCGAAAGATTGGCGGCGCTGCTGAATATAAGGCCGTCAGCTCTCTGCGTGTGGAAAGGCAAAGAAGCAAGATGAATCGGTCTGCAACAGCCATCTGTGGCGAAGGCAGCCTCCAACAAAAAGACGCGGAAAGAAATATCCGACGACAGTAAATGCTTACCAAGAAACAGCGAGATAGCCTTGGGAATGTTCGTTTGTCAAAGACGCAGTGATGAGTCTGAAGTCGTTAGAGGTGATGTGGGTTGCAAGAAGGAAAGTGAGGGGAGAAGTGGGCGGTCGGCAAAGGCGGTTCAGTCTCCACTCGGGGCGACGGGCTGAGCCAGGCTTTTGATGGTGGGGCTTGGGGCCAGCATTTTCAAGCAGGAAGCGCCCAATCCCCAGCCACCAATCACTGCTGTGGGTTATGTACCTAAGAGAGGCCGTTTGCTCACGCGACGCCACACGCAGCTAACCACGTCAGGTGACAAACGAAGATCCAACCAAAGTCTAAGCGAAACTGTTAGGAAGGGCCTCCGCCAAACAACCTGAAATGGTTCATACTTTGAAAACCTTACGGATAGCGACCTGATCCTCGATCGAAGAATTTTGAGCCTGAGCCAACCACGGCACATTGCTCAACAGGAAATCGCAGGATCGAGTCGTTTGCGAGGTATAGATACGGGATAAATTGATCTAAACCACAGTAGGGTCTGACGAGTAGCTCAAACGAGGGCTTCATGGACATGGTTCCGCACTCCGGCTTGTATGGGCACACAACACAGAGGAAAGCAAAAGAGGAGGAGCAAGCGAAATGGCGCTGCGACATTTCAGGGGATTGACTTGAAGCCTGAGTCAGGTCGACAACCCGATAAGCGCACTATAGCCGTCCCAACACCACCCACCCAATCATTATACGAAGGCTTGGATTCCGGTAATGGCCCTCCCCAGAATGAGGCCTAGTTGACTGTTGTCAAATCAAGACTCCTCTGCTGGAACGGCTCCGAACTTACTATGAATGTCGCTCTGGCCCTCGTAGGTCTGGGTGACATAGAGGTTGGCGACATGGCGCCCGATCATGTACTCGTCGCTGACGGCGTTGCCGCCAAAGATCTCCTGCAGCACGCGTGCGTTGTGGAGCGCTTTGTCGCAGTTCTGGCGCTTGACCATGCTGATCATCTCAGGCGTCGCCTTCCCTTCGTCCTTCAGCCGGCCTACTTGGATGGCGGCAAGCGTCCCATAGGCGGCATCCGTCGCCGCGTCTGCCAGCTTCTTTTGGATGAGCTGATACTTGGCCAGCGGGTTGCCCTTAAACTGCCTGCGCTCGAGGGCGTATGCCCGCGCCCTGGCGATGCAATCCTCGAGCGCGCCCATGACGCCGAGGGCGATGCCGTATCTGGCGCTGTTGAGACAGGTGAAAGGGCCCTTGAGACCCTCGACGTCGGGGAACATGTTCTCCTTCGACACAGGGCAATCCTCGAGGTGGATCATGCCGGTAATTGAGGCTCGCAGGCCCGTCTTGTTCTTGATGGCAGGCGTCTCCAGGGTCCCCGCCGGGCACTGCTTCCTATCGACCAGGAAACCCCGGATCTTGCCTGTCTCCTGCAATTTCGCCCACACCACTAGCACGTCGGCGATGGGCGAGTTGGTGATCCACGTCTTGGACCCCTTGAGCAGATAGTAGCCCTTCTTTTGCGGGTGTTCGCGGGCCACGGTTTCCATAGACCCAGGGTCGCTGCCATGGTTCGGCTCGGTGAGGCCGAAGGCACCGGTGATATTGCCCTTGGCCATCTCCGGGAGATACTTCTCCTTCAGCTCTTTCGACCCAAAGTCGTGGATTGCGCCCATGGCCAGTGATGATTGGACAGACATGCTGCTCCGATAGCCACTGTCGACGCGCTCGACGGCGCGGGTGATCAAGGCCCCGGCGACGGCTGAGACACCAGCGCACCCGTATCCGCGGATGGTGGCGCCAAGGAGGCCCAGGTCACCCATCTCCTGAAGAATCTTGGGATCGTAGTGCTCATCTCGGTATGCCTCTGGCGTCCGAGTGATTAGTCAAGCAAGTCAGTCAAAAGCCAGAAGTCCAAGGGGAAAGAGGCCGTACGAAGCACCCGTGGCAGTAACCGCTCCTGACAATACCGCTCAGCTGTTTCGGATATGGCCAGTTCTTCCTCGGTCAACAGGTTTCTGGACCCGAGCGGGTCTTCCCAGTTGAACCGCGAGACAGGAGAGGCGGATGCGTAGGTCCTGACATTTTGGGGAGGTCTGGCACGCCCATGAACAAGAGCCCGTGTAGGTTGCATTCGTCGTAAAAGAAGCGTTGACATAGTCGTCGGTTATATTGGCCTGATACCTATCTTGATGCTGAGAAAAGACAAAGTAAAATATACTTCAGCATCAAGAGTAAAGAATATGAAATACTCATCAGTTGCGCCTCGGAAACACCATGAAGATCACCATCCTCGGCAGATGGTGTCCGGTCGTGGTTCGTGGAGACATCATTCCCGGTCATAGCCGGGTGTAGGTGATTGTCAGTTGACCGAGAACAATGAGTGTAGGGTTAGGGTTGCTCATTGAACTCCTCGGGCCCATATTTGTCGACGGCCATCTGTTTTCAGTGCAGTGAACAAAACCAGACTCGCCAGAGTGACAATTGGGGTGGTGATAGTGTGTGCAGATGCTGCCAAGGCTTGTCTGGTCAATTGGCGTATAGGGATGTGGGCGTAGTTGACGCAAAATATAAAATCCTAATTCGGCCAAAAAATGCCCATCTGCGCCGATGGCCATGTTTCTCTGACCGGATGGTCTATAAAAGCGGTGCAAATAACCCATCCCGCTACCTCGGAGCCTCGCTATCCATGTTGGCCATTTCGTACTCGCCGGCCCCGTCCCTCCCACGCCCTCGCCCTCGGCCGCGCGAGAACCCTTGCTCCTCATCCCCGTCTATACCACCCTCGCCAGTATCACCGCCATTCTCTCCTCCACTCCCGCCAGCCATAGATGCAGTACCACCTCCTCCAAAGGATATTGGCTGCAGTTGGCGATACCGACATCCCCACGTCCCCATGGCAACCGCAACCGCGCTTGCCAGCGCCATCGAAAACCACCACGCCGTGTGACGCGGCAGCTGCCCCGAGTACAGCGTCACAACAACCAAATGGATGGCGTGCAGGGATAGGGCAAAGTCGAGCACGAGCTTGGAGCGGCCGATGAGAACAACTATCGCGACAGCCCTGGTTCGCCACAACGAAAAGTCAGCAACTAGATTTATCACGAGGCAAAGAAAAGGAAAGAGTAAGGGGTGTTTAACGGGGCTCAGGCACGCACATCAACAAGCCGCCGTCCAAGATCCAGATGAACCCCATCAGCCACCCCTGAGTCGTGTCCCCACGCACGGTGTCCCAGCCAAAGACGAGGTCTAGGCTGAACCTGATCCCCACGACCAGCGCGGTGAAGAGCATCAAAACCAGCGCCGACGCATAGTACAGGCCCTGCAAGGCGGCGATTTGGCTGAGGATCTTGAGCGGGGGGAGTTCGGCGAGGGCGCCCGAGCGCGGCGGCCGCCGCCGGCGCGCCATGGGCACCACTGGTTCTGTATGCTGAAGTAGCCCGAGGAGAAAGAATCGTCGTTATCGCGTTGAAGTGGCCCAGTCGAGGGCGGGTCAAATGCGTCTTCGAGCCAGAATGTCGCAAGATCTGAGGACCAGTGGTCTATTACTAGGGGCTCGGGGAGATAGTCTGTGGTCGTCCGGGTTCGGGTGCCTTTGCTTCTGACGACAGTAACGGAAACGCTAGTCGTTGCGATCTTGGAAAATTGTCTTGCGTCTGATGTGCGTCGATGGTGAGTTGAAGCAGTTTGATATGGCTTGTTGAGTTGTTGAAGTGAGCCTACAGGAGAGTCGTGGACACATGCGCCGTACAAGTAAGTACCTAACCACTTCGGTAATTTACTATCTTGAACGAACCAGGGTCTGATCGCTCGTGACAAGGAACTTACCGCCCCGCTTTCCGTCATTTTCCCAATCCCCATCTTGGACGAGCGGAAGATCCCGAGCTTGAAACATCGAAGCTCACAACCAAGTTCCACGACGACAACGACAATAACCTGCACAACTCCGGTAAACCCAATTGACCTCCAACAAACCCCTACCCTTCTCCGTCTCGTAACTGGCAATACCGCCGACACACACCCCTCCCTCCGTCCCCTACAAGACCAAACTACCCAACCAACCAACCAACCCTCCGAAGCCAGCCGAATTCGAAACATAGAGCCCTCCTTCAGTGAACGAGTGTCAACAATGGGCCTCCTAACGAGCCTCTTCCCCTCTGAAGCCGACAAGCGCGCAACCGAAATTCGCACGGGCGCCGTCGCGCCGTCGCGCGCCGAGCGCCAAAAGTGTTGGGAGGCGCGCGACGCCTATTTCGCCTGCCTCGACGCAAACGCCATCGTCGACGCGCTCAAGGACGAAAAGAAGGCGACGCGAGCGTGCGCGAGCCAGAGTGACCGTTTTGAGAAGGATTGCGCTGCGCAGTGGGTGGGTCTCTCTTCCCTCTCTCTCTGCCTTTTTTCTTTCTTTCTTTCTTGTTGTCCCCTCCCCTCTCTCTTCACCTCTACCCACCCCTTTGCCCTTCTCTTTCTTCCTGTTACCTTCACTTGGTTGGGTTGCTGACAGCATCTGGGACAACGGGGGCAGGTCACATATTTCAAGAAGTGGCGGGTACAGGATATCCAAAAGAAGGCGAGGTTGAAGGAGCTCGAGGCGCAGGGGGCGAATAAGATGGATGTGCAGGCGGATTTCACCGAGAGGAGGTGATCACAGTGATAGCGCGGCAAATTGTAAAATATCAGAGACATGTATCATATATATACCCATTTACAGACTTCTCTAGGTGTCGGCTTAAAACGATTCTCGACCGTAGGATTGCGAACTGCTTTCGCATGCGGAATAATCCATGGCAGAAAGCTCGCTTCCCCTTAGCCTTGGCCGAATAGCTATGTAGCAGAACCATTACAGCACCAGCTCCACCAATGCTCGAAGGAGGAACAGGCGCATATAGTGTAGTGTGGAAGAGTAGAAGGACGATTCCAACTCTCGCCTTTCTCCGTACATCACAAGAGTCCATTGCTTTCCATATCATACATTGGGTCTATCATCTAACGAGCAATAGTACGACTGTAGCAACAAACCCGGCCGGCTATGAGTGATTATGACAAACACAGGAAACCCTGGATCCAAACGACATGAACTAAGAAGCGTATGAAAATGTATTGATAGAAGAGAAACTAAGACAACCGAGAAAGGAGACAAAAGAGCTCTGCTTGCTTAGTGTTGTATGCTGTTTTGATGCGTTTGTGGTATCATGTTCGCAACGAGACAAATGACAAGATGAAAAACCCACCCAGGCTCGTACAGTCAAGTTCGTACCGTTACCCTCCCCTTCCCTCTTCCATATCCGTTCCGGTCCCCGGAACCCATCGCCCTATCGACCCGACACTGCGGAGCTTGCGCAAGGCTCGACTTGACGTGACTCTGTGCAAAAACTTGTTCCGAACAAGCTCCCACTCCATCCGATCGGATTTATCTTTCAACAAGTTGTCCTCTTGCGGTACCGCGTCCGGCGCTTGCTCGACCATCGGTATAGCGCTGTCGCACTACGATACGCCATGTGGATAGGCCGGGGCAGCGCTCGGAAGCGGAGGAAGGGCTTTATCCAGGCTGTCGCGGCTGACCTGCGATCGGATATTCAATGACTTCTGGGACCCCGTGAGGCTCTTGAGGCCGCTGTTGGTGCTGCTCCCGTTGGCACCGACTCCGTACCCGCTGTCGGCGCTTTCCGACTTGCCCTGACCAGGGTACCCGCGGCCCGTTTTCGGCGGAGTGGGCGGCGGACGTGACGTGCTGCCGCTGCCGCTGCCGCTGCGAGCGCCTAGGAGTGGGTTGCCGAACCCCGGTTCCTTTTCGTCGCCGTCCTTGGCAGGCGTCAACGGTCTGGCATCGCTTTCCACGGTTAGGCTGCTCAGGTGGCTGTTTCGAATGCGGTCCCCGGTTGATGTGCCCTCGGCGGCTTCTTCCAGAACCGGGAGCACGGTTGTCTCTCTGCGCTCCATTGCCGCGCCATTCGGACCGTGACCGGCCTTGCCGACTACGAGGGTGCTGCTCGGAGGAGGAGAGGTGATGGTGTTTCTTAATATTCGTTCTGGAGCTTTCTCCTCTGGCCCAGCTGTTTCCGCATTCCTTGTCTGCTGTTCGGCTGGCCTTTGTCCCGATGGCGAAGTGGACGGGGGCAACGGAGCCTGGTAGTTAGGAGCGGGTGGGACGGCGGCAGCCGCCTCAGCCATAAGCGCAGCGTCTCGTTCATGAGCAGCTCGGGCAGCCTCTTCCTGGGACTTGGTAACGTTCGTGATGAAGTTGATAAACCTCTCCCCGTATTCCTGCGGCGGCAGGGCCGAGATCTGACTGCGATCACTCGAGAGGCCTTTCCAGAAGTGCTCTATCTTCTTGATGATACCGTACTGCTCATACTGTCAGATTTGCACAATTCCATCGCGGTGGGAGGGTGACCATACGTGGGTAAGGCAGTCAATCACTCCCAAGTAGTAGATCTCTTCTCCTGGGGCGTTGTCTTCGTGCGTCGCCCGGAAACCGCCGTCGTCTTGGTAGAAGATGAACCCCGGCCGGTTCTGTCCCTCCTCGAGTTCGTCCGGCATCCTGCTGCTCGTCTCACCCATCGGAACGGGCTTCTCCGACTGTATCATCTGACGAAGCTCCCTCGCCTTGCGTTGATTTTCCAGCTTGGACGGGGTCCGCATCAGGACCGAGTTCGGGTCGAAGTCGTCCGCGGTGTTGTTACCGCCGGGATTGAAGACGCGCAGGGTCTTATCCCTCAGGTTCTCCTCGTTGCCCCGTTGAAGATCGTGTATGCCTATGAGCAAAGAGTAATCCATAATCTGCAATCTTTGCAATAGCCGCACATCCTTATGTAGCTGCGCAAGGAAGAGCTGCTTTTTTTGGATGCCCAGCTCGAGATGCCTCTTCCGTCGCAGCCAGTTGAGATCCTTCAATGTCGCCCTCGGATTCTTCTCCAGGTCTTCTTCCCTGTAGTCCCGGCCAACTGTCGAGCCCTTTAAATCAAAGGTCTGGTGAATATCCCTGTGCGGAGGGAAGAGATTGTTCATGACGACGAAGTGGATCTTCCTACCATACGGCATCTTGACCCGATGAAGGCCGTAGAACTGAGAAAGGAGCGTGTTGGGGTTGTCCTTGACGTGCTGGTAGTAATCCTTCAAGATCCTGCGGAGAAACTTATGCTCGGCGTGGTGGATGGTTTTGATGATGTACTTGTAGTCCCGGGAGAAGTAGAAGAAACTGCCGCTCTTGCCAGGCGACCCTAACTCTGACAAGATGTACTTGCCGGTCAGCGACATGAGGTAGTCAGCAGGGTCGAGGCGGAAGAGGGCGCGCAGGTGGCGGAACACCCAAGGGGCGTAGTCCTTAAACTTGAAGTCGTACTTGGCCGACGGCACCAACTCGTTTCCGGCGATGTCAAAGGTGGATTTCTGTTTGACGTCAAAGTCGGCGTCGGTCAGGGGCCGGTCGAGCTTCGCGTTGGTCCTCGAAACAGAGACGCGGATGCCCGTCAGCATGTTATAGGCCGTCACCCAGTTCGCATGCGTCTCGTCCACCTTGGTCCCGACCAGCACCCTGTCGTCATCCTCGATCTCCCTTTTCCTCCTCTTGCTGGCCCGCTTTTGCCTGTACGCCTCTGCCCACCGCATGGCATCCTCATCTGGAATGACTTCATCGCGCGGCCCTTCCGAGTGGAGCGACCGTGTGTTCCTCCTCGCCAAGTTCAGCGATGCCCTGCGACCCCCAACAGGGGCGATGGTCGGTGAGAACCTGCCACTTGAATAGGCGGTATCGTTTCCGTCTCGTGAGCCCCGTGCGGAGGTGACTTTGGGAACTTCCAGGGTATGGCGATGCTTGATCCCGGGGACTGGCTGGGTTTGCAACGGGCCGGACGAGGTAGGTTGGTCATAGACTGGAGGCGACGAGAATCGATGGGGTGCCTTTTGGGTTCTATGACTCGGGGCGGGGCTGGAAGTCTGGGCCCCAAGTGCGGGGGCGCTGGCAACAGCGAGAGCCGGGGACGATGATCCGTTCTCGACAGTACGAATGTCTCCTTTGCTGACAGGGTGGATATATACCTCAACCCCAGAGTGCGATGACGAGGGAAGTTCAGTCCCAGAGCTGACGCGCGGAACCCCATCACTCGTTTTCGAGCTCTGCGAGTCGTGTTCTTTCTCTACGGGCGCTGGGCTCGGTACTGTCCGATCCACCAGTGTCGTCGAGTTATTGAAGGGCAGCGGTTTTCGGCCCCGGGACTCGACAGTTCCCAGTCCATTCAGTCCGCCGCCAGTGCTTCCATGATGTGGTGAAATCATGCTCCGCGGGAAAGAGAACGTTTTGGTCGTACGCTGGTCAGGTTCTATAGACGTCTCCGAGGTTGTCGATGAGCCGGACGAATTTGCCAAGCTCCCGTCGAAGCTCTCATTTGATGTGTGCGAGTGCGGCTGCCGTGCAATGGTTCCATTGACTTTTGATTGGGATATACCGTACTCGGCGGCCTGGTCGAGGTGCACAACGCCCGAGGACTGCGAATCAATCGCCGTGCTTGTCTCCGGCACAAAGGAGGGCATCTCCGGGGCCCTGATGAGGGATGTTGTGTGTAACCGGCAATTGCGGCTCGACAAGGCACGGTTCGGGATCAGGCGCGGTCGGCGGCGGCGAGCATGCTCTCTCGAGGGATTGGCTGCCCTTGCAGCTTCGTAGCTGCCGAGAAACTCGGTTTGGGATGAATCTATATGGTGGTTTGTTTGTCTCCGGGGCGGCGCTCGGCGACTCGGCTTGATTCTCGAAGAGGTCGTCTTTCTCGGGAGTTGGAGTGGGGATGCGTCGGGTGTGCTCTGGGGAAGGATCCGTTATTCGCTCAACTGCTATCTTCAATCGCCATCAAAATCCGAAGGTGCGCGCCAGCGAACAATCACAATTGTCCAATGCGGCTGGCGTCTCTTTGGGGTGTTTGAGTCTGTCCGAAGAGAGTGGAAGTGAAGAAGAGGGACTGCTCCAGTGGCTGAGCGTGGTGGTCGGAACAGGGAGCCGGGGCCGGGGGTAGGTAAAGCAACAAGCGACGCGAGAGGACTCAGATGAGAAGATGGAAATTGTGTGGAGCGCTCTGGCCAATGGAAGCCGCTGATGAGAACAAGGAACGGCGCGGCCCAGGCCATTTTCAGGCCCAACAAAGCAATCCAACTCACATGGCAACAGTGGAAGATCTTGCAGGGTGACGACGTCAGGTTAAGCAGCGAAGGCAACAGATAGCGAAATATGATGAGAAAGGAGAACTCTACAAATCCTACCTAGGCCAGAGCAACATGGCCTCTTTTCTCTTTTTTCTTTCGTCCTTCTCCAGGGCTCGTATTTTGTTTTTTTCTTTCTTTTGCGATCATACTTATATACAGAATTGCAGCTCCCCGATTGTGCTTGCTCGTATTACTGTACCAATTGCAGGACAGATAGGGAGGTACTAAGTAAGGTAGCCATCGAATTGCTCCGTGCTCCTTGCCTGTCGGTTGCCCAGCGCAGGGGCTGATACCACTGACAGTTCAGGTTGGCCTGAACTTGAGTACTTACCTAACGATGATCACCAAGTCTGTTGGCGTCTGTAGGCTCCGAACTCCGACCCCTCCCAAAAGTGTTACTTACCTACTCCATTCTTTGCACAAAACCTTGGTGCAGCTGTGTAAGCCCCCTTTATCGTGCCTCGCTGTCATGGCCTAATTCACCTTTACCCAGGGCCCGGCAGCCGTGGCTTTGTTCAGCTGCGGGAGACTCATTTCAGCCACCCCTGTCCGCTGTACCTGGGGCTCGGCGCCCCATAGCCCCACAAAGACTCGGAAGCCCGGCAACGAATACGGAGGCGTTGAGAGCATTTGCATTGTACAATACTTTCCTACACAGTATTGCACGTAATGCAGCGCGAGAAATGCCCACAAACAACGCAGCAGCCTGGGCCCGGGTTGGCAAACTTCTTGAGCAGCGACAGGATAGTGGTGATGAGTGCGTACAAGGCGGCGGCGGCGAGGAGGCCTTCTAGCCAGCGGAAGAAAGCACCGACACCGCGGCGGGCCTTGATAGATTCGACGTTGGAGGAAAGGGACTGTCAGCCGGGGATGTAGAAGGCCGTGTCTCGCAGACGGCCTGGGCGAAGCGGGTCAGGAATCGAAGGGTTTTCTCGGTATGACGGGTCGACAGGGCCATCGGGACGCTCTTGGAATCTCACCATTGTGTGATGTGGACGTACTTCGGGTGAGGCGATACCTTAGGGAAGCAGGATGTTGTGAAGATCTCGTCTGACAAACAGAACACAATTGCAATTGTTACCATCAGGTAGCTTGCGTTATAACCGAAAGTGAAGTGCTACCTTATGTTTGTCATGATGCCCAAAATCGTGGCACGTAACATTTCGGGGGCCGGGCATCGAGTGTTGTCACCACTTGTAAGAGCCAGTGCCGTGTCCCAGGGAGACGCAGGGTGCAGCCAGCACAACCGCCTGAGACGGTAGAACTGTTCCTTTCGAATGGAGAACTCTAGACAAGTCGATGGCATGTGGGGATCCGCCCGGGCAAGTGAGTGGGAGAATGACCCCGCATACCAGGTAATGTCCAGAGCGACCTGCAACGTAGGGGCTCCCCGAGGACGAACAGCTCAGCTACCTTTGAAGCGTAATATTAGAAGTATCTGGATCTAGTTATCTAGTAAGGCAGCAATTCATCCCTCATAAGTCATTCCTCTAAGAAATCATTCCGGGTATTCGCTGAAGAATCTCAAACCCGCCAGCTGCAATTTGCGCTTCGCCCGCTCAACAAGCAAAACGCAAACTTGACTATCCGTACCGGCTCATCAACGAACGTCACGCAGTCCGTCGCTCAACGATCGGCTGCCCAATGGGCTTACCACCCACAAACCCGGCATTCTCCCCGCCGATTTGGAACACCCTCTGGCCCCTCACCCACGTCTCGTGGACCCGGCCGCGGAACGTGTGGCCCTCCCAGGGCGAGCAGCGGTTCTTCCAACGCATCTCGGCCGCCCGCAGCGTCCAGACGTCGTCGTCGTCAAACACGCAGATGTCGGCGTCCATGCCGACCCGTAGCCCGCCCTTGCGATGCGCCAGCCCGACCTGCTTCGCCGTGGCCTGGCAGCACATTCGAACGATGTCGACGATGGACGGCGCCGCGTCCCCGCGCGCGGCCCGCTGCGACGCCGTCGTGTGCAGGATCGGCAGGCCCAGCCCGACCGACGAGATGCCGCCCCAAGCGGCGAAGAAATCGCCTTGTTCTTTCCTGAATGGCGGCAGCGCGGGGGAGGCGGCGTCAGGGTTGATTAGATCCACGGCATCTTCCTCTGTCGTCGCGTTCTTCTTCTGCAGCTGCAGCAGCTGCTCCTCCTCCTTCTTCGGCATTGTTACGTCGATACCCGAGTCAAAGTGGTGCATGCCCGGCCGGGGTCCTTCCCGGTACACGGTTTGGAGATGAGGCGGTAGCAGCTTGAGCTCCGGGGTGCAGGGGGAGTGGTCCGACACGATGGTCTTGATGCAGCCGTCGGGGTTGGCAATCTCGTCCCACAGCCGGTCCTGGTTCGTCTGCGACCGGATGGGCGGGCAGCACTTGTGCCTGGTGTCGCCATCGGGTATGTCGTCGGACGCGAGGCCTAAGTAGTGAAAGCACGTCTCGGCCGTGATGTTGACGCCGCTTCTGCGCGCGTTGCGCAGGAGCGGAATGCATTCTGTGGCCGAGAGGTGGACGATGTGCAGGTGGAGTTTCGGCGCGAGGTTGGCCATGGATAGGATCTCCTCGACGGCGTAGGTCTCGAACGCCGGAGGGCGCGAGTCGAGGAAGGTGCTGTAGCTGTCGAGCTCTCCACTAGGCCGGAGCGGGGGTTCCGACTGCTGGACCGCGTCGCCTACTGAGGCGGTGATGGGAGGAACCATTTCGGCGTGGAACATCAGTGTGGTGGCTGTGTCCTTGAGCGTCGTCATTGCGAGTGCAATATCCTGCGCCGACACGGCAGGGAACTCTTCGACCTTTTCGCGAATTAATACTGACAAACTCAGCCCAGCAGAACGCCCTATCCATGCACTCACCCCTGAATCGATGAGAAAGCCCTTGAAGCCACGGACACCGGCTTCCACCAGGGGCAGCAGCTCGTGGGTATTTCCCGGGATAACACCGCCATAGAAACCGACGTCGACCCAGCACTGCCCCTGACTGGCGGCAAGCTTCTCCTTGAAGCCCATGAGGGTGGTGGTGGGAGGGATGGCGTTCAAGGGCATGTCAATGACGGTGGTGACGCCGCCCGAGGCAGCGGCCTTGGTACCTGTGTCGAAGCCCTCCCATTCCGTGCGTCCTGGCTCATTCAGGTGCACATGAGCATCGACCAACCCAGGGAGCAGGAGCTTGGGACTGTAGTCCTGATACAGGACTCCGGTTGGGAACGAGCTCCGAGGCAGAACCTGCGGGACTACAGATACGATCTTGCCGGACGTTACCGAGATGGCGATGGTCGCGGGCGTGAGCATGAGGGCGTCGTCTGCGAGAGTAAGAACGGTCCTCGAAGACGCCAAGACCACGATAGGCCCATCGTAGGGTACGTTCAGCACAGTCATGGTTGAGACGCAGGTTCTCACTCTCAGCGGTGGTAGACGAGAATGGGTAAGGGAGCGGGCTGGGCAGTGCTGGGATCGCAACACCGATCACTTCTGCTGCCGCAAGAGATCCGGCCTTATCTACCAGAAGGCTCGACGAGTTGGGTAGCTGATAAGGAGGATCGACCTCAAGAATCAAGCCAGGTTCTTGACGCACAACAACAGGGATGTCTAACGAGAGGTTATCACGCTGACGTCGAGGGCAGATAAGGTGAGCGGGAAGGGTCCCTCACGAGGCGGTCAGGGTAAGGTATGAGAGGATATAAGGGCAGCAGAGGGTGTGTCAGCTTGGGGTGGCATCGAAAAGACTCGATCAACTCGAAACGGCCGCCGCCGAAAAAGGGCACCGGACCCGCCCAACCCGAAGAAATTCCCATCGTATATACCGAGTATGTACGGATTATGTATTCTAATCCGGTCTAGATGCCATGCTGTGGCTTCGCAGAAGCGTCCTGCGACTGTGGGGTAGAACATTGGCGCTGCAACTGAAGGGAAGCATCGATGCCGTTGTCGGCGTCCAAAGAGGCCCTGCAGCGACTGGCTTATCCAGAAGTTCTCATTCGTCAGGCATTTGAGATCGGAAACAGCCGCCTCCCGAACTGTGTCGCAGGCCAATCGAGGCCAGAGGCTGCACAAAAAAACGTTCTGCTGCTCCACGAGTTCTCCATCGGGCCAGTTCCCCCTTCGTTTCCGTTTTGGGACGCCGTCCGAAGCTATCGTGAAGTTTCATGTTTCGATCGAGTAAGCATCGAGTAAGTCTATTCATCTGATTCGCCACCGCCGATCTGCCGGTACCTGACTGGAAAGGCCTGGTCCCTACAAAGTACACCGCAGCTCTTCATGGCCGACATGTCTGTGTTCCTTCCGTCCTGACCATTATCAACAGTCTTTGTACTGTACGCCGCTGCGTGTAAGCTGAAGCCCTCAAACGAGGTGCCTCTATATTTTAGCATGTGACCTGGTGCAAACAGTTTGCTGCTTCCCCCGTCTTGCTTGTCTTGACGTGCTATGAGGGAGGGCCCTTCGAGCAGCACCAGCAGATTCGGTGGAGTGGTGTTTGGGGGCAAAGGCGTGAAAAAGTCGTTCTCAGCTGACTCATGGTTCGGCATCACTCGGCGATGTGAACCCCGGGACCAATTCTTGCTCGCCCCACCCAACCCACTGCGGCTTGGCCCGGGCCCCGAAGGCACGGCATTACTACCGGTAGTGTGCCCCCTTGGTTCCTGGTGAGAGGTGATACAGAAATCAAGAGGACTTGATAACGACGGGCGAGGTGAGTAGTGGTTTCCTTCGCGATAGATAATTCATAGGTATTTCTAATGTCCAAGCCCTGGAGGAGAGTTGAGGCGGGGACAGGCACTTCAAGGGCTTATGCCGCAATATTTCAGTGCCCGGAACCAGACTACCTCAGGGTGATGTTGACGGAACAACCGCCTCGACGCGCGCATCGGCGCAGGCACAAACGAGCCCGCACGCTGAAGGGATGCCAGAAAGAAAATGCGATAGCCAATGTCTTGTTAGGACGAAAATTGTAACTTTGCCTATGTTACGGACTCGCGGGAGAGTGTAGATGGAGCCCAGGCTGTAGCCAGCCTCGGAAGTCGGAAAATACTCGGGCCTATCGACTTCTGATGGAATCTGTGTAGGAGGGTGCTGGCTAATCTGAGAAAGAGGTGAGACTTGTCCATGGGCTTAGGCACGTGTGCTGATATGCATGTAAGACGGAGGCAACTACCGGCATGGAGCAGGAGTTCCATCTCTCCCACCGATAGTGCTTATGTTGATTGACCGAATATGCCTCGTGGACTGCCGGCGGCTCCGTTAAAGTCGCGACACCTCCTCCGGATTCTTCACCTCGACCATGAGCTTGCCTATCAGGAGTCAGCGACAACCAGTTCTCCAGTCCTTTGCTCTAACTGTCTCCTCCACTTACCGATGTTGGCGCCCCGGAACAGCTGCTGGAGCCCCTCCTCGGCGGCCGCCACGCCACCCCTGACGATAGTCTCCTTTCGCTGGAGCTTGCCCTCGCCCAGCCACTGCGCGAGCTGCTTCAGTGCCGTACCATACTCGGTGGCAAAATCGAAGACGATAAAGCCTTGCATCCTGAAGGTCGCGGTCAGCGCTGGGAAGCCAGACGAGACAGATGCCATGCTGCGACTTACTTGATCCGCTGGGAAATGACATTGAAGAAGTTCCGCTGTGGTCATGCCGTCAGTACACGCAGCCGGGCCGGCAGGCTAAGTAAAGTTATTAGAAACTCACCGTCGGTCCCGACTTGGTCTCAGCGTTATACTGAGAGATACCACCGCACATGACGAATCGGGCAAACTTGTTGGCCCGACCCAGAGCCATATCGAGCTGCTCGCCACCCACTTGAGCCACTCTCCGTCAGCGTTCCGGTACACAGTCTGCTTTCGGGGAGGTCGTCCGTCTCACCATTGTCGAAGAAGACATCAATATAATTCGGCGTGGCCGCCTTGAACTTCTCCTTGAAATCCGGGTCCTTGTAGTTGAGCGCGACATCGAGGCCCAGCTCCTCCTTCAGCCACCGGCACTTCTCCTCGCTGCCCGCCGTGCCAATGACACGCGCGCCGGCAATCTTTGCAATCTGCGCGGCCACGCTGCCCGTGGCGCCCGCCGCAGCCGACACAACCACTGTCTCGCCCGCCTTGGGCTCCCCGATCTTGGTCATGCCAAAGTAAGCCGTCAAGCCAGTCATGCCCAAGACGCCGAGCAGATCCGTCACCTTGCCGCCCGTCCTGTCCAGCGGCAGCCTCGACGCCGGCTCGACGGCGGCCTCGGGCATGATGCCGACCTCGCGGATGCCCATGGTGGCCGTGACGATGTCGCCGGGCTTCGCCTTGGCCGAGCGGGACGCCAGCACGCGCGCGATGGCCCCGGCCCGCATTACCTCGCCGATCTGCACCGGCGGCACGTACGAGCGCCGGTCGTCGAGCCAGCCGCGCATGGCGGGGTCGAGCGACACATACAGGCACTCGAGCAGCAGCTCGCCCTCCTTCAGGTCCGCCTCGGTCGGTGCGTCGACCTTGCGCAGGCGGAAGGTCTTGCCAACCTCAATTTCGCCCTTGGGCCGTTCGGCGAGCTCCAGCTGAAGGGACTGTCGTGCCATGGTGGCTAAAGGTGGTGTTGGTGGTCCAGTACTGGAGAATCAGAAGTCGTAGATAGACGCGGTGGTGTCGAAGCCGACAATCGTAAGTGTGAGCCTCTTTTGTTTGGAGTTTGAGAGAAAGCGGGAGTTTCACAACTTCAAGAAAGTTTACCCGGGCAAGAAGAGTTGATGATGAAGTCTCTGGTTCTCCGAGAGCGGCCAAACTGTTCGATCCATCGTTCCCCGAGTACTACTTGTACTGCACCTGAAGTACTGACGTACTCGACTTGGCGAGTTGCACATTAGTAATAGTTCCCATGCAAAGCCCTGATCGCCATCCAGCATGTGCCTGCTTGATGGCAAAGAAGCTCCGCTGCTGCGATTTCGAAGCGTTACTTCGGCCGCCAAGCAGCTCCGTTTTTGACAACTCTGTGCCGAGGTTGGCACCGAATCCGGTTATGAGAGCCTCGGGGCTTGACCAACCCCGCTCCCCGAACACCGGTGCCTGTACGGATAAGTACACTTCATTCATGGGACGTAGACTCATGTGGGTTGTATTGTACAGAGAACTACCACAGTGTTTTTACCCATCGCTTCCCAAGTTCCTATGCCCCTCTGTCAGCGCTTGGTCGACCTGTTTTCTACGATGATGGCTAGGGGCGCACGACTCGCTGTTCGCTAAAAAGACAGAGAGCTGAGCATACTAAAGGCGCGAGTTCTAGCAGTTCTAGAAGAGTCTATTCACGAAAATGGAGCCCCAAACCGGAGTTCCTTCGGTCTGAGCTGAATTAGGAATGACAATCCGTCTTCCTCGCAGCGCCAGATAATGCACATCATCATACACATTGCGGCCTATCCAAGATGGCTTGGAGATGTCGAGACCGTCTTTCGCACACCGGGCACACCTTGGTACATGGGTGCTCCTCTAATATGTCTCATTCCCGTTCCCAATGTCTTCCAGCCAGTAGAGAATAGAGGAGTCGTCTCGTTAGTACAGTGCTCAAGCAGGCCTGAGGCGGAGGCTCTTATTTCTTTCTCTTCAACGTGTTGATGGCCATTTCGACTAGGCCATCCTTGGCCTCGCTGTCTGGGAACGGGCTGATCGCAGCAATCGCCTTTTCGGCGTACTCTTCGGCAAGGGCGCGTGTTTGCTCAATACCGTCGCTTTGCATGACCAAATCTCGCGCCTATTCCATGGCCGGTCAGCGTCATGCTTCTGATTCCCCAAAAATTTGGTGGGGGGGGGGGGAAGGGAAAGGGGGAGGATAAACTCACCCGTTCGACGTCCCCATCGTTTGCAAACTTCCTCCCTACCAAAGCCCCAAGTTCCGGTATCGTCTTCCAGGCGAATAATAGGGGGGCGGTCGCTAACCCGAGCTCGAGATCGGCTCCCGCGGGCTTGCCCAGCTCCTTCTCGCTGCGCGTGTAGTCGAGCAGGTCGTCCACGAGCTGGAACGCCAGCCCGAGATTCCTGCCGTAGCTGTACGCGGCGTCCACCGTTTGCGCATCAGCGCCGCCCAACAAGGCGGCCGCGCGGCAGCTCTTGCTGATGAGCGACGCCGTCTTGAGGTACGTCTTTTGTAGGTAGTAAGTGAGCGTGTCCTCGGACCACTTTGGGTTGGTCTCGTCGCGCGCCGTGTTCTTGAGCTGCATGAATTCGCCCTCGACAAGGTTCGCAATGACGGTGGCCAGAAGTTCAATCACCTCGGCGTGGCGCAGGCGCGCCAGCGCCACGGACGCCCTGCCGAGAAGGAAGTCGCCTGCCAGCACGGCCATCTTGTTTCCAAACTCAAGGTTCGCCGACGGCGCCCCGCGCCGCGACACGGAATGGTCGATGACATCGTCGTGCAATAGCGAGGCAGTGTGGATCAGCTCCGTGATCTCGGCCAACCTCCGCTGCGAGGGGAGGATGTCGGCATCGGCGTGGGCCGGTTCGCTCTCAATGCCGGCAGCAGGGTTGAAGTCGGAGAGAATGGATAGCGGGGAAATGGAGGTGTCGATGCCAGCCGAAGCCTGTAATGTCGCCTGCTGGCGTTGCGGCGCCTTCGGACAGAGCGACGTCGCCCGCGACATGAGCAACACTATGAGCGGCCGGACGTGTTTCCCCTCTGCCTGGGTGTAGTACTTTGCAGCGCGGTCGAGGGAAGGGTGACCGGATCCGAGCAATTTCCTGATATTTCCCGTCAAGAACTTCATCTCCTTCGCTACGATCCGGAGAGGGTCGACGGAGGGCATTTCGCCCTTGGCTGCTCGCGTGATGGCATTGGACACGATGTTGCCGGCGACCGAGACGGCGGCAGCCCACGCTGAAGGCCTTGGTCGTCCCGAGTGAAAGAGGGCTCTAGGCCGCGGTATCTGGACGGCGAGCGTCGCAGTCCTGAGGCATTCTGAGCACGTCGACGGCTGTAACCGAGGAAGTCGTGCGGCGCGCCCGACTCGGCGAACCACAGAAGACCCCGTCCCGAGCGGCATTTCCTTGTGCGTTCCTCCTCGGGTAGAGCCAATTGACTGCGAAGCGTCAGGATTTCGTCGTCTGGCGCATCTGGGACAATGTCGAGAACTTATGCGGGCAAGAGCGCGCAATTGGGTCCAAGAACATGTCTGACTGAGCTGATACGCACGTGGATCCCGAAAACTTCCTGTCCGAAGTCCGACAATTTTTTGGAGATTAGCGCGCTGTGGCTTGACGGTGAAACATGCTGTGGTTCCGATGCGTCCATGTGGCTGGGTGGCCGAGTCTCAATCGTCTCCACTCGCCGCGTTGCGCATGGGTCAGACCGACCGACCTACCAGCCTGTCATCCCGTCCCTTCATCAGCCTGTGACTTACCTTAGGCCTGCGGGCTCAGTGTTGCGAGAGAGATCTCGACCCGGGCCGTCTCGACTTGAGATCCGTCCCATACCATTGTCATACCTTTGTCGGCCACAATGGTCTTACTTACAATGACTCCTTCCATCGTGGAAGGCCTGCAGACGCTAAAGCGGCATGCCAATCAGGGACTAGCAGTGATGCCAGCACAAGATGATCATGAGCCGTCGCTGAAGGACCCGACTGTCGGCAATCCCATTTCGCACTTACAGGTCGTGGATCTTTGGAGCGCCCTCAAGGTTGCAGGAGCCGGAAGATGGAGCCTGGAGGTGCTTCTGAAAGGATCCAAGGTCTACGTACCACCACCGCCGCCGAAGGCTGAGCCGGTGAGTTAGGTTGTCTTGCAGAAGCAGTTCGCCTCTCTTGAGCTAACACCATCAAAGTCGGACGAATACAAGGCTCTCATGGCCCGACTGCGCCGCGAACAGGAGCAGCGGGAATACGAATGCATGACGAATCCGCTGCCGCCGACGGAGACCTTCGCTCAGCGGTTTCCCAACGGGGCAAACATGGCCCAAGCCTTCGCTGCAGTGAATCGGCCGAGCAGGGAGGTCGACATGGGCGATGACGACGTGACGTATGGCGACGTGCACCGCCAACTGATGCTGATCCTCAACTTTGTGGCCAGCATCCTTGGTGTCGCCGCCACCCTTTGGATCTTGGCCAGGTGGTGGAGCACTCCCGCTCGGTTGTTTCTGACCATGGGCGGGAGTGCTCTGGTCGGGATCGCCGAGGTCGCTGTATATTCAGGATATGTATGGCATCTCGGCATGGCCAAAAAGAAAGACCAGACATTGAAGGAGGTCAAACAGATCGTTCAGTCATGGACTTTGGCGCCTGATGGGGACGAGGCGGTCGCAGTTGGTGGGGGAGCTGGGACTGGAGACACAACCCTTCGGAGACGATTGAATGAATGAGTGTAAGAAATTCTTAAACTGTTCTCGCATGCAGTATCATCGCATCACGGCATATGGTTGACCGCAGACTTCGGAGTGTGGCAATTTCGATGTCTTCTTGAGCTGTTGCCATCTGACGGCTTGGCGGAACAACAGGGGTTGCCGGCCCCACGTCATGCACATCACCAGACGCACTGGCCTCTGACGCGCTGGAACGCGTCTCACTAAAAAACGCGACTGTGGCCCTCTTAAACGTGCGGGGCCAAATTGGTTGATTCTGGGCTCAGCGCAACACAGATCCAACAGGCCGACGTCTCCGCTGCTGTGCCGCCTCTGAGATATTCCCGATACCCTTCTCGTCTCATCCACAAGTAGTTTTGACCGGCGATATCGGTTTAGCCACCGCCCTCGCCTGGATGCATGCGCAACGATGTCAATCGACCAACCAGCAACTGATCTCTTTCGATCCCTTTTACCGGCGACTCCAACCTCTCGATCCCGCAAACCGCCCTCACGGACCTACAGCAGACGCTCAGTCCCGCCAAAGGCGAGTGGCGATGAACCGCCGAAAATTGACAGAGAGCCAGGCGCCACAGCCCCGGATCCGGGGCGAGGAAGATCGCCAGGGCAGCCACCTGTGCTTTCAACGGAGAAACAAGCCGAACAGCTGAATCGCTCGGGCCGAGGATCGATCCTGGCCTACTTCAAGCCTGTTCCCTCAAATTCTGACAAGGCACAATCTGAAGCATTTTCTTCTGACCCCATCGAGCCCCCACCAACTTCGTCGACTTCGCCGCCGTTGCAACCGAGAAAGCGAAGACGGCTGACGACGCGGCCGCAACTCAGCGGCCTTTGTCAACAGTTGAAGGACGATGGTCGTGACGGGACCGATCCTGAGGATGACTTGGGCGAGAAAAGTAGAGTCAACCGACCCAGAAGTCCACTAAGAGACGAGACCACCGCCCCTGTTATTACGGGTGGTTCAGATTGCACCATGCGACCAGCATTGAGCGAAGTGGCAGCCAACACCGTGGATTGCCAGGAGGGCTCACAGCGCGCTTTGATGGAGGGAATGATGAAGACCAAGAAGCAGCCAGGGAAAAGGCCAGCAAGAGACATGACGCAGACGACACTCAGCCTCTCCATCAACAAAGAGCCTGGCTTCACAATATGCGGTGTTTGCGACATTCTGTACAACCCGCTGAATGAAAAGGACAAGAGAGAACACAGCCGGCGACATGCTGCCTATTCCCGAAAGAGACGGCGAGCGACAACATGATGAATCTAAAGCACGGCAGTTCGCTTTTCAAGAGTCGATTGTATTAGGTTATGCAATATCACTCGAGTCACTGGAAGCGTTTCGCTGGGAACTGGGCAGAATTGTGGGGCTGTTACATCATGAATCTGAAGTCGGGACTACCAGCATTCCGTCCGGAGGTATGAACCGGGAATTAAAGGACCAGGTATAGAAGCGGATTGTCACTGGGCCCGTTGCCTCTTCGGTTTGTAAAATGTCTCATTGATCCGAATTAACTTCAAATCTGTCAAGCACAATGGTACATCAACACGGCGACCACAGCGAAATTCCGCACAAGCATCGCGTCGACAGGTAAGCTGCAGCAATAGCTCCTGATTTTGCCCTGAAAACGCTAACGACTCGTCTCTCAGACCCGGTGCTTGGTTGCCCGCTGACCACCGTGTCCATCGTGAGTGGCTGGGTCGCCAAATTGACCTTGTCGACAAACATGGAGAGAAGGAACTCATCCCAGTGTTGCGCGAGTTCAAGGAGTTGATCGAGAGTAACCCCCGCATTTACATGTACTTCACCGAGATGTGGGATGAGATTCCGTCCAAGCCACCGTACCAGAATGATCCAACGGGGAAGTCCCAGATTCGGAACTATCACCACATGCTTCAGGTTCTGAACTATGTGTTCGGCCGTGCACCTGAGTGGTATATACTTCTTTCACATTCACGTTTGAGCATTGGAACCGTTGCTGACTGACTTCTATTAGGACGGATGCGGCCGCGAGCGTAGGCATGGTCGGAGTTCCGATGGCGGCTATCTTTGACTACGCAATGGGCACGCCAAGCGGCCATGCAGCCTTTCTGGATCCAGATGTCAATCGCATGTTGAAGAAGATCCTCAACGAGTGGGGCAAGTACCTCAAGGTATGTTCTAATCTCACGCTCAACACGGTCCTTGAGGACCAGCCGCTGACCTTGGCAGTCCCCGGAGTCAGCAGAGGTCCTGGGCGACCACCGAGCCGGTTGGTTTGGGGAGGTGGGCTACAAGGACCTGATGGAGGTGGCCAATGCCCCCAACAAAACGTCCTTCGAATTTCAGGACATGTACATCTGCGAGCCGTCAGAGAAGCATTTTGGCTTCAAGTCATGGGACGGTAAGTTCTCCTGCTCTAGCATCAGTTATCCAGTACATTTCCTAACGGTGCCCTAGACTTCTTCACTCGCAAAATAAAAGACTCTGCGCGGCCAGTCGTCTCTCCCGACGACGACAATGTCGTCGCCAACGCTTGCGAGTCAAAGGTATTCAACGTATGCCGGGACGCCAAGCTGCGTGACAAGTTCTGGATCAAGGGGCAGCCGTACTCCGTGGTCGACATGCTCGGCAACGACCCCTTATCGAAACAGTTCGCGGGCGCCACCGTCTATCAGGCCTTCCTCTCCGCTCTCTCCTACCACCGGTGGCACGCGCCGGTCTCGGGCAGGGTCAAGCGCTGTTTCGTGCGCGACGGGACCTACTTTAGCGAGCCGCTGTTCGAGTCCTCGGCCGATGGGGGCGACATCGACACGGGAGGCATCAGCGTGGCACAGGGTTATCTCTCGGCGCTGGCGACGCGCGCCATCATCTTCATCGAGGCCGACAACCCGGCCATCGGGCTCATGGCCTTCATCGGAATCGGCATGGACGAGGTCAGCACCTGCGAGATCACGGTAACGGAGGGGCAGCATGTCAAGAAGGGGGACGAGATTGGCATGTTCCACTTTGGCGGCTCGTCGTTCTGTCTCCTGTTACGGAAGGGGGTCAAGGTAAGGGGGTTCCCCGAGCCTGGGAGGAAAGAGAACGTACCGGTGCGTTCTCGGCTAGCGGTTGTCGAGCCGTGAACCTTGGGGGCGGTTGTCGGTGTCGGTGTGCGGCATCGGGCAGTGATGCACTTTTAGTTAAAGAGCTACGGATAGTGACTTGAAGTAATGTACCCTAGCAGTCATTTCTAATTAGAGCTGATCCTTCATGATCTTTAATGTAATCATCAGGCTGCAAAAGCTGGAAGTACCCTCCCGCTTCTTTTGATGAACCTGGCAACCCCATGCATCATCCTTGTGCAACCAGGAGCTGCCGTACGACCAGCACACTGAAACCGCAATTGTTCCTGACTCGCGCCCAAAGGGACCGGAGAAGCAAAGCACTCATCCGGGGCGTGTCAGGAAACTGACCTGACATCTGATGAAGCCCAGGACCGGTGTGACAATTCGCCGTCTCAACGAGGCAACACAAGTCCTCCGGCTCTGTTGCTGGCTGCATCCGGACGTATTGATTGGTGTTGACCCCGCCGTGGCGCTGGGCCGTCACTGACGAGACCCGCCTGTGTCTCTGCTGCCCACACACCATGCTTGATCATGTCCTGCGTGCGCTGAGATGTCGACGAAGGTATCCCGTACATGTAGGTCCAGAAGTTTGACATGACGCAGCAGGATGTATCAATCGGTACCTATCTCCCTGCCCTCCGTGATAGTTTTTGAATCGGGATCGGTGCGCATATGGAGTGGTGTGCACTGTCAGCTCACGAGGCCAGCGGGCTCACTGGGACGGCAGGTCACCAGGAAGGCCATGAAGCGCACCTCACTCTCACAGAGTCTGCGAAGACTGCGGACGTATATTATACCCAAACCCATCCAACCGTATTTTGAGGACTTTGTCCGCCCATGAGGCTGCGGGAGGCCGCCCGGTGTGACAACATGCGGCGGCTTGGTAGCGGAGGCTACACGAGAAGTTTCATAGGACTGTTGAAGCCCGCCCGGTGTAAGAAAAGGTGACTTTATGGGACCTTTCTGCTAACAAAGAGAAGGAATATGGACTGAGATGTGACGGTGCCATGCGCTTCCACTCAGTTCGCGGCAATGGAGACCGGTGTCGAGTCGCCTACCGGAATCTTTCCATGTCTACTTGTAGAGGTGAATCTCCCAGTCAAACCCATCTCGGTGGCTTTGGGAGAATACCAGCACGGGGTGAGGAAAGGCTGTCAAGATGTCTCCATTAAACCGGCCTGTGCCATATCCGGCTGCCAGTCCCCGGAGGTTACACCGGTATGTCGCTGTAGGTTTGACAGTCCCAAGAGGTCGGTTGAGCTGCAGTGTAGCCTTTCGTGCTTTCTCTGTGCAACTCAGAACACTGAGATGACTGCTGTTGTCTGTCGGCCTCGGCTCCTCATTTTGGAGGAGCTTGATGCTTGACTCGAAGCACAGACAGGCTCCTTCTTGGGTTCGAGGGCTCCGAAGAGCTTCAGTGAGTTAAGTACATATCCGAAGAGAGTTGAAGGCAAGAGGTTCAGACCTAGCGAACGACGGTATACGATCGCCGAAGGATGAAAGACAAATGGTAGCTCGACCTAAGGTAAGTTCCGTCCCGAAACAGCCAAGTGCATTTGAGGTAGCAAGACCCGTGCATAGTGTGGTAATCGGCGGTTCAGTTGTCAGCATCCATTCCTTCGGCCAGGCCTTGACACTTCCCCACGGAACTGGTTGCATTGGGCCGAAACACTTGAACTGTGAGCTTGTGTTGGAGTCGACATGGGGGGAAGAGAGGCAGTTCGTCACCCTTAGCTAGGGAACTGCTCTGGCTTCCATCCCGTCTAATTCCATGGCCGAGTTCGAGTTGGACGGAACCTCCAACAGACCGGACATAGATGTGCTGGCACACACCAACCATGCTATACCGAACCTCCTGTATTCGACTGAGATGTTACCTGTCGGTAATAGCTGTGATTTTGGGTGGGCTGTGCCGGGTCGATGGGCAACACGGTGCTCAGGTTTGGCGGCTCAGTTCCAGATGCAGATGTCGAGTCCTGTGGCGCGGGGACTTGTCGGCAAGGATCGGGGAGGTCTCGAGACAAGCCATGATCCCGGTGATACTCCCCGGCTTGGCACCGTATTGTATGAACGGTCTTGGAGGGTTGGGCCGATAGTTCGCTCGTAGTGCCGATTGGCCATGAGAGAGTGGTCATTCAAGGACGAGTTCCAGCAGTGGTTGGGGTTTCCGTTCCCCGGGCAAGTCGGAATGATCGGCCTGCAACATGCCTCCGTAAAACCTGATGTAAAATATGTCGATCAAGCAAGCATTGCTGCGGTAGAGGCCGGATCCTTCTAGAGGGGAGTGGACATGTCGACGCGATGGTGTGGGCGTTGGGAGCCTATTCATGCACTACACGACGATGACGCGTTTGATTTGTTGCGCGGAGCAACATGAAGTTCCGAAATGTGCAGGTTCGAGATAAGGGAGATGAGAAATCAGGTTGCAGAGGAGCGTCGGTTTCGAGAGGATACATTAATGACCGATGAAAGAGATCCTGCATTGTACAGTCAGTGGTCTGCCCAACAACGACCTCGGCAGGTGCCCGGCGCAGAGCAAAATTGGTGACACAGCAGCGCAGCTCACCATCACAGCCGGACTTCCGGGTTCCTTTTGTCAAAAGGGTTCCGCTTTCGTATAAGTACTCCACTTTCAGCTGGATCCATCGCTAAGGCACTACAAGTACCTCGTACATAGGGAGCTTGCAGTGGTGGACGACGGGTGATTCCCGGCCCTGAAACCCAGCTCGCCGAGTGATATCATATCACATTCGTACTGCAACCTGCTCTTGCCCAATGCTGGCTTGAGTGTGCCGCTGATCGATGACGGTTCTGAAAGAGTTTGTGAAAACGACGACACTCAAGCAATGTAAATACACCATTGCAGGTGTTCTCTCGTGAGAGTGGGATCACGTCGGCAAGTTCTCGAGCTGCAGGACGCCCGTCATGGCAGCAAGCATTGCAGCGACATGTCCATCGAAGACAAAAGATGCAGAATCGAGGACCGATCCAAGCGCCAGGTCAACGCCGGAAGTCAGCCGGCGGCCTGAGCTCCTTCTGAGGCCCCACCTTTCCCGCTTTCTGTTTCTGCTCGCCCAATTTCCCCAACCCCCCGCCCATCCCGTGGCTCATCAGACACTTTTCGAAAGGACCGACTACCTTCAAGTTACGGAGAGGTGTCTGCCGTTCTACAGAGCATATCCATACAAGCCCTGTATGCTGGCGAAAGGAAAGTCAATGCTGCTAAATGTTAGCCGACCATTTGCGCGTGGCTATAGCGTTTCCATAGAGCAGCGGATTGTGTGCCTCTCTCGTCTCGCGGGGTTTTCATGCTGTGTTGAGCGGGAAGATACCACACGTGGGGAAGCAGCGCGCATGCAACAACCCCGGCATGCTTCCATAACTACATGGGTTAGGTTGGACGCGGGGCAAGCAAGCCTCTCATCTACTCCCTGGTAGTCCCTCGCGATCAAGCCAAGGTCCCCGCGAAGCGCCGGCCATCTCGGACACACACTGGTTTTGAACAATATTTCTCTTGCACCGTCCCGTAGTGTAAGCGCCAGTTCGATCCTGATCCTTTCTTTCAACCTGAAGGTTATCCGTGCCAGGGGAACTAGGTGAAGGTTGCTCCTGAAGACGGACTCGGGAGTGTCCGTCTCGCGCCCAGCTCCCTAAGGTATCGGCCCCCTTGTCTCGAAACCCTTGTCTGACTTCTCAGTGTCTTCACACCACTTTCACCTCTGCTTGCTTGCGCCCTCCGAAGTCTCTTTTGACCAGGCCCTGGAAGATAGTTATCTCTCTGATCGGCAAGCCAACCAGGCTGAGCTCCCCTGGCAAGAGGCGCCTTTCCCGCACCCTCTCCCCACCCTGCCTCTTCCTCTAGCCGTTCATCTTAAGACCGAGAGGCCCTCCTCCAACCAGAACCACCCGTTTCGCGTTTATCCCCGTTGTTGTTGCTGTGTTGGGCATGGTCTCGTTATTGACGAGCTATGGATCCTCCTCTTCCCGTCGTGTCAGACGATGGGAACCTGCGATGGTCGGATAGCCGCAGCATCAATTCAGACGACGTTCAGTCTGTCGGCCTGCCATCGCCGTGGTTAGGCTCCTTCACCGAGGACTCCACCTCGGTTTTGGGCTCCTCGTCGACCATGGAGTATGCCCATACAGGCCAGCTCTCGCCCATCAGCAACGGCGTGGACATGTGCGCACCCGTTCGCCGCGCCACCAGTCTCGCCTCTCCGTCCCAGTCACCCCCGGCGACGGCCGATTCCCAATCGCCCTCCACGCTATCATTAGTTCAGTCTGCGACTCGCGCCCTTCACCTCCCCGTCTCAGAACGCGCCCCACCGCAGTCTCACGCCGCCGTGAGCGATGGCGACCATCGGCAGAATTGGAGGTGCGGTGCGAACGAGGGCTTGACGGCCCCCAAGTCGGAGCCCCTGGATGACGATGGCTTTTGCCTAGACGATCTCAAGGAACCTCCTTCGCCCCTTGCCGCGGGCCCTCTGTCTGACCGTCAGCAAGGACAGGCCGGGCAGGTGATCCAGAGACGGCCGAGAGGACGACCGCGGAAGCACCCGCTGATGCCGAACCTTAGCACAAACAAAATCACCAAGGGCCGCTCCAAGACTGGATGTCTGACGTGCCGGAAGCGCAAAAAGAAGTGTGACGAGGCAAGACCGCGATGTAAGTTGGCAAAGGAGCGCCGCGCTCGGCGATACCCTAACTCGGGGTGCAGGCATGAACTGCGAGAAGAATGCCGTCGTTTGCGAGGGGTACCCGGAGAAGCAGATCTGGAAGAGCGGCAAAGAAAGGGCCGAGGAGGGTAGGGCAGCATCCCCAGATCTTGCCGTTTCGATTGCTAACTCTTGGAACAGAACGCCTCAAGTCCGACAACTTGCCCTCTATCACCATGTACCCCCTTTTCCCTGGCCTGGAGACTGTCGAGGACAGGGTATTTTGGAAGCATTACAATGAGCATCTCAGCTCCGTGCTCACCGTAGAAAGCGAGCACAAGAACGCTTTCAAGGACCTGATGATCCCCATCGCAATCAAACATCAGGGCCTTATGCACTCCATCTTGTCGCTGGCCAGCAAACACATCGACTTCGAGACGCCTTACGGCATCAACATACTGAGGAAGAATCCCAACACGACTCTGGAAGCGCTGAGGGAGCGCTCGCTGTATCACCACGACCAAGCGCGGCTTAAGTTCTACCATGACATTGAGTTCGTCAACGGAAAGTCCAACACGGACGACAGAACCCTTGTTCCGGCCCGGTACGGCCAAATGCTGTGCTTCCTTCTCGAAGCCCTGGTTGAGGGCAGTCCGCGGGGCGAGCACAGGTTGCATCTGACAGTATACCGCAACCTCAATTTCACTTCGCCGTCCAACGATTCCGCCTTCATGTCCTTCATCGCCGAGGTGTTCCAGTACTACATCTTCGCTGACGAACTGATATACTCCGCCACCCACCGGGATGCTTACTCGTCGCTCAAGCCGCTCCCACCCCTGCCGCCGATTCACAATCCCAGGTTGCTAGGGGTCTCCGATGGCCTGCTCAGCTATCTACCCCAAATCACATCTATGCGTAACATCATTCGTGAAAACATGCTGGCACAAATCGACCCCGCCGTCAGTTATCCAGTTATTTACCCAGCCGAAGATATCGATGCTGCCTTACGGGGCTGGTCCTCGCATTGGCCACCGGGAGACAGCCGCAACCGCGTCACCCAACTGTACAGGCAGATGATGTGGATCTACCTTCATCGGACTGTCTATCCGCCCTCATTCTCCGCGCCGGCGCCCATGACCTCGTCTGTCGCGTCCGTGCCTCTAATCCACAGCTCCCCTTCCCACGCCCGGCCCACCGCGTCCTCCGTGGTTAACACACCGCCGCACTCCGCGTCAGCAAGCCGCGCCTCCTCCCCGAAGCTGTCCGCGTCCCAGAACAGCCGACCGCTTTCGCGCACAGGCTTCTCCTCATATCGCCCACACGACGACTGCACCCCGGGTCCTTCTGACGCCGGCGGGGAAGCCGGCGTTGCCGCTGCGGGCACGGGTAACAACCGGGCGGATTCCCCCGCGCCGCTCCATCAGCCCTCCAATCTCGACTCGTGGCTCATCTCGGCCGTCGACGAGTCGCTGGCGCTGCTCGAGTCGTTCAAGCCCGGCGACCCCTGCCAGACGCTCCTCCTGTTGCCGTGCTTCCTGGTCGGGACTGCCTGCTTTAGCCGAGCCCAGCAGGCGCGCCTGCGCGCCGCCGTCCGGACCGTTAGGGGTTACACGGGCTTGCGCAACGCGGACCGCGTCGCCGAGGTGCTGGAGGAGGTATGGCGGCTCATGGAGGCTGGGGATTGGGTGGCGGCTTGGGACTGGCCCGGGGTTGCTGGGAGGTTAGGCTTGGATTTCATTCCTGCCTGAGACTCTTTTTTCTGCGCAGTTTTTAGTCTACGCACGGTTGGTCGGGCCAGGGAAAGCTCTGTCCGAGGGCAGCTGCTTCCGACGGAAAAGGAGAATTGCTCCTTTATGCTCTGGTTCTGTTATCCATTGCGGGCCTCTAGCTGACTGTGCTCTGCTTTATCTCTATCTCGTCACAGCCATTCCAAAAGGCCAGCAATGTTCCTTGGCCGTTGTACTGTTAATCCCGACAGTCGTGTGCTGTCACCTTCTCACTGTCTTTCTTGGACATGTATCATTTTGGGGACTTGGGACGGGCAACATGGTTTCTCTTAGAGGTGGGATTGCAAGGGTTTTCTACGAGTCCTGCCGTTGGTTGGGATTGGCACTAGGGGGCATCGACGGGTGTTGGGGGAAAGGAAAGGGTTTGGGCGGGCAGGTGGATCTCACAAATGGAAAACCCTGTTCTATATCGATGTAGGAAGCGTATGGTGGGCAGGAATTGGGATTAACTCGGAGTCTGGGATCCCTTCCAAGGGAAACTTAGCAAAAGTTCTTGAGATGTCAGTTCATTGCTCTCTGGGGTACCGTTGGAAATCGGCATCAGATGGGTATCAGGGAATGGCCTGTTTGGTTAATCTGGCAATGACATGCCGGACATACAAGACAAGACAAGTAGGTGAAAAACTCTTGCGTTTCGTGTTTCAGTTTCTGCTTTACATTGTGTTCCAAACCCTCTGCACTCAATCTTCCTTCGATATTTCCGCTCTCAGGTCCCCAGGGTATCATCCAACCACAACCTCCTTACATTGACACCCAACCGCACCACCATGACGCCTCCTCCCCCTTCCCCAGCAGCGCCCAGCTGTCGACAATATTAATGGCAACATCAAATCATACACATATATACAAAACAAATTTATCCTGCATACTCACTGCCATAATGAGCCGTCCACCGTGGTTCCAGAATTCTTTCAGCTGTCGCTTTCTCCTTCATCATCATTGTCTTCCTCCTTCTCCTTCAAGGTCACGTCAATGCCGCCAGGGACCTTGCGTATCTCGTACTTCCCGCCGAGGACCAAGTCCTTTGCGACTAGTTCTCTCGTCCGGCCGAGACTCTCAATAGCCGCGATACGGTCAATCGTGCCCTGGAGATGCTCCCGGAAGCCCGGTTGGGCCACAATTTCTTGGAAGGCGAGGTGCATCGGCACCGAGCTCGCGCGGACCTGGGCATCGCTGGTGATGCTGAACAGGTTTAGACGGTCGAGGGCGCGCACGAAGTCGGCTCGCGTCATGATCTCCTGGGCCTTGTGAAGCGGGAACGATGGGAGGACATGGCCTAAGGCTGGGTTGTATGTGGTCTCCATCTCTTTTTCCTTGTCAACCAGGGCCGTGGCTAAGACCACTGCGGCAGCCTGGAAAGAGTCGGGCGGTTAGCAGCAAACAAGAAGGGCAGGCGCGGGTGGAACACTCACAGCCCACTTTTGCTGATCCATCACATCATCATCCATATCCTCTCCAAGGATCCAGCACTGGTTCAAAAACCACGTCTTTTCCATCTGTTTAATCTTATCGCATGCGGAGAGCATGTCGCTGCTTTTAGCCACGCGGTTCAGGAAGTTCAGCCGGCCTCCGATGCGGTCGTAAACCTGCTCAAGGAGCTCGGAGGATGGAACCTCGCCGAAGTATCGCTGACGGTAGTTCCTGAGGGCGGCCGTGGCCTGTGTCTTGGGCAGGTCGACGATGGTGAGGACCTCCATGCGCGTTGCCAGCTGCTTGAGGCGCTCATAGACCCAGTAGTCGTCGCTATTGAAGACCATGGTTACCAGATCCGCCGCCGCCCATTGCTCTGCCCGTTGCTGCAGCAGCTCAATCAGGTCCTTGCCATCATCGTCGTCCCTAATCAGGTGCATCTGGTTGATGATGACCACGAGCGGCCTCCCGACCTTGGCGCGGCGCCGAAGTGCAACCTTCTCGAGCTTGTTGAGGGCGCGCTCAATGTCGAGGAGGGCTGTGGTATCTCTGGGGCCGCGCTCACTGAAGTAACCGCCGATGTAGTCCTCATGGAACTCGTAGTCCAGCGCTTTTCCCAGGCGGATTCGAAAAATCTCAAGGTCGGCATGCGCCTCGAACATGGCCACACCATCGCCGTCAATCTTGCGCATCGCTTCCAGAAGCATGCTGCTCTTGCCGGTGCCCTTCTCGCCGATGAACAGGTGATAGTGTCCCCGCTCCTTTCCGGCAACGATATCGTCGACAATAGGCTGCTCGGGCCTCTCCACCCAGTGGGTGGCTGCTGCTGTCTTGCCGAGTGGCAGATCCTTTCCTATGGCCGCGAGCTCAAGGACAGGGTCACCGGGCTCGAAGGCTTTGGCCATCTTCTCGAGGACCATGTACTTGTACCCTTTGTGGTAAGCATAAGCCGCGATGCCGAAGCCCGCACCGAGGACGAGGATGGAGGCGAACGATGTGGCGGCCGCCTCCGCCATCTTGGAGAGGAGTGAAGGGCCGGCATCTTGCTCTGGCGGCGGGGGCGGCGGACCAGGATCTGGTTCTGTTGCATGTTCCTTTGCCGTGCCAGTTTCTGCAAGCCTGTTAGCAGGCACCATGAAAGAGAGCCAAAGGCGTCGGTAGAGGTCTGAGGGATGTGTCATCTTCTCGCCATGTTATGGCAGAAGGTGGTCTGGTTCTTCATCGCGGGACAGCATTGTGTGGATACATTATCAAGAGGACATGGGCACATGGACATATCAACGAGACCTGGCCAAACCTCGATTGCGGTCCACGTTGAGCCCCGTCATACATATGGCAGTGGTACAGAGGAATTTGATGTCTTGGCGAAGAAAAGAGTGCACGTACCGGGCCGGGGCGCTTCACTTGAAAATGATCGTTTCGTGCTCCATCCCATCTGGATGCACGCGGCTCGTGAATCCCTCAGAACCACGATGCGATGGGTCCTTGAGACGGTCAGCGCTGAGCGCCACCCTGCCCTTACTAAAACCATTGCCAATTTGAGCAGGGGAAAAAGAAATCTGAGAAAAACGGCCCACTACAAATGAGTCCTAGCAATTAAGGAGTAATAATGAGATGACAAGAATTGAAGGCAATGATCGGGAAAAAGCGAGTGGAAGTCACCGCCGGTTTTGAGCCACGGACCTGAGAGTGAGGTGTTTGTTCTGAGGGCGGTGTCTGCTGGTTCCAGGCCTGATCCAGGGATAGTGCCGCCCATCGCAGCTGAGCCAGCACGGCCATCGTTCTTGGCAACGACCAGGGTCTCAGCTGGCAAGATCTGGGCTGGGTGATCCACAGTTGTCAGATGCCCCTGAGCCCCTGAACGTAAAAATAAACAAATGCCAGACCATCACGATGACTCCAATTAGATGACTTGATGTTGAGCAACTTTCGCTATTTGGCTGAGGATTAGGGATGAGCATGAGTTCTGAAGCATTCATAATTCAACATGTCTGCGAGCAATTCTCGCTGTTTCTTGCCTGATCGGTACTTACCGTAGAATTTCCAGACTCATTATCGTTGGCCCAGAGTCAACCCGATGCCCTTCATGTATCAAAACCAGATGGCGTTGTTCCATGGATTAGCCAAGGTCAATGAAAACTGAGTATTGCGGAGATCTAAACTCTGCTCTAGCACTGTGGTTCCGTCGGATGTCAAGCCAGCTGACATGACACGTCACCACACTGCTCGTCTCCAGACTGAAACTCATCGTGGATCATTGTCACAGATGATCAAGAGGGCTACTGTAGATGAGAATGAAGTAAAATGCGCCCAACTCTCTGTTCAACTCAACTATCCATCAGTGTATGCCAGTGAACGCGTGCTATGTGCTTCCCTTCACGAGTCTCGTGGTCCTCTTCTCGATCCAATCTTCCGGCATGCCAGTTCAGTTCACAGACCACTGTTACTGTTAACAGCAGGAGCGAGAACTTATATCCTAGTTTGCCGTTGCCCTCTCAGTGACTCTAAGCCCTCACTTACTCGCTCTCATCGGTGTTCTTGTAGTGGAAGAAGAGACGCATTGTGGTCCAATTGCGTCATTCGACTTGCCTAACAAGGCACTGGTCAAGCGTTCCTCCCAAAGCCTTACTCAATGAGTTTGTCGTCTGATCAAGCCACCATGGGCGGCAATCATTATGTCTTCACGACAATTTTATCTGACACGCCACGCCGACCCGTGCTTGCAATGTTCTACAAGCCCACTGGTCCGAAGGGTATTGTCGTTCTTTGGAGGTTGCCGTTATATCCCGAGTCTTTTACTACTTAACCTGCCATTGAAGTGTGGGAGAGCTGGGAAAGAGTCTCACTTGTCTGCCGTCCGAACTTTGTCAGACCTCTGTGGTCATGCTGATAGTATTGGCATGCGAACTTCCTGCACACCAGTTGACGGCCGATCTTCAATGCAGGAAGCAACGAAACTAGAGGTCGCTGCACCCTCGAGTTTCCCTGGGTATCCTTCCCATAGACTTCTATCTGCCAATCTTCTTGCAAGCAGCAATTGGAGGTCCTGCATACCTGAGCTTCCCTTGATATCTCTACCCAACAATCTTCTTTCACCAAACCTTGTACTACTAAACCATCTTCTCACCGACATCCTTCTCACAGACCGTGGCCGTTTCTTTTAACCAACGATTTCCCACAAACAGTTCCTTCACCGACCATTCTTCCACCGGCCCTTCTTGCACCGACCGATCAACCGACTTCCTTTCCCTTTCTCACACACCAAAGCCAACATCGCCAGCTCGACAGAGTTAAGCATTTGATGGATTTGCATTTTGAAGGTGAGTTTCTGTGCACTCATCATTCCTTCGATGTCTTCTTCCCACCGACCCTTCTTCCCAGGGTTTCCACGAACCCTTCTTGTTGCCAACAATTCTTCCACCAACCTTTCTATTCACTAAGTTTTCCCCTTACAGACCCCCCAGCTCCGGCTGATTAACCGATTTCCTTTCTTTCTTCATCACATACAAAGCAAGCAACTGCTAACCTTTAGAGAGCACAATCCATACAAGTTTAAAGTTCAAAGGAAGTTCTCTGCCCCATCCTTTGCCCCCGACTCAACAGCACTGCACTGCACCCCAGATCGGCGGTACTGTTTGCCATCCTGCCTCAATACGATCGATCAAACTGGTTACTAACCAAGCCCGATTAGGATTGTTATTGAGAACATGGATAGCGTTGGCGAGACCATGACTTGGCTCTCACCCGAGGAATTGGCAAATCCTCACACTAGAGTTGTCATCAATGGCCTCGAGTGGGAGCTGTGGCAGGTTGGGCACAGTTATGGCGTGAACCATCCCCTCCCTAGCTTGACGGTGAGAACTGGCGCTTCCGCTAGCGATGTTCGAGAGCGATACACACGTCAGTGCGACCAGGGAGTAGCTTCTTCCCGTCGAACTACTCCCGCCAGCCGCGTCCCCGGAGGACAATCTTGGCCCGACTCGCCAACCCTTCCGTCAAGCAGCAGTGTCCAGCAACAATACGCTCAGGCGCACGAGAACGACGAACACAGTCTGAGCACCCACGAGCTACTCCTCTTAATTGATGGGCTGGTTGGCGGAGCGTACAACGAGTTGGAGGAAGAATGCACGGCTTTGGAACCCTCTCCTATATATGTCGACTCATCATTCGCTCCTCCTTTGAACTCGCCACCAAACAAGCCCTTACCTCAATTTCCCGCGCAGGCGCCGGGCGGCAGACAACTTGAGGAAAACCCTGGACCAACTTCATCGACAGCGATTGTGTTGCGGGAGTATCTAGGATCTGACCGGGATACCCACTCAATTTCGGAACCGACGATCACTCCAACAGTCGCACAGGTGACCAAACCGGCAGTGAACTCGGGCTTTCAGTCCGAACGAACCACTCTCTCAGCAGGAGCTTCTCGTGCTCCGGCGAGAATAAACCGTCTCCGCGGCAGCACCCCGACAGAAAGCCCTGGTAGCACCGCTAACACCGATCAACAAGGCTCCATGGATTCAGCAGCACCTTGCCTCGATGTCGCAGCAAAAAAGTGCCACCTCCAGGGTATCTGAGTAATAACTTGCTGCGCCGCATGCACGTAGACTGACAAAGCCTCCAGCTCGAGTAGAAATTGAACGGCCAACTGTCAAGCACGCCGACACCAGAGCCCCTCACATTTCCATATTCCGGAATCAAAGCACACAGAGTTACTGGCACAGTGAGCAAGACCCACGGCCGACCGGACCTCTACGGAAGTTGCAGCTCAGTCTCCTTCCGCACCCAATGCCCGCTATCTTGCAGAACCCACCGGAGTTTCTGAAGCAAGCCCCTGACTTCTCCCAGCAACCACCATATCACGAGCAACTGGGCATGACGAGGACAATAGCAATTTCTCCGCTAAACAAATTCAAGTCCCGTTCGAATTCGTCCCGTCCATCTCACTCGGATTCATCGCATCAGACCGCGCAAAGTCGGCAAGCTAGAATCGGCACGGGGCCCAGCCCGAACAAGTCTTTATCCTCTTCAAACCTGCCCTGCTCAGATCCTCTTTCCATTTTACAGCAAGCGTCACTTGACAAGCAAACGGGCATGATGGGTGCCACAGCGCATTCGCGACTAAACAAAAGCAGGTCTGCGTCGAATCAGGCCCGTCCACCTGCAGATTCTCAGCAGAACCAGACCGGTATAACTCAGCAACTGTTTCAAAATTCGCAAGCCGGAGTCGGTAAAGAAGCAAGTCATCAGCCTGACAGATCCAGGTGCTCCTCCGCAAGCCAGCCGCATCCTTTCCCCGGTTTCCTGAAAGACGCCCCTGAGCTATTTGAACCGCCGTCTCAAACCCAGCAACCAGGCCCAAGCACGAAGGCAAGTCTGAGGGATCTCAAATTCAGCTCCCAGTCGACCCCCGCGGTTGCAGAGACAAGACCAGTCACGCCGACCGCCGACGGCGACGAACTTCCCAAATCGCACTGGAGCGATTCGGACTCTGACGACTCTCCGAAGTTAACTCGGATACAGCGGATGAGAAGGGCAATCAGCTTTGCCAAGTTGCGGCCCAAGAAATCTCAAGCGTTACAGGCACAGGGTGTCGATCAAGCCGGCACATCCTCATCTTCGATCGGGAAACGCACGTCAGGGTCGCAGGACGCGAAGCAACAGCAAGGGTAGTAACTGATGGAAAGCCGTTTGCTCCGTTCGTCCTGGGACAGGTTATAGACGGAAACTTTGCGCTGTCTCCCACTGTATCGTCCACTCTCCAGCGGAGAAGACGCTGGCCCCTGGTAGTCTTAGTAGTGCATTGGCAAACGGGGAGTATGACGGGTGTGGAAGAGCACAGGTGCAAAGGGAGGTACATGACGTAACAGACCTACTGGCAGGATCCGAAAGGAAGATAGATGACTTTGCCAAATGAAAACAAATGCCTATAGCATCCACCGTATGCATGACAGGGCGATCATAACTCTGTGGCAGGACAGATTTGAGGCTGTCCAATGCACAATCGTGAAGTGTCGGTCGATGTTGGCCGATGTTGAAGGCTACGGAAGTGACCTTACCCGAAAGAAATAGATAAGATAGGTAGTTACATGCTGCACGCCAAGAGCCATGAATCTGGTCCCTCACCCCACACTTTCTCTCGCAACGCGCAAACGCGTGAACTCAAACCCGACAGTTCAAGATCTCGCGTTCCCTCCCTCGCTCCTTCTATTGACACTTTGTTTGTCGTCATACCACCCGCCTTCCCTGCCTTTACTCATTTGCCCCAGCATTTTGTGCTGAGCCACAGCGGCTGAGCCACAGAGGCTGTGCCAAATTTTGAGCACGACAGTTGAAAAATGTATCATGGGCAACGAATCCAGCAAGCCCGAGATGCCTACGGGCAGGTCCCGATCTCTCTCTCCACTTCCCCGCGAGGAAGAGTTTCCGGACGAGGACATTGAGACCTCGCCGCCCCTTCCATCAACGATGCCTGTATCATTTGCGCCCCCGGAATCCATAGGGTTAGCCCCTCCAGGCGCACCTGGCTCTCTTGCTTGGCACCAGCGTCGGCGCCGGGCTCGCAACGCATCACCTGAATCTAACCGTGGCAGATCTCGCTCCACATCCCCCCAAGACTCGCTTCGGCCATTGAACGCGAGTCAACCAGCCCAGTCTGCGGCTCGTGCGACATCCCCAGATCAATTTTTCCACTCTGCGACCCAACCAGATAAGCCGAGGAAATTTCCGCGCCCGAAAAAGAGCAAGGATGGGCTCAAGGAGGCCGCTGAAGCAGTGCGCAACGAAGAGCGCTACGAAGCCGGATCTCAAGAATATAGAAAGAGCATGCGACGTTCTGCTGCGCCTTCTCCATTTCCCAGAGACGGAGCCCCGCCGCCCGACGGATTTGAACCGGCAGGTATGTCGGACGATGCGGTGTCTTCACAGGGCCAGTCGCAATCGCCTGGGCCAGCCAGATTGCGCAAAAGGAAAAAGGGAAAGGGCAAGGAAGTGTTTATGGATGCCATTTCGGAAGAGGATACAGGCATCGCAAGTGTGTTGGACGGTGCGGCATCTTTACAGGACCAGTCGCAATCACCGGAGCCGGTCAAACTGAGCAAAAGGGACAAGGGAATGGGGAAAGAAGTGATCAGAGATGCGATTCCGGACGAAGAAACATCTGACCCTGAACGCTCAATATCCGACTTGCAGGCCGAGGATGAACCTCCTCCAAGCGCACAATCGCCGGCCAGACCGAGCATAAGGAACAAGGGGAAGGGGTATGGAGTAACCAGGAATGTCACTACGGAAAGAGCAACAATCGTCCCGAACCGCTCAACACTCGACTTAGACGATGAACCCCATCCAAGTGCACAACCGCTAGGAAAGCGTGGCCGCCAAGATAGCGACACGAAACCGCGGAAGAAACGAAAGACACCCCAGCCGCCCAAGCTAGAGTCAAATGCCGAGGATACCATCGATGCGGAAGAGGAAGAGGGCGTCAGTCTACGGGGAGCAACAAACCAGCCACCGCCAGCCGTGGTTGATGAAGACTCGTTCATCGACCCATCCACAACCGCACTGAGGGAACGAACAGCTGACTCGCAGCGTTCTCACTCTGACTCTGGGTATGCCGAGCCCGATGCTCAACTCCCTTCGGCGTGGGAGTCAGGAATGGATATGGATATTCCTTACGGACTGCCGGTATACGAAGGCCATGTCGCAACAGGCCACGGCACTGAAGAGGCTGACACTGACAGCGCGTCGGCTCACGAGGACCATGATGTCGCAACAGACAACGGCACAGAACAAGATGACATTGACAGGAGGTCAGATGCTTGCGATCACCCTGGCATACCTGCGGCAACTGACTCGCCCTTACCCCCACCGGATTCGACTGCTGGGGATGAGGAGGAAGATGACCACGCAGAAGAGCCCGCCGACCCTCAACACGATCCCAAAACTACTTCCATTCCTCAGGAATCGGCTACCAAGGACCCCAAGCCCCGCCACAGCTCAAAGAGGAAGGCTCAGGTGCCCTTCTTCTCTCGTCAACAGGAGGAAAATGCAATGGCATTTGCAGACCTTCCTCGTGAAGATGTTGTGTCTCCGCCAATGCGAAGGTCATCAACAACGGCGCAGTCAGCCGTGCAAGGCGAGGCTGGTCCTGGCCCTTCAACCATGGCTCGGAAAACGAAGCGGAAGAGACCCAAGAAACAGCCAGATGACGGCACCGATGCCGAAAAGCAGGAGCCTGCCGAGAGATCGCAATATCGATCCGGCCGTCTTTCGAGAACGGAGCAAAACCAGATCATCAGAGCGGTTGAGCGATTCCGGGAAGACGAGGGAATGACCCAGGAAGAGATCAACCAAGTGATTCACGACAATCCGCAGACAAGCACGCAGGCAATTCATCGCCAGCTCTGGGCCTCGATCCAGGATGCCTGCCCGTCCCGCACGCGGAAGAAGTTGATTGGTTGGTGCAGGCAGCGCTTCCACAATTTCACAGCCCGAGGGACATGGACACCAGAACAAGACGATGAATTGGCGGACCTGGTAGAGAAACATGGGACGAGGTGGAAATTTATCGCCGGCTTGATCAACCGCTATGACAAGGACGTGCGCGACCGGTGGAGGAACTACCTGGTCTGCCGCGGGGCTCACAAAACGGATGTTTGGTCCGAGGGCGAAGAAGACCGTTTCCGCGACTTGGTGGAGAGTTCCATCCAAAAGATTCGCAAGGAAATGAAGGGGAACAGCCGAGCATTGCCCGAGAAGCTGATCAACTGGCTTAAGATTAGCGAAGCAATGGGGTACACTAGATCTCGGTTGCAGTGCTTGGAGAAATGGAAGAGGATGCGCGCCGCTGAACCGATCGCTGACCAGGTCGCCACGGTGCTCCCCTCCGGTTCCTCGTGGCGGCTGCAAAAGGCACGGGATGATCTGCGGAAGATTACGGCAGAAGACAAGTACACTTTGATGAGCGCGATTCGCGACTCTGGGGTCGGGAAGGACGCCAAGATCCCCTGGAAGCAAATCACCAGTGGCACGTTTCGTGACAAGTATGAGCGCCAGGCTCTCGTGGTCAGTTGGGGACGGCTGCGACAAGCGGTACCTGATTGGGAATGGAAGACAACCCGCGATTGCGCTCGGTATCTGTGCGAAATGTATGAAACGGAAGGCAATTTTGGAGCTGCGGAGCATGGCGAAGCTGAAGAAACAGAGGACGAGGTTCCGGCCGACACGGCCACCTCGGCGAAGCGCCGTCAACGGAAAGGAAAGGAGGTTGTCCGGCCAGCCCCGGCAGCCACAGAGCATGGAGAAACTGGAGAGGCGGAGGTTAACGTCCCGGACGACAAGGCCACTTCGGCAAAGCATCATCGAAGGAAAGGAAAGGAAGTTGTTCGGCCAAGCCCGGCAGTCACCTCGGCGTCACTGTCCGAGAATCAAGGCACAGACAATGGAGAGTCCAGCCAGAAGACGGTGGAATTGACGATGTCAGCGAACGGCGTTAGCCCAGCTTCCGGAGACTCGCGTCAAAAGCGCGGCAAATCACGCAGCAAAACAAGACGGGGTGCTGCAGCTGATATCGAGACCGTGGAGCAGACCGATGAAGATGCTGTGATGGAGGATCAAGCAATGACACAGTCTCCAGGGTTGCACATTGAAACGAGCTCCGTCGGCGGCACTTCACCACAGCCATCGCCGAGCCTAGAAGCCCAGGCAGCTCGAACGAGAAGACGCGAGAGATCGGCAAGCGTCGCGGATCAGACGAGCGCCAAGGGAAAGGAGAAAGTGACTTCGTCGGCGGCGCTCAATGCAAACAGTGCAGAGTCATCTAAGAGGACGCGTCGCGGATCACTGTCCAATGGCAAGGTGGACAGCCTTCCCAAATCGAAGAAACAGAAGGTTTTAAAAGAATCATCCAGTCAACGACCCACCACCATCCATACCGGCAAGAATGGGAAGTCAAAGGCCCGTCGTCTCGGCAAGCCTTGGAGTGACATGAGCAGCGACATGGACGACATGGAGGATATACCCGCGAGATTGCCTTGGTCAACCCAGTGAGGGGATCTACCTAACTCGCAGCGCATCATCAGCTTTGCATGGCTGGAAAGTTTGCTCTGGTTGGCGTGCTTTGCCGCGCGGAGGATGGAGCGGCAGCTTGAAGGGTTCATGGATGAAAGCTGTTGCTGGGCCCGAGCGTCGGCCTGTCTGAGTTGCTCCGCATATCTCATGGGATCCTGCTGTCGAACATTGATGGGAGGCACAGCGCCGCTGAGGTGCATGAGCTAGCAATTGCACTTTTTGAAAAACGTCACTCAAGAATTAGTGGAACGTGAACCCCAACAGGGGACAATTTGTTGTGCAAACCTGCTATGATGTTACACACCAGCACATGCCAGCCATCCCAGCAACAACCTATACCCTAATAACACCGAACACCGATCAAGGACAGTCCATTCCCAGCCATTTTGTGCCTTTCCCTACCTGGACCCATACAGCAGAACACCCCTCAAAACCAGATATCTCAAGATGATATGTCAGATGAACGAACATGGAAGAAATGAGAGGAGCCGCGAGGCTTTCTCAACGGACCCAAACCGATATTCATGAAATGAGTGAGCTAGCGATCCTCGAAGTATACCCTGCTCAACCGCCTGGGGCTTACCATAGCTGTGCCTCCCACTCGGCCCTCGCCCTCGTCCAGCCTCTCACGGACAACGCGCTCTGGAAGCTCTTGGGGCAGGGACGGCGCAGTGGACGATGTCTGGGCGGTTTGCTGGTGGTGATAGCCGATTGGCTGTCTTCTCTCTGGGATTGTGGTCCGGTTTGCACCGGTTGGCTGGACGGGCACGGGGCCGCGCGTCGTTGTGTCGACGAAGATGCGGCCCTCGGGTGCTCCTGCTTCTGCTGTCGGTAACCCACCAGTCTCGAACGCTACGCCGTCCACCATGCGCGCCTCCCGCCTCTCGCACACCGCCGACTGACTGACGGGGGTCTCGGCGCCCGCCTCACGCTCCGCGGCATGTGTCGCAAAGTCTCGCCGCCCGGTTGCGCCGCTGTGGGGCGGGTTCGGGGAAGAGGTTGCGCCCTCGCCACTGAGCCCCGAGCTGCTCCGCTCCAGGCCCCAAAGCGTCGCCGCTGCCCCTCCGGTTCCAGCAGCAGCGCTACCTTGTTGCGAGGGAAGGGGCCGGCGGTGGTAGATGGGGCCCGAGAGCGTGCTGCCGGCGCCCTCGCCGAAGCCGACCAGGCTGGCGCTGCCGTCGTCCGACATGCGGTCCTCGAACCCGCCAACGCTTCGCGACGCGAGGTTGTCCAGGTCTTCGTCCATGGCGTCTGAGGCTCCCATGTAGCCGCTCGCGCTGGCCGAATCCAGCTCGGCGAGCATGTCCTCGTCGCGATCCTCGCCGAGCGTGGAGCCGTCACCGCCGCCCTCTGTTGTGGTCGATGTGTTCCCGCCGAGGCTTTCGGTTTCGCTTGCCGAGCCGACGGTGCTCACCTTGGTGGCCGCCACTGGCTGCCCGGCAGCGTCGAAGTAGGCTGGGGTGAGCCCGCCGGCTACGGCAGCGGCTGTGGTATTGGGTGGAAGACCAGTCGATGCTAGGGTTGTTTGATGGGGGTTGGCATTGTGCTGGGCGGGCCCCGGAGGCAGACCACGGAGTGTTGAGACGGTGGACAGGCCCGCAAGGCGGCTGATTCGGTCGGCGCGTTCGGCTTCAAGAGTGTTTGTGGAGGAGCTGTGCTGATGCCCTCCACGGTGCAAAGCGCCACGATGACCGTCCTTAATAGCTGTGGTGGACAGGCCCGAGAGAGAAGTCGTGGTGCTCGTTGGAGTGCCGCTGGTTGGAACAAGGCGGTTAGCTAAATCGATCATTTATGTTATACTGCTCCAACAACAGCCGTGTCACTTACGGCATCTCCGACGGGGTGTCAGGATTGGACGGTGGCCCCGGGAGATTGATGAGCATTGGATGCGACGTCTGTGCCTGCGACGTCTGGGATGGTGGCTGCTGTGGTTGTGCCATTTCCCCCAGGGTTCCTGTTGGTGAGTCGCTCCTCAAGTCGCGACTCGTATCCACTGGGGATTCAGTTCGTCGGTGGATTGAGCTTGCCGTCGCAGATGCGGTGGGCTCTGGGGGTATGAGAGCCTGCATAAGGCATTAGGCCGTGCCAGATTTGGACGCTGTGATGGAACCGCCCCGGAAAGACACGAAAGACACGTTGCCGAGCGGCAGAAGAGCCGGGCTTACCATCAAGTAGTTTTGCGAATCCTTTGATGATCTGAACCCGCGGCTCAAGTTCACAGCACAGGACAATATGCATGGTATCTGTACAGGCTTAACAGAATAGAGGTCAAATGGCCAGGACCCTTGCCGTGTTACTTGACATGTTTCCAAGGCCGATTTCACTCCGGATGCATTAGCGGAGGACTTTAAGGTGGGGAGGGGTGACGTCGCGCGGGGGTCGCAACGCGTCTGTGCTCGACATCGAATGTTGGGAACCCGCAGCGGGATATGAATGAATCCAATGATCGAAAAGCCAAACCACTGAATTGAAGCGATCCGATGAACTTCACTCCCTATTGTACACCTGCGGTTTCACATTTTACCAGAATGCTGCATGCAATATCATTCCATGGTACTTGATCATACTCAACCACCAAATACAACGTCATGATACTTCTGGCTCGCTTACGTGCTCGCATCGCTGGGATCAGAGTTTATCAGACACCTCCATGAGAAGCGCAAGAATACCTCATCTGCCCATCCTCACCACCAAGCGTCATTCTTTCCAGCCTCGCTTCGACACTACCGTTCGCTCCATTCAGGTTGACGCTGCAGTTCGTTTCCTGCTCGCTAGGCGGCACGTCGAGAGCCGGGTTCCGGTCGAAGAAGTTGACGGGTCTCAGCATGACACGCAGTGTTTCGACGGGCATGACGGGGAAGTCCTCCACGCGGGGGATGTGGTTGATGCCAAACTGGACCCAGACGACCGGATCCCCCTCCGCCAGACTGTCTTTTCTCTCGGCCCAGCTGCGCACCCCAGTCCCGCCCCGACTCTGATTCGTGTAGAGGCCGCCAGCATACAGCTCACCTTCAGCATACCGTGTGACGTAAATGCTGTGGTCGGCGAACTCGGCTCGCTTGTGGTGGAAGCTGTCGGCGTCGGCCAGGATCGCCTGCATGGGCGGCACCATAACCTTGTAACCGACCGCTGCGCCGTTGACGGCGTTGCGGACCGCCGGGTTGATGACTTTGAAGCTGCGATTTGTGCTTGGGTCCAGGTCGTACCCGCCCGAGCTTTGTACCTCGGTTCTGCGCACCGTATATCCCACGCCATGTGGGTTGAGTTCGGGGTCTCGTGGAATGGCAACGGCCTCGTCGTACACGACCGTGTTGCCGTGGCCTGCCACCATGGGGTCGATGCGAAGGCTGAAGAAATGCTGATGGAATCCCCCGAGGACCCCGGGATGTACCACCGTGCCGAACGGGTGTGGCGTCATGGTCAGGTCGAGGTCGAGAGGCTGGGTCGAGAGGATGCCCGTTGCCCGTGCCTCGTACGTGAGGTCGCCTGCCGTGTTGAAGATAAACGACAAAATATACTCGTAGTTACTGACCGTCAGGATTGTTTGCAGCACCAGCTCGCGGTTTCGGACCACAACAGCCCGGTTGGTCCGGTAGTTGGTGTGCTTCCACAGAATCCCGGCATCCTGCTCGTGGACGCAGATCACATTCGGCATGTTGACCGGCTTCCCGTAGCTGTCGGCCAGGATGCCCCCTATGTAGTAGATGCTGCCGAGACAGTCGCAGCCAAGTTGCAGGTTGTTGGCCATGATGCCGGCCCCAGCATCGCCAAGGTCAAAGGCGGCTTTCCGGTGGAAAGGATGCCGTGGGTCGGCGTAAGGGATGGCCATGTCGGACAGGCTGAGTCGGTAAAAGAGGGGTTTGTTGTCGTAGTGGACGTCGTACAAGACCATGCCCTCCCGTTGGTTAAAGCCGACCTTGAAGTCCCATTTCTGCCAGCGGATCAGACGACCCAGCTCCGAGAAGTTCTCGACAGTGAAGGAGGCACCCTCGGGCTGCACAACCCGCAAGGGTTTGAGGTCAGTACGCAGTGTTTGAGCTTCGGGGATGTATTCGCTGGGAGGCGCCGTCTGCCAGGGTGTAAGCGGTTTGACCTTCTCGTCGAGGCCAGTGGGCAAAATGTCAATGCGAATCAGTTCCAGGGTATTTGGGTCGACAACCGGCGAGATGGGTAGAGGAAACGCGTAATGGCAACTGTCCAGCTCGGAAGGGTTCCGGGGATCGCGCATATACAGGAAGCATTGCATGGCACGCTTGTCGTCGTAAAAGCTGCCATCCTTGATGCCGTCGGACCCTTTTGAAGTGAGCAGCCAGCCAACATCCATGGTAACACCGAGGCTAGCTTACCGTATATCCAAGGGTCGGCAACCACAACGGACCCCTTGGGAAGCTTCAGCTTGGCGATCTCAGCTTGGACGTCTGGATGCGCCAGCAGTGCCTTCTCCACCGCAATGATCTCCTCCCCATCGCCATTGGCATGCATAAACGGGCCGAGCCTGGCATTCGACTCGACTTTGCTGGTAGTAAGGTTGACCACCGCCTCGTGAAGGTTGTGCTAGGGACGTCATCAGCACGACTGGTACTTAAGAGCGTCATCAAATGGTCCGAACTGACCGTTCCCCTGAAATAGTAAACGACAAATGCTCGCCGATCGATGTTGCCAGGGTCCCGGCCCGCCCGTTCCGCAACCAAGTACGGCGCGAGCTCAACCTTGGCAGGCTCGAGGAGCGTTATGACCTTGAAGTGGCAGTCAATGTCATGTGGCCAGCATCCACGGATGAGGTCAGCGCTTTGGGTGATTTCGTGAGCTGTGAGAGGCCCGAGAGGATGAACTTTGGGCCGAGAGGCATCAAGCCGATCCGTGGCAGGCTTGCCGTCCATGGCTATTACGCCAGTGAGGTATAGGCCCTGAAAGCCCGTTAGCATGGAGTCCTGGTGAAGAAATATTCAGAAGTCAAGGCCTGAAATATGGTCACCGAGTTATAACAGAATGAGCGACGAATGTCGGAACAAAGGGGCTACACATACAAGGGCATTCCCGTCGTAAAAGGCGTTGGAATGTGATGCTCTGATGTTTTTGTTCCAGAAAGCACGGAGTGATGGATTGGGGGAGAAGACGGGGAAGGGTCAGTTGCCGCTCGAGCTCGGGCTCTCGTGCTGTACTTGTACTTGTCGGTCTGGTTCGTCTCACACTGAGTGGCGCGTTTTGAGCAGCACTACACTGGTTGGAGGTCACTTGAGCCGCAGCCACCCGTCCTGCGTGGCGGGATGAAATCCAGTAGATGCCCGTTTCGCACATGGGCTTATCAACATACCCTTGCCATCTCAGCAGAGACATTTAATTGCATGGTACCTCTGTGAGGGCCGCTCTTCCTATTTGCGGGCTTCCGCCATGCTTGGAGGCGAACCCCGCATTCCTGCAGCAGCATTCTAGAACAATGGTAAGGTTGAGCGAATAACACAACTCTGCTCGATCAAATAGCGAGACCTGGAAGGCACATGATTTTTCATGGTGTACTGTATTGTACAGTAGTTCGCCATGGTGTTCGTTTAGAAGCCGAGCGACGTATGCCTGTGGTACCGAACGCGATTGACAATGACTATCGTGTCACCCTCCACGACCCTGTCTCGATCCAGAGTCTGGAGTACCACCTGTGCAACACCTCCATCCAGCCAGGCATCGGTCCCGAGATGCCTTCAATCCTGCCGCTGCTGATGAAGAAGCAGCTCTTCAACTCGAGCACGGCCTCGCCACGCTCGCGGTCAACCGCCGCACTGATGACGAAGAGTCCATCCGAGTTGCGAGGGCTCGAGTTCCTTGGGGAATCGCCGCAGCGGACAACAATTTCGGAAGGCGTCTTCTCGACCACTTCGAAATGGTCCGTGAGTTGGGTTCCCGGTTCGTATGTTGACTTAGTCAACTGATCAACCGTCCACAGCTGGGCGGCGGTGTCCGGGCCCTGATATTTACGGGCAAGATATGCTCGTTGAAGCCGGTAGCCTAATGTCCCAGGGGCAGAGACCCGTGTTAGTGAGCAGAGAAATTAACATCGTGACAATTCATCTCTCGCTCAGTGCTATGTCTCACCTAAACCGCCCCAGACACCTCGGCAGAACTCGAGCGCAAGATCGCCCTCATGATTAAGCAGCTCCGGCTTAATCCTGCTTAGTGATATCCTCTTGGTGCATATATCTTGCGTTGAGGGGTTCCGGTGCGAGTTGTACGCGGCGTAGCTCTTTGATCGCCATAAGGGATCATCTTCCGGCAGCGGACTGACGATGGTCGTGGTGGCCCCAAGGTATCCCAGCACTCCAGTGCCGAGTCCCGTCAAAACGCCGGTACAAAGGGTCAATTTTCTAGCAATACCCATTGTCAGAAGAAGCGACCTGTCGGAATCGAGTTTTTTGTCGAGAGACTCGCGTGTTTGAGATGGAGGAAAGAACAAAACACAGCGGACAAGCACGCCAGCTCCACCTGACCCGCTAGTTTGGAGATCCAGATTGCCCTCATGATTGGCTACCGTGGGTCGACAGCCTATTGAGCGGTTCCGGGATCGGGCAGGCGCACAATCTTGTGTTCTCCGGGCATCATCGCCGGCCGACGACAGGCCTCAACATGGACGCGGAGTGGCGGTTCGCTGTAGGGGCTAAAAGTGCCAAAGTGGACTGTGGCCTTGATACACCAGAGACCATGGCGCTATCAAGATCCATCACACAGCATTTCTAGACTCCGTCGCAACTCGCTCAATTCTGGCATAAAGATTCTGGGTCCCTTGGTGGTAAATCGCCCGTATCCCTAAAGAATCAGCGCCACCATCAGCGACAAGGTGGGATAGATAACCTCTTTCCCTCGATGAACTCGGGCCTACCACACCTGGTTCAGAAATGTCCTGACGCTGCACGCGCTACCTAGACCGAACGCCGTCCGTAAAAGTGGAGAATTCGCATAATGTCCTCCTTCGCCGTTGATGAAGCGGTCAGGATACGGGCATTCCTGCGGCAGCCCGGCTATGCCGGCGAAGCAACTCGGGCATCTCCCCGTTGAGCAACCTCTCAAAGCAGTCGTCAATGATGCTGCCGTCGCTGATGTTTTGGGCTCGGGTTCTCCTAAGCCAGTACTCAAAAGGGCCGCCTGGTATTGCGATGTTAGGTCGGAGAGGCACAAGAGGCAACACAACGCAAGTGACGCGGGTTGAAGGGCCGACATACGATTCTGGGCCAGAGCTGCGCCAAGCTCGACGCACCTCTCGGCAGGCGAATGCTCTCCGTGCATCTCGGTGAAGTGCGTGATCATCTTGGAGATGTCTTTCAGCGGCCACTTGCATGGCGCTGCCGGGGACCGGCCGGCTCCGGCCAGCAGGTACTTCGGTGCCGAGCAGAGACGGCACTTCCAGAAGCCCAGCCGCTGTAGGGATGTGTTGACACCCTCGTCCAGTCCGGGGATCATCTCGACATCGGGGGACGCCAACTTCACCCGCTTTGCGCCTCCTCCGCTGTCCTCCTCCGGAATGGGACGCTTCTTGGTCGCAAGGGTCGGAGTGGCGGCTACGTGCCTGCTTGAGGGCATCGCAACACCATACCCGCCGCTCACAGTTCGATGCTGCCTGCCGCCGCCGTTGCTGCCGTTGGGTGCGTAAGGCGCAACGGGTATCGTGCCATGCGAAAGGCGGAAACCCTGCTTGCGTGACTGAGCCTTGATGGTTTCGATCCGGTGGGTGCAGTGACGGATCTGATGGTTGAGATCAAGCGTGCGAAGCTGTAGCGTACGCGTCTCCTGCGGCGTCAAATCTGCCTCCTCCAGTTGAGCTTGGCAGTAATCGAGGTCGTAGCGGTATGCGAGGATGTCCTCATTGAGCTGGCGCATGGTGATCTCATCAAGGTCTGAGTACTCATACTCGTGATAGTAGTCTCGAGCCCCCGGGGCTGCTGGCACCCTGCTCGCAGGCCTGGTCCCAACAGGCGGCATCACCTGCCCGTTGCTGCTCCCTTCCCTGCCGTTCCTGTTGTCTCTGCCGACACCACCAGTGGACGGAGGGTTGCTGGGTCCGCCGGCCTCGTCAGCAGCCTGCGCCATCACTGCCGGGCTGCTGGTCGCTGGGCTGCTGCCTGCCGACTCGGTCTCACTTCCGGCGCTCTTTGGGCGAACAAGGTTGCCCGGAGCGACGGTGATGCTGTTGTTCGGTGATGACTCCGTACCTCCCTCCTGTGTCAGTTCGGTCAGCTTGAAAGGACCGCTTACGCGTTTGCCGTCAAACGACTTCGTTTGAATCCTGAAATGGCAAGGATGGGAGACGATTCATTCCTCCTCAGCAACCTTGATTCAAGTGCGCATTTAAGGACGATTGCAACCGCGGGAGAGATGGAGGGAGAGCGTACCATTCCCTCTGCATGTGGTGACAGTGATGACCGCTTCGATGCAGGTGCCATGAAGGCCTCAGCGGGTTTTGAGATTCAATGTTGTGGGGAGTTGTTGGTAAGCGTTGCGATTGCTGGGTCGACGGAATTGAAAAAAAGCGAAAAGGAATGGAAAGTGCGATGGGTAAGAGATATAAAGCTGTGAAAATGGGGACGGCAAAGTGAAAGAAGAGGGAAGAATAAAGAATGGAAGAGGAAAGATGGAGACCACCTTTGTCGCTTTTTCTTTCTTCTCTCCCTTTTCCTTTCTCTTTTTCTCTTTTTCCGGCTTCCTGTCATGCCTATTGGCTCGAAAGAACCCCACTTGTCCACTTCTGAGCATCTCGATTGGATTTGATCGGGAGCTCACAGCATGACTTTGCATTTCTTTGTAAGGCCAAGACATGCTTGCCTGATTCTGAAGCATCGCTTTGCCACTTTGTCCCTCTGTGCATTTCTGTTATCCTCAATGTCACCAAGTTTGCAACGTTCAGAGGTATTTTAGGAGGGAAACGACTCGAAACATAGAAGGCCCCACTGAAGCACAATGCTTGGGCCCTGGGGCGGCTGGTCTCAGACGGAACACACACCATCAGATATACGAAATAAGGTACCGGGTAAAAGTGCATTGATTGCATTCGATATGTCGCTCCCTGGGCGCTTATACATATGATTTACCCGATCGGCTAGAGACTTACATGATTGCAGAAGCCTCAGCATCGCAACGTGAATGCCATGTGTCCAATTCTCTCTCGTCTCGACTGCCAACTACAATAACGCACGAGAAGCACGGCTCCTTGAGCAGATAGGCGGGATAAAAGGCTAGATTCAACCGACATAACTGTCGCAGAGTACATCACGTCCCAATAACGCCCTTGCTTTCCCTCTCTCTCATTTTCTTTGCCTACTTTGCGCGTTCTCTGACCCGTTTGCCCAGGTGAGGCCCTTATTAAGTGACCTTGACTAGCAAGAGCAGAGCAGCGGCCGCACTACGCACCTTGCAGTCTCGTCGCCGACTCGACATCGCCCTCTTAATCAAGGTATCTCGTCCCCAATCGTGTCGGGGACTCGCCTCCTCCTACCGAAACAAGGGGTTCGGGCGGAGACTTGAAGCCATACCCTTAAGCATCCAAGTCGCCACGTCGATATGGCAGTTCCGACGACCTACCGTCACCTGGGTCGAAAACAGAGTTTGAACTCTGGGCTGCTGGCTTTGCTGATACTTTGCATCGCTCTCCAAGGTTGCCCAGCGTTGTCTCATAGCCACAGACCAGATTGGGCAGCATGCAGCTGGAACATACATAATGAGATTCTGACTAGGCAGTCGGGACAAGGAACCTGTCCACTTGCCAGTGACTGGTCACCATGGTCGCAGAAACCTTTTTGTCTCGAGTCTTCAAAAGAGGATGACACGGCCCAACAGGATTGCGTCTTCACTATGAGCGCTTTCCGTGGAAATCAAGGACTCAGTTTGATTACCACCGCCGATCTAGCTGCGAGTGTCGTCGAATCACTTGACGACTCCCGAGTCCCGCCCGTTCTTAGGCGCCAACTGGCGAACTCGGGGCAGCAGCAACCAGGAGAGCGCTCGGCTTACGAGATCCGAAACGTCCCAGGGCGCGGGAAAGGCGTCGTGGCAAAGCGCAGGTTCTCGAAGCATCAGATCATCATGGTCGACTTCCCCGTGCTTATCATCCGACTGGACTTTGTGAACAACGACCGCTACACCCAGCGGCAGAAGCGACGCTTGATGGAAACCAGCGTGAGGCAGCTTCCGACAGAGCAGAGGCGAGCCATCATGGGTCTGGCGCGGAGCTCAGGGGGCGAACCGATTTTGGAGGCTCTCCGTACCAACGGTTTCGGCATCGAGATTGAAGCAGTTCAGCACCTGGCCCTCTTCCTCAATGGCTCGGTAAGTGGTCATCTGGATGCGCCTGGGCGTCTCCTGCATCAACGGCCAGCCGTCAGTACGAGCACTGACAGAATGCGGCCTGCAATTTAGCGAGTCAACCACAACTGTCGCCCGAAGTAAGTGTCACACCAGAGTGATTAGTGAGTGAGAGCGGCGGAGAAGGCCCTTGGTATAGATCTCCAGAATCGCCGCTGAGATTCGAAATCGCAGTTCCTTCTGGCGCTTCACAAACAGCAACATGGCGATGGAAGTTGTGGCGTTGAGAGACGTTAGCGTCGGAGAAGAAATTACGCACAGTTGTGAGGCTTATCCTTGTCGTCGGAGAAGACACTTGCTTACAATCGACTCTCAGATGCGCCACTCGGGCACACGTACGAAGAACGCAAGAGGGCGCTTCAGGCCTGGGGGTTTCGGTGTAACTGCGCGTTATGCTCAACGCGGACAGTAGAGAGGGATCTCTCTGACAGCCGTCGGGAACGCTTACGTGAGGTTCACCTTACCCTAGGCCAGGCCGAGCGACTAGGCAGTCAACGAGTAGCTGAACTTGTGCGCGAAGCGATGTCGTTGATTGAGCAGGAGGAGCTTGATCCGCAGCTTGTCGAGTACTACCAACAATTTGCGAAAGCGTACTTGGACACCAACCATCTGGAGAGGGCGCGCCTGGCAATCGCAGAGGCAGATAGATTATGGCGTTTGTATGGCGGGGAGGAGCACGAGAACGTTGATGGAATCCGGGAGCTTTGGCAAGCCCTAGCGGAGGCTGAACAGGATGCTCACGAGGAATAAGTACATCTGACTTGGCTCCATCACTATCTGTACATGTTTCAAACTGACAAGTAACGTACAGCCCTAGAAAAGAAATGTCGAATGCCACCGATTAAAGCTCAGGGGCCGCCGGCTGGTAGACCGTAGGCGACCAAGCGTTTCGCATGCCGCGTTTCGGAGGACTCGAATGCCGGCTCTACTGCTGTGTTCAGAGACCGAAGTGAGCGTCGGGAGCGCAGACTTAACCCATCTAGCATATGCACCCGCATACTCAGGTGGCCAGAAGTCTAGCCAGGAATTACCTGATGCAAGCCGATTCAGACTGCAGGTGGCGGTACGAAACCCTCCGACAGGTCCGGGGAAAAACGTCCGCTCTCATCAGCGGCAGGGTTCAAGTTGGAGTGGTGCCGAGCGGTGGATTTCCAAAAGAGTCATAACGCACGTGAGCCGAGGACCTGCTGCGAAACAAGCAATCCCAAGAAATCCCAAGAGATGCCCACGATCTCTTGGTCTCTTGATCCCTCGGCGAGGCGACGCCAAGAAGGGGCGCTCGATCAGCCAAGTCGGGCGACCGAAGGCTTGGCAAGTGGTCCCTGGCCCGGCGACGAATAACGTCCGGTTCTGGGACCACGTTTTCCTTCCCAGTTTCGCCTTCCGCTCTGAGCACGTTGTTACCCCCATGCCCAAACCTGCAGCAATGTCTTGGACGATTGGATTGTCCCAATGGGCGATCTGCCTGATGGTCTGGATCCGTCACCGAATGGATGCTCTTGGCAAAGAATGAAGGGTCCAGAATGCTTTTCGCTGGGATGAGTCTCGATGCAAACACCGATGCATGCAATGCGCATTGCGCAACGATTGCGAGGTCCACCTGTCATCTATAACTGAGTACACCCTCCTACCATGGCCCCTTCAGAGTTCCGTCGGCATCCTAACTCCCTCGCCGACACTTGTCCCTCCGGCTCAAGCCCTCGCGACCCGAAGCCTCGAGGAAACCGGTAGTCGCCAACATGGTTCTCGACGCTTACACTTACGTGTTCGCCATTGGCACCTGCTTTGCCTTGCTTGAGGCTTACAACAATGGCGCCAGTACGTTCCTCTCTCCTCCCTTTGCTCGCGAAGCGGTTTGCTGACTTTTGTAACTAGACGATGTCGCAAACGCGTGGGCCACCAGTGTCTCGTCGCGGTCCGTGACGTACAGGCAGGCCATGATCCTCTGTACCATCTTCGAGTTGACGGGCGCCCTCGCTGTCGGCGCAAGGACGGCCTCGACCATCAAGAACGGCATCATCCCTAGCAACGCCTTCGGCGACAACGCTGGCGTCCAGCTGCTCGCTTTTGCCTGCTCCTCTGCCGGTGCCGCCATCTGGGTTATGTGGTGCACGCGCAACTCGGCACACGTCTCGTCCACCTACTCGCTCGTTTCTTCCATCGCCGGTGTGGGTGTCGCTGCTGTCGGAGTAAGCAAGGTACAGTGGGGTTGGGCCGACGGCCAAGGTCTTGGTGCTATCTTCGCTGGCCTCTGCATGGCCCCCTTCATCTCGGCATGCTTCGGCGCCATCATTTTTGGGCTCATCAAGGTGACGGTCCATATGCGGAAGAATCCCGTGCCTTGGGCCGTCTACACCTCGCCGTTCTTCTTCCTCATTGCCGGCACTATCTGCACGCTTTCGATCGTCTACAAGGGCTCGCCTAATCTTGGACTTGACAAGAAGCCTGCATGGTTCATCGCCTCGGTCACCCTTGGCGTTGGCTTCGGTCTTTGCATCTTGTCCGCCCTCTTCTTTGTCCCTTACGTCTACTGCAAGGTTGTCAACAAGGACTACACCCTCAAGCCATGGATGATCATCCGCGGTCCGCTCCTCTACAAGCGCCCTCCTCCCCCCGACGCCGCAAACGTCAAGGCCAAGGTTCCCAATTATGCTGTCATCCAGGAGGATTCGCAAACCGATTCCGATTCCGATGCTACCGAGAAGAAAGTCGCAGCGGTCGACGACATCACCCCCGTCGCTCCTGGCTCCTCTGCCAACTCGGACAGCGAGAAGGGCGCCGCCCCCTCCATCGAGTACACGTACGAGCAGTACCAGCAACTGCTCAAGGATGCCGAGGAGCGTCACAACGCCAACCTTCGCAAGCAACCGGGTCCCCTCGGCTGGGCGATGCGCACCCTTCACAAGAACAGGCTCCAGGCGGGTTCTATTCACGAGACACATAACCTGATTGCCATGGTGAAGCGCCTTCCGGCTATGGTGGTCGCTGGCCTGCTCTACGGCACCCACTACGACATCCACACCGCCCAGGTCGGCATCCACAACTCCCCCGAAGGCCGCCGCATGGAGCGCGTGTACAGCTACGCCCCGAAGTACGCCAACGAAGTCGAGCATCTCTACTCATTCGTCCAAATCATTACCGCCTGCACCGCCTCTTTCGCCCACGGCGCCAACGACGTCGGTAATGCCGTCGGTGTGTGGGCCGGTATGTACGCTGCTTGGTCCAAGGGCAAGCCCAGTGCCTCCAAGGAAGAGGTCCCAATGTGGCAGCTCGGTATTACCGCCGCCGTGATTTGCATCGGTTTCATTACTTATGGCTACAACATCATGAGAGGTAAGTCCTGCCACAAGTCACTTGCCGAACTGAAATCGTCATCCTAACTCATCGTTCATAGTCATGGGTAACAAGCTTACCTACCATTCGCCCAGCCGTGGCTCCTCTATGGAGATGGGCGCCGCCATCACGATCCTCATCTTCTCTCAGTACAAGCTCCCCGTCTCGACTTCCATGTGCATTACCGGCTCAACTGTCGGCGTCGGTCTTTGCAACGGCACCTTCAAGGCTGTCAACTGGAAGCGTGTCGGCCTCCTCTTCTTCTCATGGGTCATGACCGTCCCCATTGCTGGTCTCATTGGCGGCTGCCTCATGGGCCTGGCTGTCAACACTCCTCACTGGTAGATGCTACATGGTTAAGAAGCATTCCTTTGAAAGTTCATCTTGGTTGGGTAACGGTATAGATAGATTCATATTCTAGGCAGCCTGGAGTTGGGGTTTCGCATATACATATATATTGAATCTATTTCTTTTTCAGCGGTACTCCTCGTTTCATCCTGATCCCGAGCCGACATCTACGTACAGCGCCATGTCCGCTGAGCCCTCTTCGAACAGACTTGAAGTGTGAATTCGGCTTGATGCAGCTCCACGGCGAGCCATATGGAGGATGACCGGGGTAAGGATGGACATGTGTACAGGAAGCATTGGCATATGTATCACTACACTGGGACCTCTAAGCTACCACCTTCCTGTCTTCATCTCTTGCTGTCTGTCGGGTTAGCATCGTGCATTTCCATTAGCTTGGCTAGGCGGGGCCAATGGCAACATCATCACAAACTTTTGCGGATGTGGCTGAATCATCATTCCCTGGATCCAGTCACACCCGGCCGCCGCGCCCTGGTTGAGAATCCTTTCGGCAGAAGCGTCGTGGAGTACATGCAGTTTCAACCCAATGGGTAGCGAGGTCGTGCTTGAGTCCTAACATGAGCCATCCCAGGGGAAAGTCTGCGTAAGGTACGACTGCCGTGGGAGACCGAAGTCGCGGTGGCCGCCGGTAAGTCCCAGCTGGCCAGGCTAGATGGAGAGTTGCCTGGGAGGGGGCTCGTTATTCACGACCTCGGACTGGGAAATGGCTCATATCGGACGCCTACATGTGGACCGGAAAGTGTCGCAGGGTCGGGCAATGCCGTGACACGACAGCGTCGACAACGATGCCGGACCGGAAGGATCTTGTGGGGGAATAGAAGGCTTCGTTGCAGATATCGACCTCTTCCAGGGACTGCAAGCTGGCCAGTCTAGTCAGTGACGCATGGCTCGAGGCTTATACTCCTTGTCCATATATTGGGCATATCAGGCTGAGCGGCTGGCCCCTCACCGAGGCGCAGTCGTCGCACGAGCTGTCAGAGAATCCGTGGTAGCCGTCCTGCCTGTTGTCTCGGAAACACTTGGTATGAAGGTGTAAGTGCAGAGCAACGTAGTAGTCGAATCAGTGGTTTTATAGTGCAGTGGAGCTGCAGCTGCATACAGAAGTGTTGTACCGCAAGAGAAAGAAGCAGAGGAAGGGGCCGGGGGTGGTAGTTGCAGGGTGGGGGAGGGTGCCGGGGGGTGTGGGTTTGGGTGATGGTGTTGATCACGAGCAATTTAAGGTTATCTTGCCACCTATGTAGTTGAGAATGTGTGACTATTGAATAGTGTGCCAGGGTTATAGCAAGAGTCGAGTGGATGACGCTAAAACTGACTCGATGAGGAACTGAGACAGGCCCGAGATCAGATCGATTCTCTAGCACGTAATTCGGTCCTCACGGCTTTAGCTCAGTCAAGCCCAAAAGCATCGTACGCCGACGTCGCCCGCACACCACCGTCGAGCCAACCGAGCGGGCTGCGCACCCTCTCCCTACCGAACACGACGCCTTCGACCTTCACCGACACACTGTTTTGCACAATCGATACATCTAGAGTGGAGGATGGAGAAAAGGGGAAGGTGCAGGTGGCCGATATCAGAAAGACAATCGAGGCAGAGATCCGGAAACAGGAGAACAAGGAAAACTGGCGATGCACGGCGGTGGTAAAGGAGGCCCGAAACCCAGATCGAGTTAGGGTGGTCTGCTGGGACGAAGGCGAGGTCCAGACTCGACCCGTTATGACAAGAGTAGTTGTATGATGTCATCACAGTGAACTTCATTTCTCGGACCATCAATGCAGGGTGGTTCTGGCAAAAATTGTCACAAACTTGCTTATGTCAACCTAACGGAGTCTGGCACACACCGCCATCTTCCTCTTAATAGCATCAAGGACCGACATTGAGAGAGACGTAGAAGAAAGATGCCTAGAGCAGAGCAATATACGAAGAACGAGTCCGACTTATATGTGTCGGGATTAGCAGAGGAGGGACTCGACGAGGGCAACCCATTCCAGCAGGATGCAGAGGACGAGCCCATAACCGACCCCGACGAGGCTGCAGTGGCGGCTGTCCTCAGTCGAGATGAGAACGCCGCGCCAGATGCCAAGGATTACAATGGTGGCCATGATCAAGCCGAACACAGCCACCAGCCAAGATCTACCAATATATTCATCCCAAAGGAGGAATCCGCTGTCGGCAGTGAGCTGGAAGACGTTAATTCCGACCTTGCTGCTCGCCCGCCCGAACACGTCGAGTCCTCCTCTAAACACGGCCGGGCCGAAGATGCGGACGCTATTGGTGACGCTGCCGACGAATTCGACCGCGACGTTCAACGGCTTGTCAAACGTGCCCGCCATGATAGCCGAGCCCTGCTCATCAAACATGGGGACGATGTCGAGGAACAAGAGTGCAAAATGCACGCCAACCTCGACCTGCGCGCCCCTGTCATCGAGAATGACGAACACAAAGACAACGAGAACGGATCACAGCAGACGGGAGAGAACGATTTCGACCGTCCAAAGGAAGTTGCACCTATGCCGCGCATTGAGCAGCTTTCGGGGCACAAGGACCACGAGTCTGTCCCAAGGGATGCTGGGGACGAGGACGATGATGTTGAGACGAAAGGAGGAGATGACTACGATGTCGAGAATTATGCCGAATTTGAGGACGACGATGACGATATGGAAGGACCGACGAGAGATACGGTTGGGAGTGAAGAGTTGGTCATCGATGAAAATAATGATAATGAATGGTAACTTAATGGCAAGCCTTGTTTGATTAGCAATAACTACCTATTCTACCTCTTTCGTGTCACTTACTCTATACCTTCCCAGACAACCAACCTGCTCTGCACCTTTGTCAAGTCACTTACCTTATACCTTTCCTGTGGTGGCAGTAGGGTCTACTGCAATAGTATATAAGCTACCTCAGAGTTTCAAGTCATTGGACTTGAAATACTGGCATCCTATAATTAGTTAGACTATTCACTAGTCAATTAATATTCATTACATTAGGAGCCTCTTCTAAGTCGCCTACTCTATACCTACTCTCACCTCTCCTAAGAGATTTATCCTATACTCTTCTTCTTAGGCACTCTTCTCTTCCCTAAGCTCCAAGCCATCTACTCTATGCCTAGTACCCATTCAGGTCAACTATGTCGGCTGCTCTCGTAGTTTTTATTTCTTATAAAGCTCACTAGCTGTAGCTATTAGCGCGTTCTCGCTAGATAATCTAGGCGAAGAAAGGCTTACTCTCAGCAGATAATAACAACTAGGCTACTCTACTGCTTACAGGACTGTCAGGGCCCCCACCATGAGCCCTACACTTGGGCAATTGGCGGGCGAGACACTGTGGATTTCATGGCGCAGCGACATGACTCGCAGCAGAGAGAGGATATCTGGAGAGCAGGAGACTCAGATTGGAACTTGGAACTTCCCTCTCTCAAGGATCAGTCAGTTGGTTAGTGGTGCACGCACAATACAGTCGTCTTGCCTGCTGCCTGTTGAGGATTCGGTGCATCTTCCTTGGTGAGCTTGTGTGTGTCACCTTACAAGGACCTCTTCGCATAGCTAAGTCGTCTGCAAAGAATCTAAATCCAACTGGTGCTGAAATTACAATACGCGAATACCGCCGGCTACTTCGAGGCCAGAGGAGAAATCGCCTGCTAAGATGTGAGATTAAAGCCTATTCTTATATATCTACAACGTGCGAGTAGCACCATCACGTTCCGGCATAGATTCTAACTTAGAGGCGTCCAGCCATTATTCAGCAGATGGTAGCGTCGCAGCACACTAGCTCCTACTTTAAACAGCCAAATTGAAGAAACTTGCCCCGGCGTCACAGAATTCTAGAGAATCGGATCAGCACGCTCCTGAATAGGAGGGACGAAGCACAGATTGAAGGCCAAAGGCTAAGGGTTGAACCGTTCTATTTAACGGGGCAAGCCCAGAAAGAACAGGGTCAAAAGTCGAGATCTTAATGAGATATTCAGTTCAAAGTAGATCAAACTCACAGATCGAATACAGGCACTTTCCCCACACAAGATTCCATTACCTCCAGTGTACATCCTGACCGGTGATCGACCATGGCCTTATCAGCAAATTCAACCCTGAAGATGTCCCCCCAAGACAATCCCAGGACACTTTGCTGAACCATAGACCAGCCTCAAGAGCTTAAAGATTCGAGGTCGAATCAGTAACTGCATGCCAGCATTTTAAACCAAGAACGCTGCCGAACTCACCCAGAGGCAGCCGTCAACCCCGAAGAGCACGACGCAAGGCTTGCCGCATCTGCTTGGTGTGGCGTAGAAAGGTCTGGATGAGCTCGTCCAGGGCATCCTTAATGTCGTCGCCGCGCTGGCGCAACTTGGTGATGGCGCTCACGATCTCCTTCTGCTTGCGGCGGAGTCTCTTCAGCTTCTTTTCCAGGGTGGGCACGGTGTGGATGTCGCCTTCCATTTGCTCCTCGGTCATGTCTCCCGTCTCCCAGTCCACAGCGGCGGCGGCCGCGGCGTCGTGGATGGGCGGCGCGCCCTGGTACAGGGTCAGCTCTCGGACGGGGCTTGGGCTCTCCGGGTATCGAATAGGCCTGCCGGTCAGAAAGTCCTCGCGATCGGGCTCGAGGGTGGTGGAAGACTCGAAGCGCAGTCATTCTCAGAAATGGTGCCACGGCGGACTTACGGAAACGTCGACGTCGGCATCGCCATCAGAGACAGTGGTGGGCTCCTGCCAATCGTTAGGACCAGGCATCGTCCACCCGCAGTGTCACAAGCGTGCCACATACCGGCATATCGACCTTGTGTTTCAAGTTACAGGAAGATAAAATTCGCGCAACAAACTCCTCTTCTCTATGTCGCTTCCTCGCAGCGCGAACGGAAGAATCTGCGCTGCCCTGATCGTTATCGGCGCTATCGCGAGGTTCCTTGCGCTTTACTCCCTGAGGGGCGGCGACCTGAGCTTCGAGGTCTCTAGGCTGCGACGCGGTGCCTGGGACGCGCTTGCTTGGTGCGTGCATGGCGTGTTTGGTTGGTGGGAAGGCCAGCGGCGGGAGGATGCACGCTGGGGGATGACGATTTGAAGAGCGAGATGTTGGTAAAAGAACCACGGGCGAAGGATGGAATGGCTGGTGACGGTGATGCTGTGAACCCTCCAGCTGTACAAACGATCACGGAGGCGGCAGGGTCCGAGGTCACGATATTTGCACATGCTTAAGCTGGGTATTCAAGGCGCTGTCAGAGAGGAACAGCCCGAGGTGAGAATCGGGCTGGGAGTCTGATGATTGTGGACGAAGAGGGCGGGAAGTCTCGAACATCAGACCGTCTGGGTTGGACTCAAGATCGACGCCCCAGCCGAGGATTGGCTCGGTGTGGGAATTCGTCGTTTGCAACAGCGTCTATGACGGACCAGCTCGTTATGTTTGACCCCGACCCGGCCGTGGCATGACGTGCAGCGGACTGACACCTGATGCGGCTTGGAAAGCCCAGCAAACGGTCCTAGAACTCAGAAGGGTGCGTACCCGTCAGCAATGCAGAAATTTTTGGAGGAAGCATGCGGTTTTCCGTTGTTGACACTTGGGTCCAGGCTCACCGAGTCTGTGACAGGGTCTCAGCACAGGACAGATGTTGCCAGGAGTTGATGTGAGATTCGCAAACAAGGCGAATTAGCTTACTGACTGTGGGGGTCTTGTGAACGACTTCGTAAGACCCTGGCACCGCTTGATCAATGCTTTTGTCAGCGGGTTTCCCGTCAAGAAGGCGTTTGTACATGAGTGGAACCAGACGACGCCATGAAACCCGTGTCGTTGCGGGTATGTGACGGATCAAGATAACATACATGCGAGTGGCCGACAACGCCATGCTGTGCCGAGCGCGCAGCCAATCAGCTCCCCTCCAAAGCAGGGAGGTAAACGCCCTCGATCCTCGCTCTCAGCACCCTCTCGGCAGACGCAGGGTCCATCCGCTGCTCCGGGCCTGCCCGCATCATCTTCCCTACGAGGAACATGAGCTTCCCATGCGGGTATGCCTTGGCCTTGCCCTGTTTGAAGCGTAGGAACTCGCCCAGCACCTTGTCCTCACCCTGCACGACCGCATCAGCGAGCTTGGCATAATCCTGCTCGGAGATCTCCTGGAACCAGAGGCTGCCTGCTTCGATTGCCTGCGCGACGCCGCCAGCCGATATCTCGCCACGGAAGACGCCCCAAAGCAGATCCTTGGCCACTCTGGCTGTAATCTCTCGTTTGTGGAGATGCGACAAGATGGCGGCCAGGTCACCGGACGGGACTCGGCACTCTCCGTCGGGGGTCATGTCCAAGTCGGAGGGGAGCTCGGTGAGCTTTCCCAGCTCGTGCAGGCACCAGTTAGCGGCAAGCAGAGCATGTCGCTGGTCAGACCCTTCGGAAAGTCCAAGTCGAGTCTCCAGTTCCTCGAGGACGTTGTAGAAATACTGTATCCGAGCCCCATCGTCTAGCATCATGAGCGAGAGAGAATCCTTGGAGCTCAACCCGTATGTCTCCACCAGCTCATCGATTTCGGCATCCGGCAGCATGCCCATGGACGAGGCCAGGTGGGCGACCAGATCCTCGCCAATGACGACGGGCCCGAGGTCGGGATCCGGCATGTACCGGTAATCGACCTCGCCTTCCTTACCGCGCAGACGGCGCGTCTCGGTACTGCCCAATGACCAGCCGCGCGTCTCGCCCTCGACCATGCCGCCAGTCTCCAAAACGGCAATCTGGCGGTCCCGCTCGGCAATGATGGCGTCCTCGACCGCCTTGAAACTGCTGAGGTTCTTGATCTCTGTCCGCGTGCCCAGTCTCCCCGTGCCCACATCCTCGGCCCTCCGCACAGAAACGTTGACATCCGCCCGCAAGCCGCCCGCCTCCATACCGGAAACACAGGCATCGACCGAGCTGAGCAGCATCTGCACCTTGCGCACAAAAGCAGCGGCGGTGGCGGGGTGGTGGATCTGCGGCTGTGTGATGATCTCAATCAGGGGCAGACCGACGCGATTGAAGTCGAGCCAATGCACGTTGCCGGGCTGGGCCGTCGTCTTGGCCGTGTCCTGTTCCATCTGGACCTGTTTGATGTCAATTTCGACGCGGTCGCCGTCCTCGGGGGCTATGCCATCGCGCGCACGCAGCACGACGCGGCCGTCGCGGGCAAACGGGTGGTAGTATTGCGTGATTTGGTACCCCGCGGGCTGGTCCCAGTGGAAGTAATGTTTGCGGTCGAAGCGGCTGACAGGCTGGATGGCGCAGTTGAGAGCCAGGGCGGCGCGCACGGCGGGGATCAAGGTCTCGGGCTGGAAGAGGGGTTGCGAACCCGGCATGGCAACGTCGAAGAGGGCGACATGGCTGTTTGGCGGGTCGTTGAATGAGGTCGCGGCCGCGGAGAAGAGCTTGCGGGCGGTGTTTAGCTGGGCATGGATCTCGATGCCGACCGTCAGCTCCCAGCCGGGGACTGTCTGGTTGTTGGCGTTCTTCTTCTTCTTCTTGCCTGACGCCTTGAGGGCTTTTGCCTCGTCTTTCAATTGTTTACGGAGCGGGTTGCCGGCCGAGGCGATCACACTGGGGGGTAGTTTTGTTGACGTCGCGGCGTGGCTCGAGACATTTCGCGTTTGTCGAGTCGGCCGTAAGAGTGTACATACGGCGATTCGGGGGTTTCGAGCATACAGGCAGCCCCGGCGGCTAACTTGCCCCGTCAGAAGATATCTGCTGAGCTCAGCCGTCGGAACGCGGCTCATTGTGTGAACTCGATGATGTGTGCTTCGTGATGGCGGTCCACGGAATCCACGGATATGCATTATGCACGGTTGGTCATGGATACCAGTTATCCACGGTCCAGAGTTGCCAAGCCATCACTGCGGGCCGGCGGACATATCCGGAGTGCCGATCTGAGTCTGCCAGCTGGCACCGCAGGGTCTGCTGAATACTGTAGTTATCTGAGCAGTGAGGTGGAGATTGAAGGATTCTATTCCGGGTCGCCTTCTACTTCAGATCAGCAGTTGCCAATTCAGGTTAATGTACTGTACCTTTGAACACCCTGAACTGGAAAGCACTCATTGCATTTAATTACAGGCTATAGAACAACCCACTGATTTCCGTTCCTGTTTCAACCACAGGTTATACCGCACAAGCCATCGGCCATCCTCGCACCACATGACCTTCGTCTTCCCGTCCCGATACAAGATCAACACCTGTATCCAAAGAGCTGTACTGACACCACCATCCAATGCCAAGCAAGCATGCCAAGCAAGGAAATGAACAACACGATATCTCACATCAGATTCCCGAGTCGTCCTGCTCCCAGACGGGTTTGAAGTTCTTCCACGACGCGCACGTCTCGTCAAATACTGCCCGGCTGACGGAATCAACCTCGATCTGGGCCTGGCTCTCGACAAACTCGAGCGACAGGCCCTGGCTGGCGTGCCAGGCGATGTGGCAGTGCACTAGCCAGGCGCCAGGGTTGTCGAACTGGAACGCGATGGCGAGGTAGCCGTTGCCCGGCAGCGTCGCCACGTCGCGCCGCGAAGGGTTGACCGTGTTGAAGACGGTCGTGTTGCCGTCAAAGATGCCCTCCTGCTCCGCCAGCACCCAGAAGTCGTGCCCGTGCATGTGGATCGGGTGCGCCAGCCTATTCATGTTGCTCGTTAGTTCATGTCAAGGAGAGGTGAAGAGAGAAACTGTTACTAACCGCAAACTGCTCATGTCCTGGATTACGAGGACAGCCCATTCGGGATCGGTGCCAGATGATGCCTTAACCCACTTGTCAGTCGTCTGTTTCCACAACCACAAACCAGCAGCGAAGAGGGCCGACTCACGTTAACACCCACCACGTTGTAATCGGTCGGGAACAAACTCTTCCCCTCAAAGATCTGGCCCATGGTCGGGTCCGCCCAATCGAGCAGTAGGCTGCTGGTGTTGATGGTCCACTTGAAGTAGCTGTCGAACGTGGTGTCCAGGATCTCGTTGATGACGCCGCCGCCGATGTTTGTCACGTCGAGCGCCAGGTACGGCACCGTCTTGCCCACAGGCTCGCCGAGACAGGTCGGAACGACTTTTTCTCTGAATCATCTGTGAGCGTCTTTGGTGAACTTGAGCCTTGCGTCGAACTCGAGCTTGCCCTCTAGTACCCGGAATAGGTAAGCGGGCGCCAGAGTGTCGTGCCTTCGCACCAAGCGAGGATTTTTATGCAAACATACCGGTAGTAAGGTAGGTAGGTACCTTTGCGAATGGAGACGCAGGAATCGGGGTGAGCCTGACCAGGAAATTGTGGACCTCGGCACGTCCATGTTCTAAGGCTACGTTACCTTACTTTGTGCTCTGAAGTAGAATTGGGCCATATGATCGATGAAGTCCGTAGATAATGGTAGACGGCGTCACGGTGCTCGTCGACTCTGGGTCCGCCGTGCTGCTGGGGTCGTACCGCACGATGCCTGTGATGTCGTCCGTGTTCTTGTTGATGGCGCCGCAGCCCAGGAGCCAGCCGGGCCGCACCCAGTAGTTGCCCCGCGGCGCGTTCGCCTCGACAATTACGTCGTACCGCTGCCCGATGGTGATCTCGACGCTATCGGTCGTGTAAGGCACCACGGGGACAAGGTCGTGCGCCACCACCTTGAGCGTGTGCCCGTCGATGCTGAACTGGAAGACCCCGTCGATGGCCACGTTGACCAGCCGAATGAGGTACTTCTTGCCGGCCTCGAAAACCATCTCAAACTTCTTGCCGCTGCCTACGCACTTGGGGTCCGTCGGCGCCAACCCGCGGCAGTCAAACGTGTTAGTGCCGTTGATCAAGCCGTTGTCCACGGGTGGCGGCCGCCCGAACTTGGCCTGGTGCCAGCCGGCGAAGGCCTCGACGTGCGGCCAGTCCTGCAGGAACAGAAGGCCCAAGTCCTCGTCGTAGTCGTCCGTCGTCGGGCCCCGCAGGATCATGCCCCCGAACAGGCCCTCGGCGTACTGCAGGCTGAAGTGGCTGTGGTACCACGTCGAGCCGTACTGCGTCACGCGGAACCGGTACGTCATGTTCTCGTTGGGCGCGATGCCGCACTGCGTCACGCCCGGCACGCCGTCGTTGAGCGCGTTGTTGAGCATGCGCAGGCCGTGCCAGTGGATGCTGGTCCCGTTATTGGCCATGTTGTTGGTCACGTGGATGATAACCTCGTCGCCCCAATCGGCGATGATGGTAGGCCCGGGGATGGTGCCGTTGAAGGTCATGCAGGTCCGCTGGTATCCGTCCGGGGCGCAGGGTCCCTCGACGACCGACAGCCAGAACTCCTTGGTGACTCCCGTGTCGGGCGTGACATCGTAGTAGTTGGTGTCGGTGGAGAAGTTCCCCCAGCAGTGGCGCGAGGTAGGCGTGTTTTCACACGGCGACTGCCGCGGCTGAAGGAAGGCATCGGGGTCTCGAGGGGTAGTGAAAGCAAATGAGCCAGCGAGGGTGGCCATGAGGGGAAGGATTGATCGTCTCATGATGGGCACGAGGGCACAGGCCGTTCTTGAGCGCTAAAGTCTTGAAAACGAATGTGCTGGTCTGATGGAGCTGTACCGGACGAGGATGGATCTCGCGAAGGGCTGTCTAATGTCTTGTACTTATACGCGTACTTATACTTTGGCCGAGTGCTTCACCACCACATCGCCGTGTCGACCACCATGGACTCTGCCGCCACCAACACGTCGAGACTCGGCCCCTGCGAGCCGGAGCAGACCGGCGCGACGCGTTAAGTCCCTGGCTTCCGTCATCATGGGCTGACTGATGACTCCTCCGAACCTCACATCAAGAGTGCGTGATGGCGGTGCATATTGGAGTAGTCTGGATGGTAATCTTGGCTGCGCCGCGCAGGATGTTAGGCAGGCTTGCGTGTTGGTCGGATCCTGGCTTGCGTGGACTGCAACGACGAGCGAGGTCCAGTCAGGCTCCTTCAGCACACCGAGATGTCGCATGTACGTTGAAAGCATGGGAGAAAATCCTGCCTCGTATAGCCGCCATCCATAGCAAAGCACTTGCAACAGTTTAACGGTCTCGATAGTTAATGCTTGCTGCATGCGGTTGATCCCGGCTGGCCCGGACAGGAAGGCGGACTGGCGCAGACACCCTGAGGACCGGGGGATATGTGGCAGAAGAGGTAGTTGGCGAGAGCTTGGGATGTCTGGCATCGACAGCATGAGACCAAGAAATTGCAAGCTGCGGCATCGCCTACTGGACATCAATGAGGATGAGGACCCTGAGGATGAAGTTTAAAGCTGCGCTCGTTGGAACCAGAACTGGATGCGTGATGCGTTAAGGGTATCTCTCACACTCCGTCTAGTACTGTGGTGTTTGATACACCGATGTTACTAAGAAAGCGCTGCTTTATTTGTCTTGCGGATGCAGCGAGGGTTGATCGGCTTCAGGGGTCCGCATCCGCGTCGGCGCTGTTACATTCGCACAAGCTGTCATGGAAAAGACTACGTAAACCCCCGTAGCTGTTGATAACAAGGGCACATGCAGCCTGGTCTTGAAGCAGGTGATTGCCGAGTTGTTGGACATGGAGAAGGGCCCGAGGGGAGGTCGAAAGGCCGAGGACGCGCACCAGTGAAGACACTCGCAACTATTTCTCCGATGCCATCGAAACATTCCCGACGTTGGGCCAGCGGCTGAATCCTAACCAGAACCAGATTCGATCTTTTCCTATCGTTATTTGGGGCTTGTGGGATGATACCCTCAAGGGTCTCCTGAGGAGCCAGAGGTAAGGGTACGGCAACAAGGGGTCGTCATCCATAGCCACGGAATGCCACATATAATTGACTCAGATAAGTTCCAATGCCACATTTTTTAGTCCTAGGCACGTGGTACCAAAATGGGATGCCTCTCTAGTGGGATGTGGGTTGCGGCCCGGCAAGCCCGGGCGAGGACACGAGATCAACAATGTCGTTGGGAGGATGTACGCAAGGGTTTTCTGTGAAACCATACTTGGATGATTTTTGGTAGGCGTAGGCATCGCACATCAAGGACGACGGCTGGAAGATGCAAGTTCTCGCCGGACGGGAAATTGCGGATCGGCACAATGCACTTCATCGCAGCAGCACCATCTAGCATGTAGCTGACTACTAAGAAATTCGCCCGTTTTAGAAGACCCTGGGCCAACCCATTACAGTGCAGTAGGTATCATTACATGCCTGTATACGGATGATCTACGCTTGATTAATCAGGATAGGGCTGGGAAAGCGCCACCTAGCAATCAAGCTTACAGGCACCTTATGCAAAGGCGGCGTCAAGCGCAGCTCCGGTAACCCATTCTGCGGCGACCAAATAACGTGGGCCATCTACTGTGCGTATCTCCGGATCACTTGAGGTGTCAGAGCATGAACCAATGCAAGAGAATGCATAAAACCCAGCCACGAAAGATACCGCAGCGGGGTTTTGAAGGGGGTGAGAACGCTATTTTACAGCGCTATGATAGCTTGAAAAGTTTTGACAGCGCTGGCAACTAGCATTCCCAGTTCAACTAGCATTC